TTTGCTCACGTCAGCCAATAATAATTGAAAATGCTATAAATTATTATTGGCTGACGTGAGCAAACCGTTTATTTATTGTCTTTATATGAGCGAAAATATATAAATATGGCAACGTTGCATCTAGGGCGCGTTGTTCATAGGTTCATATCGTAGCCGTGCATAATATTGTGACGTCAGCCGGTCAGTAACAGCCTGAAAAGGGGGTTAAATAATGATTTGAAAATATTTTTTTTCAGCTTAAATATGCATTTAAATTTTTTTTTAATCACGCCATCGTATTATACTCATTTTTCTCTATCTGCTCTTAAAATTAATGACATTATGACTGAATCACCCTGTATATGTGAACTCGGATACGTGTGTGTATGTATATTATTAAAATGCTTACTCAAATCAGTTTACAAGTGCTCCAAAATACCCAAAGATGTTGATAATTTACCCGCTCCAAAAATTTTACCGAAAAAATGCGATTAATTTTTTTACCATAACTTTTGTAATTTTAAAGTTATAAATTTACTCAAAAACCCATTTTGTAGGGAATTTAAAGCACTTTAAGTTCTGTGATTTGCAGTTTTTTTGAGCCGCTCGTTTTTTAGATTTGTAAGATAAAAGGGCTCAGGAAAAGCAGTGTTGAAGCTTAGTTTTGAGCTTCTAACGGTCATAACTCAGTCAAATTTTGTCCTACAAAAATTTAAAAAAAGCAAATAAAAGTAAGAAAAAACCCACAATTTCTTGTTCTATCATTTTTTTATAACTTTGTTAGTTTTTGAAATATTTTGAAAAAAAGTCGATTTTTTTTAAATTTTAAAATTTTATTCAAAAGTAAATGAAATATTTTTTTTAATTTAGGCTTCTAAAATAGTTCAAATTCCCAGAATCTACTGTTAATACACAAATAAAGTAAATTGCAGAATGAATACGTTTAATTTTTTTCTTTCCTTCAACTCATTAATTTTAATACTAATTTTTTTTTTCTCAAAAATCAAGACAATCATTTTATTTTGACTGTAACTTCATTAGTTTTCAAGCTAACGACTTTTACCACCATTCAATTTAAAGGTCTTTTCAACAACTTTAATAAATGTTATATAAGTTTTCCTCGAAAAACCTTTAATTTTTCCACTACGTTTCGATTATAGCTATGTTCGAAATTGACTTCAACTTCTGGGAGTCATAACTCGGGTTCTATACCACCTACAAAAATAAAAAAAGCAATCTCTTTGCTATTTAACTACCTTCATTTTTGCTTATGATCATTTTTTTGATAAAACTTGTAGTTTTTGAGATATTCGCGAAAAATGACTCAAAAACATGCATTTTTGGGCTAAAAACGTAAAAATGTTTAGGCGCAAATAACTCAAAAAGTATTGACTAGAAAAAATTCTTATAGAACATTTTTTGTTTAGAATTCGTCCCTCTGTCGAATCGTGAGGTTATTTTTAATAAAAAAATTCCCACCCTCCAGAAGGGGTGGCATCCACCCCTAGGGTAAAAGCACACATCGGCACTATATAACTTTTATTTCTTGGGCTATTCCCTAGCTACAGTTCATATTTCACGTCAATCCATTCCATCCGAAAAAATTGGTAGCCTAATTGCTTCAGTGATTGGACTATAAACATTTTTCTTTTAAAAATTAATAAATCTCAGTAGTAACAGAGCTAAAAAAATATAAATCACCTCAATCTTATAACAGCAAACTGAAAGCGCATTTGAGTCTGCCGAATGGAATAGATTATTTTATTTTCGATTGTTAACAAGTACGTAAATCAAATTGCATGTATTTTGTATTTACATAAGTAAGCTATTAAGTGAGTATTAAAGATATTCCGAAATAAATTTGTAGATGCGTGCTTATTTACTTTAACTGAGCCTTTTATTGTTTAAAAAACATCATATTTTTCGTTAGAAGTGTCTCCGATTAAACTTTATAATTTATTCATAGGTATAATAATAAATAAATAATAATAAAAATAAAATGGCCATCTTAGTTGGACAGGACGTAATTAAATTACTTGGCCAAACTTTAATAACCACGCCACAAGTTGAAAGAAAAAATTGCAGAGCGTTATTCCTTGAATCATTGTCATTATATTAAAAACAAACTTGTTATTATACTTTTCACAACAATTAGGTTATACGTGCCCAATTTTTCGAAAATGACGCAAAAAATTCGACGTGTATGTCCGTTGTTTTTTTTTTCACAGACTTGCAAAAGACTTATTCAGCCAATAGTCACCTCAAGATTAATAAAGTCATATACAGGGTGATTCACAATTTATCCAAAAAAATTTGGAAATAGATACGTCATGAAAAATGGAGTCAATATCGTAAACAAATTTTTTGTAAAGTCCTTATAGTTTCCGTGGAAAAATTTATTGAAGGGGTAGTATTCTCAACCTTTACATAGCCGTGCTACTGTACTATCTAGCGTCATTCGCCCACGTGGCTCCAGGCGATTCCGAATGCTGAAATCCGATTTTAGTATTATCGTTGTCGCGATAGTGTTTACATTAGTTTTTTAAGTGTCAAAAATGGCTTACGTGTAGGCATAGCAACCCATTTTAATATCTTTTTAATTTATGGTGAACATACATCTGTATTATGGTGAAGCATTTGTGTTATAGTGGAGCAAGACAACATTGGTGTTAGTTCGTAGAAACCCAAACAACCTTCCAAACCAATTTAATAGCAAACTAATTCTTTCCCAAACCGAAGGGGGATGAAATAAAAATCATTCGTTTTACGTCTTAGTTAAGTTCCCTGGCACATCTGAGTTTTTATTTTTCCATTTCACAGCTTCTTTGAATACGATTTTGTAACGAAACTGATAATTTTAATCCTGTAGGCATGTTGTTGATTCATTTTCTTCGACGGCCTTCATAATATCTTCTAGCTTGTAAAAATTAAGAATGCACATTCCATAATTTAAAGTTTAATAAATAAATTCTTAACATACTTGCTTAGGTCGACATTATATGTCGATTAAAGTTGTAATACCTCCCAAATCCTTACATATTTGATAAGAAATATGCATCTACACTTGCTTCCTTGACTTTCCTTTCCTCTTTGAAGAAGACTTTAATCTTGTATAATGCCACATAACATACTACATTTGTTTAATACCCATGCATCGAGGACCATTTAGTTCTAAACTCGTTTATCTTGCTACTTTAGCCCTAGTACAAATGTTCTGCGTAAGTAATCAAATATTTATTAAAATAATTTAAATCTAACAAGAAATTTAACATGTATTTGCATTTTGCAACGTACAAAGACATTCAAGTTCACGTTACCAAGTTGAATCAGATGGAGTTTCGGCTGATGTCGAACAACCTAAATTCCCTCTGAAAATCGGCACCCAGAACTTGTCTCGGAAACAGATCAACTAGAACTTCCAGTGGATAGTGAATAACCAGAACAGAACTGAACAAATCTGTGAATCTTCTGCAGTCGAACAACTAGAAGTTCCAGTTGAGGATGAAAATCCAGAACTTCCCTTAGAGTCGAACAACGTAAAATTCCTTCTGAAATCGGAGAACCACAGCTTTCAGTTGAGAGAGAACATCCAGAATTTCCCTCAGAAACCATGAAATTCCTTCTGAAATCGGAGAACCACAGCTTTCAGTTGAGAGAGAACATCCAGAATTTCCCTCAGAAACCATGAAATTCCTTCTGAAATCGAATGATTAGAACTTCCTTCAGATAAGGTCCTGAAATTCCTGCAGAATGAATATTCTACCGCGGAAACATTGAGGATGTTACTTTAGTGATGAGGTTATGTCGCAAAAAATGTTTACAAGTGATACAAATACTTTAAAGAAGGCAGAGAAAGCGTTAAGGACGAAAAGCTTCCCAGACGACCATCAACGTCAACTGATGAACAACACGTTAATCAAATCAAAGATCTTGTCGCTCGAAAACAGTCGATTAACAATAACAGACCATTTTGATACTGTTGACGTTTCAAACGGTTCGGTAAATAACATTTTAAAAGATTTGTTGTGCTTTAAAAGCGTCAAATCTCGTTTGGTTCCAAAAACGCTCAACTTTTTGGAACCAAGCGTCGCGTTGACATTTGCAAAGCAATGATTTCTACTACCAAGATCTCATGAAGCTCATCATTGTTGAACACGAGACTTGGATCTACGATTACGATCGGAAACAGCCGATCAATCCAGTGAATATCGTGCAAAAGGTGAACCAAGACCGAAAAACCCACGCCAAAATCACTCATAAATCAAGGTCGGAATTATGGACAGACAACACTTGGTTTTGCATCATGGTAAGGCACCGGCTAACACAACATTGATAATTCGATACCATTGCGCCAAAAATTCAGCTCATATCGTCCCACAACCACCGTATTCGCCTGATTTAGCACCGAGTGACTTCTGGTATCCCCTAAACTCAAAAGACCACTCCGTGGACACCGTTTCGACTCGATCGAGGAAATAAAAGCCGAATCGACGAAAACATTGAAGACTATACCGGAAAAGGACTTTTCAGACTGTTTCGAGAGTTCAAAGAGACTTAGGTGGGTATTACGAAATTGATTTGGAAGCATAAATAAAGATTTTTTATTTTTTAAACTTTACCTTATCTTTTGGACAACATGGTAGGAATGTGTTTTGGTAAAAATGTAAGAACTTTGTAGATATAGGGCATTCCATCCATACCACTGAGGTCGAGACCAAACCATTTTTAATTTTCCTGATTTTTTGTTATTATAGTACCTATTTAGAATAGCTTTCATGAATTTTTTCAAATTTTTATTACAACCCCTCAACACACAAAATGACATTTCATTAAATTGTTTTATTTGCCAGAGGTGAATAAAATAACAAACCGACTAAATTTGTGTACACCTTATCAATTAATTCAATTTCAATGGAATATTTTTTGTACAATTACAAAAATACTTTTAAAAAGTAAGTAAATAAAGTGATAAAGTATTTGTTTCTGTGTAAGCGTTTAGCAAGTAATTGATAATTTTCATTTTTGTCCTCCTTCTACCTTCTGATAATAAAAAATACAAATTCTTCTAACCAAATGAGTCGCAGAGTTGTTTTGAAAACAATATTCAGTGTTTCTACCTACTGTGTTTCATAAGCGAAGCGCAATATCCAGGACTTTCATGCATTTTCTGGTAGGTAAGAATTTCGCGCAAAATCTAAAACTAAGAGTAATCTCTTAAGTGCTTTAATTATAGAGATAAATATCTATAACTTTTTGTACCATTTTGAGATCATTTAGCATACTGCACAAATTGATATCTTGCAAGCACCACTTTTCGGGTGGTATAAAAACCTACGGAATTACCAAGCTGAGCATGCTCTCCTTCAGTTGTGAGTTGAAGCTACAATGAAGAGCTCCATTGCCATTGCAGCCTTTGCACTGACTCTTTTTGTAAGTATATGTATACAGAAATTCATTGGTTTATTTAACGCGTATATATAATGGTACAGCTAAGTGAAGTTATAAGAAAAGTTATATTCGTCTTTTTACATTATTTGAAATAATGTGGACACATTTACCACTTTTACTCTTCAGGTCAGTGTACAAGGGCACGCTATTGATATTGATAAATTCAGAGTAGACTCGGATGATGGGTTTGAAGTCGATTTTAAAATTGACATGCATGGAGGTGAATTAGAAGAGCACCTTAGGGCTCCAGAACAACCTGAACACCACATGGCTCCAGAAGAACCTGAACACCAGAGAGCTCCTGAAGAACCAGAGCATCACAGAGCTCCCAAACAACCTGAACACCAAAGGGCTCCCGAACAACCAGAACACCACAGGGCTCCCGAACAACCAGAACAGCACAGGGTTCCCGAACAACCAAAACATCACAGGGCTCCTGAACATGCAGAATACCACAGGGTTCCCGAACAACCAAAACATCACAGGGCTCCCGAACAGCCAGAATACCACAGGGCAACCGAACAACCTGAACACCATAGGGCTCCCGAACAACCTGAACATTACAGGGCTCCCGAACAACCAGAACACCATAGAGCTCACGAGCAACCTGAACATCACAGGGCTCCTGAACAACCTGAAAACCACAGGGCTCCCGAACAACCAGAATACCATAGAGCTCACGAGCAACCTAAACATCACAGGGCTCCCGAACAATCTGAACACCACAGGGCTCCCGAACAACCAGAACACCACAGGGCTCCCGAACAACCAGAACACCACAGGATTCCAGAACAACCAAAACATCACAGGGCTCCCGAACAGCCAGAATACCACAGGGTTCCCGAACAACCAAAACATCACAGGGCTCCCGAACAGCCAGAATACCACAGGGCACCCGAACAACCTGAACACCATAGGGCTCCCGAACAACCTGAACATCACAGGGCTCCCGAACAACCAGAACACCATAGAGCTCACGAGCAACCTGAACATAACAGGGCTCCTGAACAACCTGAACATCACAGGGCTCCCGAACAACGAGAACAGCACAGGGCTCCCGAACAACCTGAACATCACAAGGCTCCCGAACAACTAGAACACCACAGGTCTCCCAAACAACCAGAACACCACAGGGCTCCCGAACAACCAGAACACCACAGAGCACCCGAGCAACCTGAACATCATAGGGCTCCCGAACAACCAGAACACCACAGATCTCCCGAACAACCAGAACACCACAGAGCTCCAGAACAACCTCAACATCATAGGGCTCCCGAACAACCAGAATACCATAAAGCTCCCGAACAACCTGAACATCACAGGACTCCAGAACAACCAGAACAACACAGGGCTCCCGAACAACCTGAACACCACAGGGCCCCCGAACAACCTGAACACCAAAGGGCTCCCAAACAACCTGAACACCACAGGATTCCCGAACAATATGAACATCACAGGGCTCCCGAACAATATGAACATCACATGGCTCCCGAACAACCTGAACATCACAGAGCTCCCGAACAACCAAAACATCACAGGGCTCCCGAACAGCCAGAATACCACAGGGTTCCCGAACAACCAAAACATCACAGGGCTCCCGAACAGCCAGAATACCACAGGGCACCCGAACAACCAGAACACCATAGGGCTCCCGAACAACCTGAACATCACAGGGCTCCCGAACAACCAGAACACCATAGAGCTCACGAGCAACCTGAACATCACAGGGCTCCCGAACAATCTGAACACCACAAGGCTCCCGAACAAACAGAACACCACAGGGCTGCCGAACAACCTGAACATCACAGGGCTCCCGAACAACCAGAACACCATAGAGCTCACGAGCAACCTGAACATCACAGGGCTCCCGAACAATCTGAACACCACAAGGCTCCCGAACAAACAGAACACCACAGGGCTCCCGAACAACCTGAACATCACAGGGCTCCCGAACAACCAGAACACCATAGAGCTCACGAGCAACCTGAACATCACAGGGCTCCCGAACAATCTGAACACCACAAGGCTCCCGAACAAACAGAACACCACAGGGCTGCCGAACAACCTGAACATCACAGGGCTCCCGAACAACCAGAACACCATAGAGCTCACGAGCAACTTGAGCCTCACAGGGCCCCCGAACAACCTGAACCATACAGAGCTGCCGAACAACCTGAACATCACAGGGCTCTCGAACAGCCAGAACACCACAGGGCAGCCGAACAACCGACACACCACATGGCTCCCGAACAACCTGAACATCACAGGGCTCCCGAACAGCCAGAACACTACAGGGCACCAGAGCAACTTGAACATCATAGGGCTCCCGAACAACCAGAACACTATAAAGCTCCCGAACAACCTGAACACAACAGGGCTCCCGAACAACCTGAACACCACAGGGCTGCCGAACAATCTGTACATCACAGGACTCCCGAACAATCTGAACATCACAGGGCTCCCGAACAACGAGAACAACACAGGGCTCCCGAACAACCTGAACATCACAAGGCTCCCGAACAACTAGAACACCACAGGGCTCCCAAACAACCAGAACACTACAGGGCTCCCGAACAACCAGAACACCACAGAACTCCCGAACAACCAGAACACCACAGAGCTCCAGAACAACCTCAACATCATAGGGCTCCCGAACAACCAGAATACCATAGAGCTCCCGAACAACCTGAACATCACAGGACTCCAGAACAACCAGAACAACACAGGGCTCCCGAANTTGCAAAAGACTTATTCAGCCAATAGTCACCTCAAGATTAATAAAGTCATATACAGGGTGATTCACAATTTATCCAAAAAAGTTTGGAAATAGATACGTCATGAAAAATGGAGTCAATATCGTAGACAAATTTTTTGTAAAATCCTTATAGCTTCCGAGGAAAAAATTATTGAAGGTGTAGTATTTTCAACCTTTACATCGCCGGGCCTTTACATTTACTCTAGTCCCTAGCGTCATTCGCTCACGTGGCTCCAGGCGATTCCGAATACTGAAATCCGATTTTAGTATTATCGTTGTTGCGATAGTGTTTGCAATAGTTTTTTAAGTGTCAAAAATGGCTTACGTGTAGGCATAGCAACCCGGAGTTCATGGATATCGTTTTAATTTATGGTGAAGCAAGACAACATTTGTGTTATTTCATAGAAACCCAAATGTCTTCAATAACCTTCAAAAGCAATTTAATAGCGAACTAATTCTTTCCCAAACCGAAACGGGATGGAATAAAAATCATTCGTTTTACGTCCCGAGTAAATTCCATGTCACATCTGAATTTTTATTTCCCCATTTCACAGCTTCTTTGAATATAATCTTGTAACGAAACTGATAATTTTAATCCTGTAGGCATATTGTTGATTTATTTTCTTCGACGGCCTTCATAATATCTTCCAGCTTGTAAAATTTAAGAATGCACATTCCATAATTTAAAGTTTAATAAATAAATTCTTAACATACTTGCTTAGGTCGACATTATATGTCGATTAAACTTGTAATACCTCCCAAATCCTTACATATTTGATAAGAAATATGCGTCTACACCTGTTTCCTTGACTTTCTTTTCCTCTTTGAAGAAGACTTTATTCTTGTATAATCCCACAAAACATACTACATTTGTACAATACTCATGCATCGAGGATAACCACCATTTAGTTCTAAACTCGTGTATCTACTTTAGCCTGGTACAAATTTTCTGCGTAAGTAATCAAATATTTATTAAAATAATTTAAATCTAACAAGAAATTTAACATGTATTTGCATTTTGCAACGTACAAAGACATTCAAGTTCACGTTACCAAGTTGAATCAGATGGAGCATCCCGAACAACCAGAACACCACAGAGCTCCAGAACAACCTCAACATCATAGGGCTCCCGAACAACCAGAATACCATAGAGCTCCCGAACAACCTGAACATCACAGGACTCCAGAACAACCAGAACAACACAGGGTTCCCGAACAACCTGAACACCACAGGGCCCCCGAACAACCTGAACACCACAGGGCTCCCAAACAACCTGAACACCACAGGATTCCCGAACAACATGAACATCACAGGGCTCCCGAACAACCTGAACATCACAGGGCCCCCGAACAACCACAGAGCTCCCGGACAGCCAGAGCACCACAGAGCTCCCGAACAGCCAGAACACCATTAGGCTCCTGAGTAGCCTGAAGAGCCCAGAGCCCAAGAACAACCAAAGAAAGCGCGTTTGTTTTATTTCTTCTAAAAAGTATATTTATCGGAAACGATTTAAGAAAAAACAAATAAAAACAAATTTTGAATCTATGTATCTATTATATTTCATCAAAATGAAATTCGATCTATCAAGAATTGTATGTGATATTAAAGTTTGTTATTTTTCTGCAACTTATTTAAAAATTTATTTTATTACAAACAATATGTATAATAATACCTTAATCAAACATCGAAAAATTAATTTCGTCTTATTTCAAACTTAAACATATCAATTTATTGAAAATGTAATAACTTTTCAATATTAATATGCCAATTCTAAAAAAACACATGAAAATATCAATTTGTAGACAGTTTTACGTGGAATTCAATCAATTTATTGCTACTTTCATGACTAAATCGTATTTTGAAAGTATGACAAAAACTTGCACTTTTTAAATGAAGCTCTAGGCTACGAATTTATACGAGATGATTAATATAAACAGAGAAAATAAAACAATTTGTTTCCAAATACTATGGAATCTATAAGAATTTCAAAATTCTCTACCCATGCTTAATAAAAAATTATGGACATATAAATAAAAAGGTGCGTAGAACGAAAAAAACGATCAATAATATCAACTGATTTGTCGGACTAGCTGGCCCTGCAAGATCCACCCCAAGTAAAAATCCTACCTACGTCCATGTGAATACTCAATAATGTATCAGTTTCTGTCCACACCCGATTGAGTAAAATTTTCACTCTATTAGTATAAGTATGAATGAAATTATTGCATCAGAAATGAGTTTTACTCAAATCCGAGTTACTGCTAACTATCAATTGAGTGACTTTTGACTCTATTCTGAGTATGTATATAAAACCAATTTAAAGTTGAGTTTTTCTCTATGATTTAAATTTAACTATTATTGAGTCATTTTTTACTCAGACTTGATTTTTAATTAACTAAATATTGAGTTCAAAAATAAATCACTCATAAATGATTAATTAGGATATACAGGGTGTCCCATAATTACGTGTACAACAGAGAACCACAGGCAGGTTTAGGCCAATTATTTTTATTTTTATTTGCTAACTTTTCTATTTAAACAAATAAGTGAGGAAAACAGTTTTTTCACTTTGCAGGGAAAACCATCAATTTTAGCGAAAAGTGACTCACAGACAGCTTATAGGGAGTAAAATTATCTACAAAATGAGACTTATTAAAATAAAACCTATGACAAGTTGAGGGTTTTGTCATACTTCAAAGGTGTGCCAAAAGTGGGCGCTGTAGGTGTAAAAGATATGAATTTTAAGCCTCTGTACAGGCTTAATTTTCAACCAAACATGGTTCTGAAAGCGTCATTGTAATCGACCTATTAAAAAATATCACCGTTCTTTTGACATTAACATTCTCAAATTGAGCATTAAAAAATTCTAGTAAGTACTATTTCTGAAGATTCTTAAGACTTAAAAAATAATTAAGTAGAATAAAATGTATAGTAAGAAGATATTCGGTATCAATTTCCATGTATATATCTATATATTAAATTGAAGGACCTTCTATAATACGTTTGTATCGAATTTGAATTTGAATATAAGCAAAAATGTATTGATTTCATAAGCTAACCATTTTCCACAAACTTCAAATTTAAATCGTGCATTCCGTTCAACTGAAAAAGTGATAAGAGAATCATTTTTTACGAAATTAGGCAACTTATTGTCTATTTTACCCAAGTCTAATGTGAAGCATGTAAATCATACTCTACCCAGAGATTTGAGACACCCGGTATACTTTGAATAGGTTACCACTTGTTGTGTATTGTACGTAGGCGGATATCTTGAATTATTAAGCAATAATGACATTTTTAGGTCAGCGCAGAAGTCCATGATATCACGATGATGAGGTAGATATTGACATTCAAATTGAAACACACTCTGAAGAAAATCCAGAAGGCCCCAGAGCTCCAGGAGAACCTAGAGCTCATGAAAATCCTGAACACCCGGAAGATCCAAGGGCTCCAGAAGATCCAGAAAACCCCAGAGCTCCTCAAGATCCAGAAGATCCTAGAGCTCCTGAACATCCAGAAGATCCCAGAGCCCCTGAAGACCCTGAAGATCCTAGAGCCCCAGAAGATCCAGAAGACCCTAGGGCCCCCGATGATCCTGAAGAACCCAGGGCCCCTGAAGATCCTGAAGACCCCAGAGCCCCTGAAGATCCTGAAAGACCCCAGAGCCCCTGAAGATCCTGAAAGACCCCAGAGGCCCTGAAGATCCTGAAGACCCCAGGGCCCCTTAAGATCCGGAACATCCTGAAGGGCCTAGAGTACCAGATGATCCCGAGGTTACATTCATTCTAGCCGCTGATGAACCCAGAACACCAGATGATCCAGAAGACCCCAGGGCTCCTGAAGGTCCAGAAGATCCTGACGTCCCCAGGGCCCCCGAATATCCTGAAGACCCCAGGGCTCCAGAAGAACCAGAACACCCAGAAGATCCTAGAGCTCCAGAAGAGAAGCATATATCATTCTTTAGCTTCTTCGGCTTTTAATTCACTCATAAATTAAATTTGTTTTATTTCCACTACATATAAATAAAATATCAATAATGTAAATCTATATGTAGGGACCTACCCAAAAATAAACGAATTACTAAATTACCGTCATTAAATTACTAAAAAAACATGTAACGTCGATTTTTTTTTACATTCGAAAGTATAAAAACAAATACCTATATAGTATCTACTCATTCATATACATATGTAGGTATCTACTAAAAATGCTTAAATATGTAAAACAGGTCTCGGTTTTTTTATTTTGGTCAATTTATTCCTATCAATTCTGCCAAAATTGGTCAACCTGTTTCTTTATTTATTTTTTAATTTATAAAATAGTACATATTAATTACGATGACACTTACTCATTGAAGGTTAATGTAGAGATTAAAATTTTATTGATATACTTTTTGGAAATATTGGATGGTTATTCCGAATAACCATCCATTATTCCATGGCTAATTCGTCCAATAAAATTGATAAGTCACCGCTAATCCATCGATCACGTCTCCATTATTATTTTTGATGACTTTCTGAATGCACATTTATTTCACGTCTATTGTTCGCTGAGATTTGCAGGTTAGATTTTTCTCAACTTTTTAACCCTTTTTATATTTAAACATATTTTGCGATTCAAACTAGACATCAGTAAAAGAATAACACAACAAACAGACGACGGTACATATGTAAATTTCACCTGTTTTTGTAGCACCTAGCACCCTTTCTTAGATGTGACAATAATTATAATAGAAATAGCTAAAATCGTTGCCTCTCATTTTGTTGTCATCGCATTATTTATACTTTGTTTCTTTCAACGTTGTATTTACACAAAGTGCAGTTACACTGTTTACCACGGAGCGTAACTTAGTGTTGTGAAAGAACAAACCTTAAATAATCGGTTCACAATAGAGATGAGAAATCCGGTTCATTTTGTTGACCCGGTTCACTGGTTCCGGTTCCTCATACGGAGCCGGTTCAGTGAGCCGGCTCAATTGGGCCGAATTTGTCATGACTATCCCTTCCCTTCTTTTCTTTCTAGTACACTGCTACCCCTAGATAAATGATACTACTGCGACTCGTGTAGCCGAGTGAATGTATTGCGTAGCTTACTTAATAAAATTATTAAACAGATTCATAAAATAGATTGTTTAATAGAATTATGTATTATTTTGAAAAAATAGCAAATAATACAAATAATATACCCAATACCTGCACTGTATGAATTGTGCGAATACGGGTGCACTACTCTTGATTTCGGGGTCACCACTTCCGACATTCGATGAAAAGATCCGAGAGCCGGGACGGATCTTTGGAACTTTAGGAGGAACCGGTTCACTCGGCTCAGTACAAAGAGCCGGTTCAGTGAACCGAATCAGTCATGTTGCGCCCATCTCTAGTTCACATTCACAATCTTGACACTCTTGACAGAGTCAGTTCAGTTAATTTGACATTTCGTGTGACTAAATAATTTTTTGTTGGATGTTTTTAATTTATATAATTTTATTTGCAGACACTCTATTTTCAATTTTTTTTTTGTTTCGATGTTTAGAGAATCTGTAGCTATTTTTGGGTAAGCAGAAATTCTACTTTTCTTGATAAATATAAGTAAAATTTTCATGTGCTACTTTCAAGATCAACATCGTTTTAGCACTTTATTTTTATTTACAATTTGTCCCAATTGCATAATAATTCTATGTTTTTCAACAGTTTAAGCACTAAAAGAAAAATCTATTCGATTTTTTTGAGGTATGCCCTACAAAAAAATGTGTGATGTCTACAAAAAAAATAAAGGAAATGCTGGTCTGGAAGGAATACAATTTCAATTAGATCTGCTTATCATATCTTTCTTAAATGCCTTTCGAAACCTTAAAAACTGGAGAGTCTCGACAGAGGATGAAGAAGCTGGTAAATTCGATGATGTTGTGATAAAATTATCAGAAGAAGCCGCTATCCTAATTCAAGCTAAATGTAAAGCGAAGAAAAATGTTACGAAAGAGCAACTCTTATCTACAAACTGCAAAAATTGCGACTTCAGCTTACCGAAATATTTCTTCTCACATCTCAAGGATATCAAGGAAAAATTTAGAGAAAAAACTATTATTATCTGTACTGATACAAATATTGATGGGAAGGGTTTACAGAACTGTTTAACCCGTCATAGTGTTGACTCGGACCACGTTCTGTACTACGAAGGTGGAAATCAATCATTTTGTATGTTTAACGATAACATTTTGGCAGATTTAAAGACAAGTGCAGAGGTTTACCTCGATAAAAATTTACAAGGCAGAGGCATCGATAAGGCAGTGATAACTGATGAAAATGTGAAAGATTTCCTTAGAAATTTACAAATTTTTCCAAATTATCCCAGCGGAAATGAACTGCACAAAATTATTGAACAATTACTGTCCCTTTTGAGTGATTTAAGTTTATACCGAACGATATCCTACCACGAAATCTACAGAAAAATCGAGGAATGGTTCAAGCAACCGAAAGGCGAATATTTGACGGATACCCGCGCCAAGGCGATGTTCTGCGAAATAAAAAGTGATAAATATTGTGAATCGTTAAAAGACTATTGTGTATCGTTTGAAAACCATTTCGACTTAACAGACTCGAGCACAGTGTTTCATGTCACCGGTAAAGGAGGATATTTGATGCGAGTGTTGAAAATATACCGTTCTTTGCATGACGGTAAAAGCAGAAAATTGTATGTGAATCCTGATGATGACACTGAAGTGCAGAAACAGGTAATAGAAGCATTTGAGCTGCACAGGTATACCTTTTTGATAATAGTTTGGTCGAGTTTTATGGAGCAAAGCATAATGGGTGGTAAATTAAAGGGTATATTAGAGAAGTATAGGTATAAAAAGGTAGTTTTGATAGCTGATAGTGACGCTACACTGACAGGATTGGGAGACGTTTTCCAAGTGGACGGATATGTGACATTCGCAGATCTTTCAAAGGATTATCGAGAGATGCTGTTAAAGAACAAAAACGTCATTTTCCAAGGGGAGACGATAAGTCTTGAAAATTTATTGCATGTGCACTCGACTGAGGATTATGCGAGATCTTTAAATTCAACGATGCTAGAAAAACTCATTAGAGGGGAACGAATCAAAGTGGGGACGCTACCTGTAAATCTAGAAGAAGACACCATTCCTTACTACATAAATCGCACGTTAGAACATAATATCAACAGGCCAGGACGCAGAAAATATCCGTTCCCCGAAGAGAACATATACGAGGTAAAGGAGAAGTTGATTCTGATCTCGGACAGTGCGGGAATGGGCAAAAGCACCTTCCTGACAAGACTGGCTTTGACCGCTAAGCGAAAAATGCCCCACCTGTGGATCATCAAGATAATCCTCAACGATTACACAAAAATTCTGAGGGACACCTTAAGAAAAAACAAACTATCGTTGGACCTAATGGAACTGTTGAATTCGCACGAAGCCACAAAGTTAACAAATGACTTTGAGCGGTTAGTGTTTTCGATAAACGGTAAAGTGCTTTTAATGGTGGACGGGGTTGACGAAATCAGTCCCGACTACACGGCACTGGTTATTAACTTGCTCCTTCACTGTCAGAAATCCGCCAACTTCGTGAAGATATTGGTAACGACTCGCCCTCACCTGACGCAGGATTTGGAACAACGCCTAAAAGTCGAATCGATCAGACTGCTCCCCTTCACAGGGAACAATCAGATAGACTTCCTTGTGAGTTACTGGATGCATAATTTACAACTGGGTGAAACGGACAAAGTTAAGTGTGAGCAGTACGGTAGTGCGTTGATAACAAAAATGTTCCCGTGGATAAAATCTCATTACTACGCGGGAAATCTGTTTACCGCGATACCACTTCAAATCAGAATCCTAGCGGAGATTTTTCAAGAGAACGTTAGGTCCAAGGAACTCGCCGACTGGGAAGGGTGTAGGGAATATTTAGAAGGGAACGAATACGAACCGAAACTCCCCGAAAGGGTTAATATCACCAGATTGTATGACATGTTTATCGAGAAAAAGCAAGACGTCTTCGTCGACAAGGGGAATCCTGGTGGGAACACGGCAGCAAATCGAGCGTTGATCAACCAGTTCGAAGAATGCCTTGCCTACCATCGAAGCCTTGCCCTAGACGAGATTCTCCATCAAAGCAAAAGAGATTTCTTCTCATGTCGTCGCCTTAAATGTGAAGATATGAAAGAGTACATACTGAAGATAGGAATCGTGCAGAGATTCGACGACGAGTTCCAATTCATACACAGGACGTTCGCAGAATATTTCGTCGCCGACAGTATAATAAAGGAGTTGCAACTTCAAAACCAAAACCTCGAGTTTCAGAGGTTCCTGACGAAGTGTTGATGATGAGCGAATTCCAAGTCACCCGTACCTTTTTAGACAGCTTCCTCCAGAAAGTGGTGGATTCTCTCCCTTCTAACATCTTCGAAAGCTATCAGTCCTCGGAAAGCCATGCGCACACCATAGAAAATATCGTTTTCTTACTCGCAGGCGAAGGTTTTGTGGCTATTCTTCAACTCGTATTAAAAAGCGTACAGTTCGAGATCGTAACGGGTAAAGAAGTTAACTTAAGAGATTTACAACGTAAATACCCAGGTAACACTTTAAGCGAGTTACAAGCCCTTGTACGGGAAGCCGGAGTTAACATCAAGGACGTAAGATACGGCATTACTCCACTGTTTTATGCGGTTGAGGGAAACCACTTAGAGATGATCAGCTTTCTAGCCAAACAAGGGGCGAATCTCAATTGTACCGACAGTAGCGGCTACACGGTACTTCACACAGCTGTGCACCACTTAGATACTGTCAAACGCCTTGTCAAATTAGGTGTAGATATGAATATCGTCAACAAGCAAGGTAAAACAGCTGTATTTCTAGCCGCCGCATCACATAAGTGGACCGTTGTGAAGTACCTCGTCGAATCGGGTGCAGACATTAACCTCAGAAATGACCACAATCGCAGTGTGTTGCATTATGCAGCAAAGTGGGGACTGTTGGACGTTATCGAATGCCTTGTTAAGCATGGTGTCGATATAAATGTTAGGGACAACGACGGTCACACGGCGCTGCATGTAGCCGCTTCGATGGTGAACTGGGTTCCTTTCGAGAGCCTCGCGGAATGGTGCATGGACTTTGACATCGACAATAGTAGCGGACGTACTACGCTGCATCTAGCTACGGAGATGGACCAGTTGAAAGTCGTGAAATTCCTCGTGAAGTGCGGTATGGACGTTAACTTTAAGAATAACGAAGGCAACACCGCCCTGCATGTCGCTACATTGAACAGCGAGTTGGAAATCGCGAAATACCTCGTCGAGCAGGGTGCGGATATGAACCTTAGGGGTAGCGAGGGGCGTACAGCTCTGCACCTAGCCGTATTGGTGGGTACGTTGGACACCACAAAGTACCTGGTGGAGCGCGGTGTGGACCTTAACATAAGGGACAATGTGGGAAACACAGCGTTGCACTTAGCCGCGTTCAGGGGCAGATTGGAGACCGTTAAGTATCTCGTGGAGTGTGGTTTGGACGTTAACGTTACGGACAGTTATGGGACTACGGTGTTGCATCTCGCGGCGTTCAACGGGAACTTGGAGAATATCGAATACCTTGTGGAGTGCGGTGTACCTGTGAATGCTAGAGATAAAAATGGAAGCACTGCGTTGCACCTGGCTGCCTTCAACGGGAGGTTGGACAATATCAAGTACCTCGTGGAACAAGGCGCAGATCTTGGTATTAAAGACAATGAGGGTCAAACGGCTCTGGCTTTGGCCTCGATGGATGGGCACTTGGAGAGTGTCGGGTACCTCGAGGAAGTTGCGTTGGGTGTGGGCACGTAGTGACGCTAGAGGCAGAGGTAAATCAATACGTTTAAGTACTGTTTCTATCATAAAATATTGGCAATTCCACCAAAAAAGGGGTTCCAGAAATAAGTGCCAAAATTTTAACCACATATTTAAAAAGTTACATTTGTCAATATACATTCCGTCAAAAAAAAAACATGTTCAATTAATCATCAACATTTATTATGTTCGGGTTCCATGGAGTAGTAATTTGAGTTCGACAATGAGGAAAAAGTCAGTATGAGCCATATCTGGCGAGTACGGTGGCTGCTCGATGACATTCGTTTAGTTTGTTGTTAAAAATTCATTCACAATTATCGTGGTGCAAAATCCAAGAATTGTTCTTAAAATTCGCGGAACACACTTTACGCGGCTAACAAAATTAACAGCTGTGCTATAAACTACTTGACAGATACTTATTTTACATGAAATTTGTATGACTTTTTTGACAGAATGTATTTTTTTGAACTCATTTTTTTTGCATGAAAATAACGCTTATGTACTGCGTATGGATTAAAGAAATACCTATGCATTACATATACGATTTTTTTTAGTGATTCTCGTACCCCACCACTGGACAAGGTAGTGACCGCAAACAATGTAGCGAATTAGTTGCAGCGCATGGAAACTGGGCTGTGCATTGTTGTCAAATCTCGTAATTTAAAGGAAAGTTCATAAACAATCAAATTTCCACATCACGTGCCATGAGGTACTGCTCCTTGGTGTGTTACTTTTATTGTATGGGTGCCACCCACGAGCTCTAACATCATATGAAAACAGTCAACTGGAAATCCTTAAAGGTAGATAGTAAAAGCGTGATGCGATGGCTGCACCAGGCAAGTCAAGACTTCATGAAAAATATTTGACAGATTGACATTCTTTAACAATAAGTTGTCACAGAAGATTTTCTAGATGAAGATGTTTGTTCATAGCCTCTTTCTGTTCATTTCTAAATATATACCCCGTGCGTCATTTTCATATAAAAAACTGGATTGCTTCACAAAGATGTAGTCTAACTGATTGAAATATTTCTGCTGACCTGTTTAATGTTTTTAAAATTATGATTTTGTCATAAATCATTTTAGAAATATTATGACATAGACATCGTACAGAGTTTTACAATTTTGCGGTTTTATTTGTAAATTGTTGGCAGTGTTGCAGCCAATTTTGTTTTGCTTAGTGGGTTGCTAATTTATATTTAAAAACAAATTATGAAATGGAGTGGTTTTTATATCAGATTAATTTATTAAACTTTCATATTTTTCTCAGAAATACAAGTTAAAACTTTTCGCTGACAAATTGTAGACACCATTCCAAGTTGCTCGTGCATTATTATGATGTTCCTACTTCATGTTTTTCTTCTTCAATTTCTTTTAGCCTTAAACATCAAACGTTATGCATGGTATCCCAATATTCCGTACATAAGAAACTACCATAGATTGTTGGGGTCAAAGTAACCCAGTATAAAAACTGGTAGTTCCCTATACATGAAATATTAGAACACTATAGTCTGTTTGGAAATGAAAGAGAGTAATAAAACCCCGAGATAAGAACCGGCCATGGGCGTGGTAATATTTCGTTTCAGGTAATTATCGGGTAACACTAATGCTAACAAAAATGACAGGGATTGGAGAATCGACTATCTACCGACTTTTAAAGGAAACAAAAAATGAATAAGATACTGTAAATCCCCCAAAATCATCTACAGGGAGGTCAAAAGTCGTTATAGATGATATCTTCAAAAATGTAATTCGCAGAAAAGTACACTCATTTTATTTTAAAAAAGAAATACCAACGCTAAACAAAATTTTAAGTGAACTTTCAGAGGACAACGATTTGCCAAAAATCAGTAGAAGCAAATTATGGGCCGTCTTATGAGAGTTAAATTTTTGCTGGGAAAAGCAGAACAGGAAGTCAGTTCTCATCGATACAGATGAAATTATTTGTTGGCGAAGATCCTACTTAAGATGAATTAGAAATTTCCGTGACGAAGGGAGGAATATTTATTATCTAGACGAAACTTGGGTCAACGAGGGATATACTGTAACAAAAGTATGGCAAGATAAAAATGTAAAAAGTTTTCGACAAGCATTTTTTGATGGACTTTCAACAGGGTTCAAGGCACCTTCAGGTAAAGGGCAAAGATTAATAGTGACACATATAGGTAGTGCCAGTGGTTTTGTAGATGGCAGTTTACTTTTATTTGAATCTAAAAATACAGGTGACTATCACGAAGACATGAACGCAGATGTTTTCGAATAGTATTTTACACAGATGTTGGATCTTATTCCTCCGGGGTCTGTAATTGTCATGGATAATACCAGTTACCATTCACGGCAGACCGAGCGGACGCCTACGACTGCTTGGAGGAAAGCCGATATAATTCAATGGTTATCCAGAAAAAACATTTTTTTTGAAACAAATATGGTGAAAAAGGAACTTTTGACACTTGTCAATCTTAATAAAGATCAGAAAAAATATGTTATCGATGAAATGGCAACAAATCGCCAAATAACGGTACTACGGTTACCACCTTATCACTGTGAACTTAACCCAATCGAATTAGTCTGGCGCAGGTAAAAGGAGATGTAGCGCGAAATAATACGACGTTTAAATTAAGTGACGTGAAAATTGTGTTAAGAAATTCCTTGGAACGAGTAACTGCAGATAACTGGCAAAGATGTATACATCATGTACAAAAAGAAGAGGAGAAAATGTGGGAACTCGATAATTTAAATGACGTTACTGTGGAACCTATCGTTATCAATCTAGGAGACGAAGATAATTCATCAGAATATTCAGAGGATGAATTTTAATATACCTACTTTTTTATTTTCTTTATTGTACATTTATACAACACTACATTTACTCACCATAATTTGAATTTTCAAAATACATATATTTTTGTGTGGAATAAAAGTCTATTCATTAAATTTAAATATAAAAACCCTCTTAACCCGGTTATGATGCTTAAAGTAGCCTCATGTTTTGAAATGCTGTTTTTATATTGTTTACTTATAAGAGAAATGGACCGAGAAATTGAAGCGGCATAGACAAAGACGGATTGTCGGGGATTAAATTTTAGCTACCTGCTACAATTTAGTACAGTCCGATCGCACAAAGTTTTGTTAAAAGTACACCTCATCCTATACCGATAATACATAATATAAAAATATTGAATATAAGCACCAGTACTACATTTATTTACGATTTGCATACATAATAAGCTTTTATTACTCTCTTTCATTTCTATACAGACTATAGCACATTCATGAAATTTTACCTCAATAATGTAATCGTAGTGATTTCTTTTGCTGAGAGGTAAACTTCAAATTCTTTTTCCAGCATTTGTCTGATTTCTGTTGCCGTCATAGATTCCACACCAAATTCCGATAATGTCGAGTGGAGACTTACGGATTTGACATCTTTTACACCTGCGAAAAGAAGTATATTGTACTGACAAAACCAGAAAGGTTAAGTTACAAGTGATTAGCAATCGATTTTTTAAATATTTCCATTTACTTTTTTCTCCTGGTGTAATCCAGGTTTAGAAACGTAATACGGGTGAACGAGACTAAGTTTGTGGGTGAGTTGGACCCAAGGTCACAAAAGGAATAGGTTGTCTACAAACTGTTGATCCCCTTTGCCCCACTTCCGCCTATAAACTGATGAGTGACGTCATCGGTATTATAATAATGTCCACGTCAATAATATGTTTGCTAATAAATTTACTAAATAGAGTTTGATCTGTATTTTTGGAGTTTCCCTGTGTCGTCTGACATGAATTGTTCTTGAGTCTTTCTTTTCTGTTATATTGCTTTTTAAGAACTATTAAGTTTACAATCTTTTATCTAAATAAATAAAGTTATAATTCAGGGGGACCAATTTGTAGTATGGATAGTTGTAAAAGTAACGTAAAATGGAAAAAAGAAACTGGATAATCCATTAAGTTTTCACAGGTGCTATTGAAACTAAAAAACCATAACTGACTTTTTGTTGTACTAGTTACTATTATTTGTGATAATTATTGTATCTGTATTTACATATTGTGTAATATTGCTAAAGTAAATAAATAATGTTAACAGGTATTAAAAAAATATTGGTATTTTTTGTTTCAATTTGGTATTTTTTTACATGAAATTTGTGAAAATGTGTTTCTTAAACAACGTTTATTGTTCATTACAGATGTTCTGAAAGCTACATAATATACAGGGTGTTAGAAGTTTGACTGCCTTAATTTTAACAGACGATAGAATACATAAAGATAAACAAAAAAACCTTATATGACATGGGTCCTAAACCCTCAGTTTAAAGAATAAGCGAACGCTTATCAAGGTGGTACTTCAACCGCAGCTAACCTACGCCTCCACGGCGTGGGGTCACGCGGCAAAAAGCCACTTAAAGTCATTACAGGCTGTGGAAAACATAGCCCTCCGCACGGCCACCGACGCGCCCTGGTACGTAAGAAACACTGACATATTACGAGACTTACAATACACAAACGCTACACAGACAATAAGACAAAACGCGGAGAAACGATTTGACGTAGCCGCTAGACATGACAATCCCCTCCTCAGGCAAGCCGTTGACTACGTACCCGACGTGACCGACAAACACAAAAGACCTAGACACCAACTTTTTGACCCTGGGTGACCACCCCAATGACCCCCCCCCTGCCCGCTAACCTTTTCTGTTTCAGAGACAGCCAGGATCAAGAAACGAAGACAACGACACACACACACACACACACATACACACCCCCCATACCCTCCTTACCCCTCCCCTCCCGCGCTAGCCTAAGGGCCACCTTAGCAAAGCGCATCCCAGGCTGCATAGCCGCACTACCCTACCCAACCATACCACACATAAACATGACACTACCCCCGGGGTTTACACAGACGAGCCGGCGAAGCAAGAAGAGCGCCAGAAGAAAGGGCCCTAGCCGGCGGGGCCCAGCCAGGACAAAAGGAGGTCCCACAAAGCGCCTACACCGGCCGCATTTGCGGTCGGGGTAGACGACGGATGGGGCCCACCTACGAAGGCTGTCCAGGCCTACACGAGATGAGGCAGGATAAAGAGGGATAATCCCCCTCGATCCCAAATCATTGAGGCCAATTTCTAGCCATGGAATAGTGGCGCGTGGCGCGGGTCCTAAACAACTCGACAATATCTGAGAAAAAAATTATCAAAATCTCATTGATGTTCGATTAATTAAAGGATATTGACGTAATTGCGTTCGTAGAATACTGTAAAATACAATGTTTATCACTTTTTTGAACTTCTCTATGCTTAATTCTGAAAAATAATTAACTTATTAAATTTATACCTAATTCGATAAAATTCATATCTAGCAATGTGACAACGGCGCGGCGGCGGTTAACACGAAGTACTAAGCTTTCCAGCAATAACGCAATTCAGTTGGTGTTGGATCTGGAATTGGACCGTGTCGAAGTGTTTTTTGCGTACCACTATTTCCTTTTCTAGGGGTGTTTTCCAGCGAGTGCGCGAAAATTGGATTCGAAGGTGTCGTGCGTGCATCGAAAATAGTGGTGGACATTTTGAGCATATGCTGTACTTGTGCGTTTAAAAGTTACTGAATTTTGCTTTTTGCTAAGTCCCTAAATTATTTTTAATACGTATGATTATTTGGACGACGTGAATCTTTGGGTAGTTTGATTGCATATTTTTCAAATTCATAATTTGATTAAAAGTTAAGTTCCTATTTTAAGAGATTCATAATTACTAAAATTCAAGTTAAAATTTAAGCACAACACGAAATCGATACATTCTATTTTATTTATTTAAAAACTGGAAAACAATTGTCCTGAAATTTACTAAATGTTTCACAATTATAGTTGCTTACATTTTTTCCGTAGGACAAGTCTGCCACGTGCACACATGGTGTGCATCAGCTGTGTAGCGCTGTTATTACGTGATGAAATTCCCCAATATTAAAACTAGCAAATCAAAACTGAGTGAGACAACGTGAACCGAAGGAACTCTATTAATGAACTACCTACCTAAAATATTGAGAACCGCGTCGACGACATTATGAGTTGTATTTTCTCCATGTTTCTCTGCTACCACAAAGCTAGATACAATAGTGGCCTCCTCCTGTCTAAGAAAAATATCCATGGCTTGAAGACAGCTCGAAATGCTTTGCAGTAAGGCACCATTTATTTCGGTAATTTCCAATGTTTCTGCAACGATGCCAACCTAAAATTTACCCCGATGTAGACGCAAACATACAAGGTGTTAGAAGTTTGACTGCTTTAATTTTAACAGACCATAGAATACATTAAAATAAACAAAAAAAACTTATATGACATGGATCCTAAACTCGACCATTTCCGAGAAAAAAAAATTATCAAAATCTCCAACTTAATGTACAACAGTTCGATTAATTAAGGAATATTGACATATCTGCGTGCATAGAATACCATAAAATACAATGTTTATAATTTTTTTTAACTTCTTTGTACATAATTCTAAAAAATAATTAGCGTTGTAATACATTTAAAATTCGATAAAATTTATATCGAGCAATGTGACAACGGCGCGACGGTTAACACGAGGTACTAAACAGTCCAGCAACCAGCAATACGCAATTCAGTTGGTATCTGGAATTTGACCGTGACGGAGTGTTTATTGCGTACCACTATTTCCTTTTCTTGAGGTGTTTCTCCTTGCTTTTTTTAAGTGATAATTTTCCAGCGAGTGCGCAAAAATTGGATTCGAAGGTGTCGTGCGTGCATCGAAAATGGTAGTGGACATTTTGGTCGTAGTTTGTTTTGTAATTAATTGCGCGTTTAAAAATTAGTGAATTTTGCTTTTTGGTAAGTATCTAAATTATTTTTAATACGTATGACGACGTGAATCTTTGAGTAATATGCGACTACAAAATCAATACATTTTATTTTATTTATTTAAAAACTGGAAAAGAATTGTCTTGAAATTTACTAAATGTTTCACAACAATAGTTGCTTACATTTTTGTTATTCCAGAACAAATCTTCCGCGTCTGCAATATTAATACTCGCTGTATTTTGAAAACTGTTAATCTCCACCCCCCTCCCCCCTTTAATATAAAACTTTTTTTTCACTTATGATTACTATCTCATACTGAAGACAGTCAAACTTCTTACACCTGTATAGTACAGGAAAAATTTTGAGGAAGAGTAATTCAAGTAAATTATAGAAGTTTCCACTAACCTCTCCAATAAGGCCCCATTCGATTGCAAGTGCTGGATATCCATCCTGCTTCCTTTTCTCGCAAATCTTCTCCATTACGGAATTTGCCATACCATAATTTGTCTGCCCATTGCTACCCCGTCCGCAAGAAACGGATGAGAATATAACAAACTGCCTATTAAGAGAAAATAACCGGTAGTGTTAGAGGATGTGCCACTTCCCAGTGGAATTTCTTTGGAAACTAAAAGACATAAGCGTTAAGTTGGTGCTAGAAACCGCAATCAGAGGGTAGCAAAAAGAGTTCAGCTCGACATCAACAGTATTTTTGTTTATCTAGTAGAAAATGTCTAGGATTTATTGAGCTAACTGGGCAACCAAAATCATTTTTTGTTAATTAGTTGTAATTTTAGTTATCTACCAGAAAATATGAACAGTTTTTTATTTTTCCTCAAGTACCAGAATGGGAAAGGTCGTAAACACTGGTAGTAGTAGCAATTCATGAAGTTAAAAAACTTGCCACTTGCCAAATTCGGTTTTTCTGGATAGAAATATCAATTTTTTTAAGCATATGATGTATAGAACAAGAGGATCTGCCTACTTGTTGACATAACCTGCACCTTTGGGGGAGAGTGGAGTAATGAAAGTAAGAAATACAATAAATAATAATGATAATGCTTAATTTATCAAATCTGAAGACGTCACTCGCGATGCCTCCTAGATTATTATACAAACGTCAAAATTAGTAAGCAGGCAGACGTTAGCATCGCTTACTTTGATTTACCTTCGTTCTTATAGTTGGAGTTGTGTTTGTTCAACAACATTTACGAGTATGAAGATAAGTAAACGAATATTTCTATGTTGTAGAATCAATTACTGTCCTCCACTTACGGCTAGTATCTACAGAGCCTTCATAATTGCCCGAGTCCCAAGTGACCAGATTTATCTTGGCGCTCAGTAAATTTGATTTTAAGTTGGTGTTTCAAAAATTATCAAAGAAAATTTATCAGCTAGGTACCCTAGATGAAATGTCAATCCAGAGGCATACGTAGTTTTTCGTGTTTTTTATACAATTTAGCAGTATTTACCAGTATTTCTGTGCTTTTCTACAAAATCTTTGTCTTTTGAGTTGAAAAAAAGAGTTATTTTCAGAACTTTTAAAACTTGATGTTTTTTCCGTAAGTTAAACGAATATTTTAAGGTTATGACCCGAATGTTAAATTCCGTTTATACCGAAAATAGATGTACTATTATACATTTGATGAATATGTTTAATAAATTTTGTTAGTTAAGTAAGAACTTTGTGTTTCTGTTAGCACTGTTAGCCGTGTATGGTAAATTAATTAAACTAAAATTTATATTTAAATATTGAAGAAAAAAATTAATAAAACACAAACATTTTGTATTTTATTAACATTAGTTTCATTACCTTTTAATGAAAGTAGATTACAAAAGTGCCTGCATTTTTTAACTTATAACCTTGAATCAAAAAATACTTTTTCAGTATAGGATGGGGTAAAAATTTGAAATGTCTTACAAGAATAAAAAAAGAAACACATTTTGGAGAGTAAAGTTCAATATTTGTAAAGAATTTTAATATGTACTCCACTGGACTCTTTCTCTGTCTTTAGGGAATTTTGTGTTTATCACTGACTGGATTGTAAGTTTGGTTGCCTAACAGTCGCGATCACGTGGGATTCGGACATTTCTGAAGGCACTGCATTTAAAATGCTTCATTTAGTTTCTAAAAAGACGCCATTGGAAATATTAGGTAGCACATTGTACACTGCCCAGCGGTTGTTATTACTTTAGATCGGGACACATTTCCCTAGTCAATTCATCCAGATACTCCGTGGCTATTGCTTTAGGAGCAAAACATGTATAAAAACTTTCCGTAGTCTGATTTTCAAAGAGGGAGTTCTGTAAAACCAAAGCCAGGTTGAAAACCGCTTCTATTCGACCTAACTGCAAGGACCTTTCGATCAATCTTTTGCAACCACTTTTAGTTGTCACTGCATCTGTAGATACTGTCACTAAAGCTCCGTATGACTGCCATGTTCTAGAATTACGATTTTTAAATGCAACAAAAGAGCAAGTATCTTCCTTTACCTAATTCTCTTCTCCTGGTAGCCGTTACTTATACCTTTTCTCGAATTCAGTACCAATTTCCGTGCTCCTCTGAGTACCAACCAATCAGCCAGTTCCAAACCGAATCCCCCCAAGCCTCCTATGATCACGTATGTCTTTTCTGGATCGCAAAAATATCTAAAACTCAAAATTTCGTGTTATAAAGTGATTGACATTTCCCAAACCTCTTATCACCTCATTGTAGCGGAGAATTTTTGTGTACGAGGCAGCGCCACGAGATGCTCTTCAGGTTCTCGTACCTTGACCAGAACTTTACCGGAACGGTTTGTATCGGCAAACCTAAATGCTTGTTCAATCTCGTCATATTTGAAGACGTTTCTTATTAAAGGCTGGACAGCGTCATCTTCGAGCGCCTCTGCAAATAATTTGCCCACCTCTGCTCGAGCACGGGGTGTTCCCTTTAAAAGTTGACCAACTGCAACACCGTGAAAACTGCCTTCGTTTTTAAAAAGAAGTAAATCGATGTGACTGTTATTCGATATACCCTCCCTGATTAGTTGTAAAACTCTTCCTCCACGGGCAAGACAGTTCAGTGAAGAAGCAAGCTTGCCGCTTGGCATAGCGCTGAGCACGATGTCCACGCCTCTGCCATCGGTTGCTTGGTGTATCAGTTGATCCGACCATTCCTCGAAGGAATTACCAATATCGGAGTCTAAAATTTTAGACAATGTAATGATTATATCCGATAAAATGGATCTAGATACCTTTCAACTGAGGAAATGTGCTTTTTAGAAACTGACGCTCGCTTGGATTGTCAACAGTGGTGTACACAACACCGCCGTAATATAGAGAGAGACGTATGGCGGCTTGTCCAAATTCCGTAGCTCCTGAATGGACTAAAATCGTTTCCCCTGCTCTCATTTGCCCCAGCTGTAAATTTAAGGTAATTTAGAGTAACTTGTATAAAAGTACGGGAACCCCAAACAATCTCGCAAGATATGCATTTTTCGGAAAAACTAAATATAGGAAAAGTTTGTATTTTCCCTGACCACGTGGTCATTATGGGAGCAAGACGATTTTTTTAAATCGGAACCCCCCATTTTGACTCCGGAAATGCAAAGAACGGATTTTACGTTCAGATATGACCTTGACCATTTCAAAAATTTCAAAATGGCGAAATCTAGATGGCGGATGAAATTTTTGAAAGTTAACCAATTGTCACCAAATCTTGTATACGGAAGTTGTCGAGGTCGTTGATCACGAATGCGCGGTAGGATTTAAAAAATCAAGATGGCGGATCCAATATGGCGGACGAATGTCTCGAAAATCAACCGATTTGCACCAAACGTTGTATACGGGGGTTTTTGGGGTTGCTGATCACGAATCCGAGGTCAAATTTGCAAAATTCAAGATGCCGAATTCAAGATGGCGGACCAATTTTTTGAAAATCAGTCGAATTGCATCAAAGATGGTATACGGCCGTTTTGGGGATTGCTGATCACGAATGTGGGGTCAGTGACCCCCAAAACCCCGTATATCAAATTTGGTCCCCACTGATTAAATTTAAAAAACCCCACCCACCATCTTGAATTTTGAAAATCTGACCTCGAATTCGTAATCAGCGACCTCGAAAACCTCTGTATACAAAATTTGGTGACAATCGGTTAACTTTCACAAATTTCGTCCGCCATCTTGATTTCGCCACCATTTTGAAATTTTTGAAATGGTCAAAATGTGATTGTTTTTTTACTTTTTTTATGCTATCAAGGCCTTCAAAAAACCATTTTTGAAAGGGCTTGAACAAGTTGATATTTACGAACATATGCAAACTTGAAACGGCCATATCTTATTTAATTTTTTTCCTACAGAAAAAAAAAACAAAATTTTCAAGAAAGCAGAAACTACAATTTTGTACTCTATAAAATTTTGCGTATCATTAATAGTTTTTGAGTTATTTTGAAGAAAAGACAATTTTTTTTAAAAATACAAAAATTCTCTTTTCACTTCAAGCTCAACTTTTTTCAAAACCAAGCACTCTAAACCGGTCAAACTTCTAGAGCATATTACAAGTACATAAATAAATAAAGTAAATTGTAAAGTGGTAACGATTATTTTCAATTGGGATGGTAATTAGGGGGTAATTTTCACCTTTCTTTTGTCACCGAAAACAATAGGGACCAACTTTATTTGCGTCATAACTCGCTTAGGTTTGATGCTAGGGATTTTTATAACATAATAAAAATAAAGGTTTTTTCAAGAACTTTAAAAAAGGTTCTATGAGTATTCCCTAAAAAATGCATTGGTTTTTGGTTATTTCAGGATCAAACTTTCAATTTTGGGGTTTGACGAATAAGAGCAAACCTTCAACAAACTATTACTCCGCTTGTATTGGGTTTACAGACAACATAAAAATACCACTCTTTTTGTTTGTTTATAAGCTACATTTTTTATAAGAATAATTTTTTTGATAAAATACTTTATGAGTTATTCGCGAAAACCGTCTGAAGAAGTGGTTTTTTGGTTAAAAAATTTACACTTTCACTCACGAATAACTCGAAAAGTATTGACTTTCAGAAAAAAACTATATAGGACAAAAGTTGCTTAGAATTAGTCAATATATCCATTCCCGGAATTATTTTCAATGAAACATTTTTCACCCCCGAGAAGGGGTGGCATCCACCCCCAGGCTAAAAGCAACCCCCGGTATAAGGTCAACTTTGAAGTAGAGGGTAAATAGAACCTAAATCCAAATTTTTATGAAATACGGTGTTGTTTGGCAAAATTATACGGGAAAATGGTTATTGACTGGGCTATAAATGAAATTTGATGGGCTAGCACTGATCAAATTTCAAATAAAAAACTTACAATTACTAAGGCGTATAAAAGGCTTGTATACACGAGAGGTACAGTGGCAGCATCTTCCATACTCCAAGAATCCGGTATTTTAAAGGTGAGATAGGGGTCGGCCAATGTTAAACTTGACAGTGCTCCATCAGCAACTACACCCATTACCCTTCGTCCCCTAACAAATTGAAAATACTTTTTTATTCATTTTGGAATTATCGCGTTCTATGATTGACAAAACTCAAGTCTGAACTGAACTGAATTTCGAAATATTGAACTAAATATGGCGGTTAAAATTGATTTTATTCGTAAAATATTCTTGTCAAATGGTTAAGGACCGTATACCTCTTATCCCGTCCAGAAAATTCTAATCCCNCATTTTGGTCGTAGTTTGTTTTGTAATTAATTGCGCGTTTAAAAATTAGTGAATTTTGCTTTTTGGTAAGTATCTAAATTATTTTTAATACGTATGACGACGTGAATCTTTGAGTAATATGCGACTACAAAATCAATACATTTTATTTTATTTATTTAAAAACTGGAAAAGAATTGTCTTGAAATTTACTAAATGTTTCACAACAATAGTTGCTTACATTTTTGTTATTCCAGAACAAATCTTCCGCGTCTGCAATATTAATACTCGCTGTATTTTGAAAACTGTTAATCTCCACCCCCCTCCCCCCTTTAATATAAAACTTTTTTTTCACTTATGATTACTATCTCATACTGAAGACAGTCAAACTTCTTACACCTGTATAGTACAGGAAAAATTTTGAGGAAGAGTAATTCAAGTAAATTATAGAAGTTTCCACTAACCTCTCCAATAAGGCCCCATTCGATTGCAAGTGCTGGATATCCATCCTGCTTCCTTTTCTCGCAAATCTTCTCCATTACGGAATTTGCCATACCATAATTTGTCTGCCCATTGCTACCCCGTCCGCAAGAAACGGATGAGAATATAACAAACTGCCTATTAAGAGAAAATAACCGGTAGTGTTAGAGGATGTGCCACTTCCCAGTGGAATTTCTTTGGAAACTAAAAGACATAAGCGTTAAGTTGGTGCTAGAAACCGCAATCAGAGGGTAGCAAAAAGAGTTCAGCTCGACATCAACAGTATTTTTGTTTATCTAGTAGAAAATGTCTAGGATTTATTGAGCTAACTGGGCAACCAAAATCATTTTTTGTTAATTAGTTGTAATTTTAGTTATCTACCAGAAAATATGAACAGTTTTTTATTTTTCCTCAAGTACCAGAATGGGAAAGGTCGTAAACACTGGTAGTAGTAGCAATTCATGAAGTTAAAAAACTTGCCACTTGCCAAATTCGGTTTTTCTGGATAGAAATATCAATTTTTTTAAGCATATGATGTATAGAACAAGAGGATCTGCCTACTTGTTGACATAACCTGCACCTTTGGGGGAGAGTGGAGTAATGAAAGTAAGAAATACAATAAATAATAATGATAATGCTTAATTTATCAAATCTGAAGACGTCACTCGCGATGCCTCCTAGATTATTATACAAACGTCAAAATTAGTAAGCAGGCAGACGTTAGCATCGCTTACTTTGATTTACCTTCGTTCTTATAGTTGGAGTTGTGTTTGTTCAACAACATTTACGAGTATGAAGATAAGTAAACGAATATTTCTATGTTGTAGAATCAATTACTGTCCTCCACTTACGGCTAGTATCTACAGAGCCTTCATAATTGCCCGAGTCCCAAGTGACCAGATTTATCTTGGCGCTCAGTAAATTTGATTTTAAGTTGGTGTTTCAAAAATTATCAAAGAAAATTTATCAGCTAGGTACCCTAGATGAAATGTCAATCCAGAGGCATACGTAGTTTTTCGTGTTTTTTATACAATTTAGCAGTATTTACCAGTATTTCTGTGCTTTTCTACAAAATCTTTGTCTTTTGAGTTGAAAAAAAGAGTTATTTTCAGAACTTTTAAAACTTGATGTTTTTTCCGTAAGTTAAACGAATATTTTAAGGTTATGACCCGAATGTTAAATTCCGTTTATACCGAAAATAGATGTACTATTATACATTTGATGAATATGTTTAATAAATTTTGTTAGTTAAGTAAGAACTTTGTGTTTCTGTTAGCACTGTTAGCCGTGTATGGTAAATTAATTAAACTAAAATTTATATTTAAATATTGAAGAAAAAAATTAATAAAACACAAACATTTTGTATTTTATTAACATTAGTTTCATTACCTTTTAATGAAAGTAGATTACAAAAGTGCCTGCATTTTTTAACTTATAACCTTGAATCAAAAAATACTTTTTCAGTATAGGATGGGGTAAAAATTTGAAATGTCTTACAAGAATAAAAAAAGAAACACATTTTGGAGAGTAAAGTTCAATATTTGTAAAGAATTTTAATATGTACTCCACTGGACTCTTTCTCTGTCTTTAGGGAATTTTGTGTTAATCACTGACTGCATTGTAAGTTTGGTTGCCTAACAGTCGCAGTCACGTGGGATTCGGACATTTCTGAAGGCACTGCATTTAAAATGCTTCATTTAGTTTCTAAAAAGACGCCATTGGAAATATTAAGTAGCACATTGTACACTGCCCAGCGGTTGTTATTACTTTAGATCGGGACACATTTCCCTAGTCAATTCATCCAGATACTCCGTGGCTATTGCTTTAGGAGCAAAACATGTATAAAAACTTTCCGTAGTCTGATTTTCAAAGAGGGAGTTCTGTAAAACCAAAGCCAGGTTGAAAACCGCTTCTATTCGACCTAACTGCAAGGACCTTTCGATCAATCTTTTGCAACCACTTTTAGTTGTCACTGCATCTGTAGATACTGTCACTAAAGCTCCGTATGACTGCCATGTTCTAGAATTACGATTTTTAAATGCAACAAAAGAGCAAGTATCTTCCTTTACCTAATTCTCTTCTCCTGGTAGCCGTTACTTATACCTTTTCTCGAATTCAGTACCAATTTCCGTGCTCCTCTGAGTACCAACCAATCAGCCAGTTCCAAACCGAATCCCCCCAAGCCTCCTATGATCACGTATGTCTTTTCTGGATCGCAAAAATATCTAAAACTCAAAATTTCGTGTTATAAAGTGATTGACATTTCCCAAACCTCTTATCACCTCATTGTAGCGGAGAATTTTTGTGTACGAGGCAGCGCCACGAGATGCTCTTCAGGTTCTCGTACCTTGACCAGAACTTTACCGGAACGGTTTGTATCGGCAAACCTAAATGCTTGTTCAATCTCGTCATATTTGAAGACGTTTCTTATTAAAGGCTGGACAGCGTCATCTTCGAGCGCCTCTGCAAATAATTTGCCCACCTCTGCTCGAGCACGGGGTGTTCCCTTTAAAAGTTGACCAACTGCAACACCGTGAAAACTGCCTTCGTTTTTAAAAAGAAGTAAATCGATGTGACTGTTATTCGATATACCCTCCCTGATTAGTTGTAAAACTCTTCCTCCACGGGCAAGACAGTTCAGTGAAGAAGCAAGCTTGCCGCTTGGCATAGCGCTGAGCACGATGTCCACGCCTCTGCCATCGGTTGCTTGGTGTATCAGTTGATCCGACCATTCCTCGAAGGAATTACCAATATCGGAGTCTAAAATTTTAGACAATGTAATGATTATATCCGATAAAATGGATCTAGATACCTTTCAACTGAGGAAATGTGCTTTTTAGAAACTGACGCTCGCTTGGATTGTCAACAGTGGTGTACACAACACCGCCGTAATATAGAGAGAGACGTATGGCGGCTTGTCCAAATTCCGTAGCTCCTGAATGGACTAAAATCGTTTCCCCTGCTCTCATTTGCCCCAGCTGTAAATTTAAGGTAATTTAGAGTAACTTGTATAAAAGTACGGGAACCCCAAACAATCTCGCAAGATATGCATTTTTCGGAAAAACTAAATATAGGAAAAGTTTGTATTTTCCCTGACCACGTGGTCATTATGGGGTCAAGACGATTTTTTTAAATCGGAACCCCCCATTTTGACTCCGGAAATGCAAAGAACGGATTTTACGTTCAGATATGACCTTGACCATTTCAAAAATTTCAAAATGGCGGCGAAATCTAGATGGCGGATGAAATTTTTGAAAGTTAACCAATTGTCACCAAATCTTGTATACGGAAGTTGTCGAGGTCGTTGATCACGAATGCGCGGTCGGATTTAAAAAATCAAGATGGCGGATCCAATATGGCGGACGAATGTCTCGAAAATCAACCGATTTGCACCAAACGTTGTATACGGGGGTTTTTGGGGTTGCTGATCACGAATCCGAGGTCAAATTTGCAAAATTCAAGATGCCGAATTCAAGATGGCGGACCAATTTTTTGAAAATCAGTCGAATTGCATCAAAGATGGTATACGGCCGTTTTGGGGATTGCTGATCACGAATGTGGGGTCAGTGACCCCCAAAACCCCGTATATCAAATTTGGTCCCCACTGATTAAATTTAAAAAACCCCACCCACCATCTTGAATTTTGAAAATCTGACCTCGAATTCGTAATCAGCGACCTCGAAAACCTCTGTATACAAAATTTGGTGACAATCGGTTAACTTTCACAAATTTCGTCCGCCATCTTGATTTCGCCACCATTTTGAAATTTTTGAAATGGTCAAAATGTGATTGTTTTTTTACTTTTTTTTATGCTATCAAGGCCTTCAAAAAACCATTTTTGAAAGGGCTTGAACAAGTTGATATTTACGAACATATGCAAACTTGAAACGGCCATATCTTATTTAATTTTTTTCCTACAGAAAAAAAAAACAAAATTTTCAAGAAAGCAGAAACTACAATTTTGTACTCTATAAAATTTTGCGTATCATTAATAGTTTTTGAGTTATTTTGAAGAAAAGACAATTTTTTTTAAAAATACAAAAATTCTCTTTTCACTTCAAGCTCAACTTTTTTCAAAACCAAGCACTCTAAACCGGTCAAACTTCTAGAGCATATTACAAGTACATAAATAAATAAAGTAAATTGTAAAGTGGTAACGATTATTTTCAATTGGGATGGTAATTAGGGGGTAATTTTCACCTTTCTTTTGTCACCGAAAACAATAGGGACCAACTTTATTTGCGTCATAACTCGCTTAGGTTTGATGCTAGGGATTTTTATAACATAATAAAAATAAAGGTTTTTTCAAGAACTTTAAAAAAGGTTCTATGAGTATTCCCTAAAAAATGCATTGGTTTTTGGTTATTTCAGGATCAAACTTTCAATTTTGGGGTTTGACGAATAAGAGCAAACCTTCAACAAACTATTACTCCGCTTGTATTGGGTTTACAGACAACATAAAAATACCACTCTTTTTGTTTGTTTATAAGCTACATTTTTTATAAGAATAATTTTTTTGATAAAATACTTTATGAGTTATTCGCGAAAACCGTCTGAAGAAGTGGTTTTTTGGTTAAAAAATTTACACTTTCACTCACGAATAACTCGAAAAGTATTGACTTTCAGAAAAAAACTATATAGGACAAAAGTTGCTTAGAATTAGTCAATATATCCATTCCCGGAATTATTTTCAATGAAACATTTTTCACCCCCGAGAAGGGGTGGCATCCACCCCCAGGCTAAAAGCAACCCCCGGTATAAGGTCAACTTTGAAGTAGAGGGTAAATAGAACCTAAATCCAAATTTTTATGAAATACGGTGTTGTTTGGCAAAATTATACGGGAAAATGGTTATTGACTGGGCTATAAATGAAATTTGATGGGCTAGCACTGATCAAATTTCAAATAAAAAACTTACAATTACTAAGGCGTATAAAAGGCTTGTATACACGAGAGGTACAGTGGCAGCATCTTCCATACTCCAAGAATCCGGTATTTTAAAGGTGAGATAGGGGTCGGCCAATGTTAAACTTGACAGTGCTCCATCAGCAACTACACCCATTACCCTTCGTCCCCTAACAAATTGAGAATACTTTTTTATTCATTTTGGAATTATCGCGTTCTATGATTGACAAAACTCAAGTCTGAACTGAACTGAATTTCGAAATATTGAACTAAATATGGCGGTTAAAATTGATTTTATTCGTAAAATATTCTTGTCAAATGGTTAAGGACCGTATACCTCTTATCCCGTCCAGAAAATTCTAATCCCATGACACATTCTTCTTCCAGCCTTCTTTGAGTGTTGAAAACAATGTTTCTCCTGCCAGAGGCAAATAGCACATCTTGATGATTTATAGCAGCATAGTACACCTGAAACACAATCATTTGTATCTTAACGTACTTATGAGACTTACTATTATCATCTATAAGGCCTCGCACCTACCGCATCATACCCTAGTGACGACACTATCACTGGTTCAATTAATTACCTATTAATAATAAATAGTACAAGTCCCTAAATTGCCATCTAAGATCGTATTGGTACAATCTATGCCATAATGTTCAAAGTGAGAAATGTCCTCATATGAGTTCAAGGAAGGTCATGAAGAAATGTTTAACTTGAAGAAAACTTCCTTCTACTTACCAGGTTGTATTGTGACATGCTTCATATAATTCAGACTTAAGGAGGTATATCGGGTTTACTCAAATGCACAGATGTACTTGAAATTTATATACGTATTACCCAGTGCTCTCTCTGTGCGTCATATCTTTTTTAAATTTTTTTTTTAATCTAGATTTTGAGATGTTGTTATTGAAAGTTGTTCATTTTACCATAGGTTTATATGGCGAAGATGGACGGTACGGCTCTTTTTTTGCCCATAACGGAGAAAAAAATGTAGAAATTGTGAAACAAAACTTTTCCATAGATAGTACACAGTATTATCTTATTTTTGATGTAAAACTAATGTAAGTTTTGAACATAGTACAGCTGTATTAATTAGAAACAGAAACCAATAATTGCATTTCTGTCTGACTTGAGGATTAATGTGGCAACGTCGCAATCAGCTGACAGCAAGGAGGGAATACATTTGAAAGACTTGATAAAAACGAAATTGATTTCAAACATATACATTTTTCCTAAATCCCATGTACATTGTTATCAACAATAAATTATCCACAACAGATGATTTTTTGTAATGTTTTTAAAAAACTAGATTAATTAAAAAAGACTAGGAAGCTGTGATATATTTATTGGAATAAAAAATACAGTTGATAAATCCTTTTAATATATTTAATGGTTTATAAAAACATCGTAATCATTACCCAGCAATATTTAGGGTTACATAAAGTTTTCTTTACTTGATTAATATAATTAGTAATACTTGAGATAAAAGCATTTGTACGGAATAACAAAGGAACATAAATATTTCTCAGCAAACTTTATATCTAAAAAATTAGTTATAGTTGCAAAACTTTTGTAACATTACTAAAATAGAGATTAAAAACACGAACAGTGAGTAATAATGTAATTTCTATCACAGAACCTTCAAAATTGCATCCAACATTTTCTTTGACTTGGACGAGAGATGGGCGCGAGTGTCATTTCATTTCTTTAGAACTAAATTAACATAATTCTCGTTGTTTTACCAGTTCACATGATTTACGGATTTTAAATAAAGGATACAAATCTTCGCGAGGATAATACGATATATTTGCTATATATAATAATTATATTGTACATAGTTTACACACAATACATTTTTGAACGCGTACGCATCTTTACCCGAATTTGACGCGCAATATCTCCGATGTCCGAGGTCTGTAGGTTCGCAGTGTGTACAACTGCTAGTCAATTATTAGCGCTGTTGCCACATCTACATAGTCTTTATGCGTTCATTAAATATAATTTAAAACTACTTAAATATGATATTTTTATGTTGTTAATTAGTCAATATGTATGCTATGTGCATATGAGTAGATTTCTTTGCTATATAGATAATGTTTATCGCAAATAATTTCAATAGAATTTAATTTTTTCAAATTGGCAGCGGGCTTTAGTCCCATAAGAAAAGCATAGGACTCCCCCTTGGACCCCGATATACCACCTTAAATCTGGTCGAGATGGTTTGGGCAACTATAAAACATTATTTGCAGACAAAAACGTGAGCTTCGATTTGAAGACTGTTTCTCCTGACAAATGGGCATCAAGATCTCAGCATGTTCTAACCGTCGAATAGTTTTTTGTAAAGAAAAAACCTTTGCTGGCCGCTCTTATAAAGGTTTAAAATCACAGCAACCATAACGATATTACTAGCTACCTTTTTGAATCCTTTTCCAATAATATATCCGAAATGAACTCTAATAGACTTATTTTATAAACTTAATTTGCAATTCCCTAGAATTTTCGATAAGGTTTCGAATCCAACCGACAAAATCGCCCGAGGGACGAATTTTCCGAATTTTTTTATTCTTTAAAATAGAAATACAACGATATTCGAACCGTATAATAAACAGTCATGCTTCCGACAGAATATGTATAAAAGGAGATTCGTATCTGCTGTTCAGTTAAAATGCTAACTCTGAAAAGTGCTACTTGTGAAGTGACTTTATGTAGTGTAAGTGTATAACTGTATAGCCTTATAAAGTTATTTATTTCAGTGTCTACTGATGATACAATGTATTTTTGTGTTTTGGTTTTCAAGTATCTGTGTGATATTATGAAAATGCATGTACAGGAATCAAAAAAGAGTTATATGGTTAGAACCTTCTTTTTGTCAGGAGAAAACGATGCTGTTGCAAGAAGACAATGTCAGGTGGATTATCCCGACCGATAATTACCGGAAAAGAAAATGTTTGTAAGACTGGTTCAATATTTAAGATATTTAGGGAGTTTTAAACGCCCATACGCTTAGTATTGAAGCTTTAAGTAGGCGTTGACGGATTTACTTACATGAATCAATGTCTTTTCAGACGGTACAGTCATGTCGTGATGAAGTGCTCCTTCTGTCCATTTCACACTAGATGAGCTTAGACGCGTATTTACAAAACAGTGCTCTTTTTCTACGATATTCATTTGGTCCATCAATAAGGACCTATATGTTCCCCATTGACCGTTTTTATACACATTAACGGCCATGTTCTTCCTCAACTGATCGGCGAAGAAGGGGTTTGTGGGCCGAAACTCGGTATCTTCGTCCATCAGAAACACACATCTAATATGGCTGCGGTTTGGTTCCCTTCTTAGGCAATTAATGAACCCTAGAATACCATTCTTCGGTTCTTTTTCGGCATACAGGATTTGATCGTCGTTTTTGTTTAAGGCTTCCTGCACCTCGTGGATCCAAGAGAAATTATCTGAGTTTATTTTAATGTAATCTGCCCGTTTGGGTTTACTTTGCTTTTGGAGAAGTAGTAGTGTTTCGGTAGCGGTCTTGTGGGCTGTTAAAATCACGAAATCGGGATGGTTAAGCTGGGCGGAATCGTAGTCCAGACTTTCGCGGGATATAATGAAGCCGTTTGCTTTTAGGACTCCATATAATTCTGTTAACATCTAGAATGGTAATAGATTTGTTTGAATTTCTACGTAGAACGCTACTAAATGATACAAAAATCTTTTAATGTAACAAAGAAACTAGGAAAAACAAAGGAAATAAAGAATCTTTCGAGGGAAAGATGAAGAGAAATACGAGAAATGATAGATATGCTTCAGTTCCAATGGTGCCCTCAATGAAAATGAAACAAAAGTGTAAAGTATGTCTTAGAAAAAACGAAATAATTAGAGTATGAGTAGCTTTGTAGAGAATTCAAAATCAATGGTATTACCTCGGGATAGCAATCAGGATTTATCAAATATCCCTATTTTTCTGTGTAGGGGAAATTTCCAGTAACTCTACAGCCTACCATTTTGGCAATGGAGTTTGTTGACAGTGAGAGAAGGGAAGGGAGATAATTTCAATCGAGACGAGGAGTTAGAACTACCTAGAATTGAAATTTCAAAACTAATACGTACCTCTTTCCTCTTTGATATATTAGACACAACAACTAGCAAACAGTTTTTCTCTGTTTTCAGTTCTTTGTCTTCCACAGTCTGCTCCACGTCAACCGGATATTTGCTAAATATTCTAAAGACTTGCTGTATTAGTGGTTGGTCCTTCGAAACCGACTTGATGATGGGTGTTAAAGGCTCAGCATGTTTAGGAGTGAATTCATCGATGACTTCCAGAACTTTGTACTTACATATTAGTGTGTTCTCGAATATTAGTTGGACGTTTACCGTTACGGATTGATAGATATCCAAGTCCGTCACATTTGGGACAAAATCGTACTTCTCTAAGACTGGAGTGAGTGGATCTTTTATCCTTGGTATCGGCTCTAGCACCACCCCTGTGATGGTTACGCCGCAAGATCTGTCAGGTAAGTAAATAAAATTATACATATAATTATATATAACATTACCGGCATTTTTTTTAATAAGACGATCTATATTTTAAGGTGTCTTAGTTATCAAAAAATGTAAAAGCAGTAAAGTGACAATTCCTATTTGAACTGGAAAAAAATATGAATTTTAGGACACAGTATATATCTACAGAACCTTGCCTTCATAAACGATTACAAGTCACGTGACCAGTGAAACTAAACTAAAATAACATCATAGATTACGTTATTTTTTTTTCACTGGCTGGTGATTAATGTAATTGTTCACATTACATCCAACAAATATGGCTCATTTTCGAAGTGGAACTAGAAACGAAAACGTTTCTTGGCAATCTTGCATTGAGTAATTTATAACAGAATTTCCATTGACTTTCTTAAATCGGAAATGTGCTACTGTCAAAAGATTTGGAACCAAAGACTGTATTTGCAAAGGAAAATCTACAAGCGGGCCAACTGTACTTACAGGAAATAGAAAATCATCATGCATTTGTAGAAACCAGTATACATTCCTGAAAAGTAGGCGTGTGGACTCCAACCACTCCACTGAGTTTAGAGACTTTAGGTGATAGTACCAACCGTGCATTGTTGATTGCCTATACTCAACGGTCACGTGACCTGTAATCATTTACGCAGGCTCTGTATTTCTAGACGTATCCACGTCAAAAAAATGTAAACTTTCATTGTGTTTGCTTTAACTTACCTTATAACTTCGGACGCCAGATCGTTGCAAAAAGGAACAATGGTCGTATTTCCCAAAGCTGTAAAGCTGCTATCTATCGCTTCTAAATGCATTTTGGCCCATATTGTCACTTTAGAAATACACATGGGTACATTTAGCAGCCTAGTGTCCAACTGCAAAACCTTCAGTTGGATCATGCTGTCGATGAAAGTGATCCAGTTGTCTTCCCACTTGATGTAGCCTCTTGAAACGTCCAAACTGCACTGTTGTATTCCTTTAAATGCCCCCCTAACATAATACCTTTTATTAACTAATTATGTCGCCATGTTGTCGCTTATTTTCTGTTTACATTTGGTATAAGCAAAGTAAGGTTGTTGTTTCATAAACATATAATAAGTATCCAAGAATGAAGTCGATAAATAGCATGAGTACTTTGTTTATCTTGTTCCAAGTGAATTCCTCAAAATACTAAAGTAGATAAACAAATCATGACGTATTTACAGAAGAATTGAAAATAGGAAGCTTAATTGTGCAGATCAGCAATCAGCAATATGTTCACTTAACTTCATTTATAACTATCGATGAATTACAGAAGACCAAGAGACCCACATATCATTTTAAGGCGCTGAACACGATTCCATTAATAAAATTTGGGTGAAAACTGAACAAAATACTTCAAAAACGATATATTTGGACAAAATTATATGAAACGCAAGTTAAAAACAGTTGCAGTTTTTTGACGAAAAAGTTGAAGAATATTTTGAAAAGGGCAAGCAGTCAAGAATGGCTGTCGAATGATGAAAAAACAATAGGCCTCTTGCAGAAAAAAATATTTTAATATTTTTTGTATCTACACTGAATACTACAAACAACGTGTAAAGGTTTTGTTATATTAATTTATATTTAAAAAGTTATTAGATATTAAAGTTTTAATCGGTTCCCTTCGCGCGCATGCGTCATGGACTGGAATGTCGACACATTGACGTAATCGGTAAGTAAATGGCAAGCGTGACATATACAATAACGCGTTTCGACAGTGCATCTGACTGCTTTGGTTATTAAATGTGTGGAGTGGTGTCAATAAGCAGTACGATACCTTATATATACTGCAAATTTGTGAAGTTAAACTTATAATAACTATGGCAAATTCCTCTAAGCCATATAAATAGTTCAGACAGCATCTATTTCAAAAAGTCCATATTTGGGTAAATCGTATATCCACGAAGATTTTTGGCTTTTTGGCTTTCAAATATCACTAGAAATGAACATTTTTCTATGCGCATAAAAAACGTGGGTTTAACTTTTGGCAGCACAATATGTTAAAAAAATTCGATAATGTCATATTTTTCTTCCTATTTAATTATGTATCTTTTCAAGAGTTCGTTTTAGGCGAAAATGGAAGAGGAAACAAATTTTTGTAATTAAATTTTTTACAGAACATTATTATTGTAAAAATCGAAAAAATCGCCAAATATGGGGTTAAAAAAACATTACTTTTTAGGGAATTTTTTTGAGGTCTTTAAATTGGGTTGGGACTTTCATACTTGGCTCAAGAAAACTTCATGTTATGTAGAATCATCACACCAAATTTCATCAAAATCGGTTAGATTTGCATAATTTTGCAATCCAGATTTTGAAAAATTCAAAATTTTGCACAGCAAAAACCAAGGCCCTTAGATACTTGAAAATTTAATCACTTATAGAAGGGCTCTCAAGTTTTCAAACGGTTTTTGAAAAATTTGAATCCGTCAATTAGGAGAGTATAGAAAAATTTTAATTTCTAGTGATATTTGAAAGCCAAAAAGCCAAAAATCTACGTGGATATACGATTCACCCAAGCTAAAACAGATACCGCCTAGTCTAACACTATTACTGGTGCATTGTACCGATGTGTGAAAATACATCAGTAAAAACGCCAGAAAAAAATGTATTTTAAAATAAATTTATGTAGATATCTATAAATCACATTTTCATACTTGTATGCTTTTATTCCCCTTATTTCTGCCGAATAAAATAAAATGTTTTTCGAAAAAACTCCGCAATCATCATGGAATTTGGTAAATTGTCTGATTGGGCTTTAGCATAACCCTGTTCGGTCATGTTACAAATATTCTTAAGAATTTAAAAAAAACTGAAAACTAATTATGATTATTTAAAATAACAAATTTAGATTCAAAATATTATTTAGGTAGTAAATAATATTATGCTACCCGAGGAAAGCTCACTTGAACTAAACATTGTAAAAATTAAATATTATACCTACACATACTTAATTATTTTGCTACGTAAGTGCATATTTAGGTATACCTGCTACGTAAGTGCATATTTAGGTATACCTACATAATAGAATAAAGACTAGTTAATAAATATAACAGCACATCAGTATCGTTATCGTATCGTATGTAAACTAAAAATAATAAATGTTTTTAAGAACTAATAGGACCGACATCGTTTTCTAATGTAAAGCGGCCAGTCTACTTACCGATGACGTCGCACCAATAGCAACTCGTTCTACGACACGTCCCTACAGGATGCTCATCTCCAAATTTCAACGTACGATTTAGTTAATTTTCGAGTAGAATTTTTCACAAAAGATTTTATAATTAATAATTTTAATAAGGCCATACTTAATTATGTGAACTAATATAAAAAATCCGGCATGTGCAAGAGGCCTATTAGCACCATTGCATTTGGGAGATTATCGAGGAAAATTGATTATCGATTAAATAATGCTCACAATTGCTTTGAGTGAAATTTTGTTAAACAATGTTCAGGAGAGTTGCCACATCTTCGGTTTAACTCCTTGATAATTTGGAAATGCTAAAATGGAGATAAAGTTGGTTAGTTGATATTTATAACGAGCGTTCAAATAAAAACGTGGTCAAGTTGATTCTGAAAATTTGGACGTAGGGCGTAGCGTATAGCAAATGAACTGAAACGTCATCTGTCAAAGCGCTATATCGCCGCTATCAATTTGAATATTTTCATTTTAAAAAGCGTTTAAAATGGTGTTTTCTCAAGAACAAAAAGTGTTTATCATAGAGTCCTACTTAGTATTCTATTGAGGAATGTTTCATAGAATTTCAAAATCAATTTCCCGGCGTTGTTGAGTACAAAATTTTTCAAAGTGCAGTTCAGCGTTGTGTTAAATTTTTCAAAGTGCAGTTCAGCGTTGTGTTAATGTTTTTCGTGAAACGGGCAGTGTAACAAGAAAAGAAGGAAGCGGCCGACCTAAAAAGCGGACTGAAGAATTAAAAGAAAATGTCCAACAAATAATGGAAAATGCGCCAAGAACTTCTGTACGTGTTTTATCACAAATGGTGGGAGTATCAGTCGGTACCTGCCACACAGTGTTAAAAAAAGATTTGCGTTTGTTCTCCTATCGTTTAACTTGTCAGCAAGAACTTCATGAAGTTGATTTTCCGCGACGGGCTGTATTTTGTGAATGGTTTTTAAACAACTACGGTGAACTTCATAATATCACCTTTTTTTCTGATGAAGCCTGGTTTCATTTAAGTGGTTACGTAAACTCACAGAATATGAGAATGTGGTCTTCTGAAAAACCAGATAACTTTTTTGTCGAGGGCCCTCTACACGCTCAAAAAATTGGAGTTTGGTGTGCTCTCAATCGAAGGAGGATTTATGGACCTATTTTTTTTAATGGTACTCTTACTGCGCAAAGGTATAGAGAAGAAATTATCGCTCCTTTTGTTAACCAGCTGGAAGAAAACGAAATTACAAACTTTTACTTTCAACAAGATGGCGCAAGGGCACATACGGCAGGCGAGACGATGAATATGTTGAGGGAAGTTTTCCAAAATCGACTAATAAGTCTCAATGCTGAACATGAATTTCCACCGAGGTCATGTGATATTACGCCGTGTGATTTCTTTTTGTGGCCTTACCTTAAAAACACTATTTTTGAACTGCCTATTCCTGATTTAAACCATCTGCAGGCTCGACTTATAGACAAGATTCGTGAAATTAACAATACCCCGAGCATCTTAGAAAATGTCTTTAATTCTTTGAGGAACAGGTGTGAAAAGTGCTTGGAACAAGGAGGGGGACACTTTCAGCAGCTGCTTTAATTTATTGTTATAACAAGGAGGGGGACACTTTCCGCAGCTCCTTTAATTGTTTGTTATTGTTATCACGATTATTCTTTAAAATAAAGTTATATAGTCATTAACGTTATTGAAACTGACAGCTGCTATACAGCTCGTTGAGAAATGAGGTTAAGTTGGTCGCTATAAGCTACTCCCTACGTCCAATGTGTCAGAGCCAACTTCGACCACGTTTTTATTTGAACGCTCGTTATATGTGTATCTACTTTGAAGTGTCAGGAGACGTAATCTTCAGTTCCAGAGTTTTTCCGCAAGAAGCGATTGATATATCTCCTAGAAATTGTTTAACCACTGACAAGTGCCACGAACGCCTGCGAAAGACACCTGCAATATGCTTACATGTAATTGTATCCCCTTAGCCGTAATTCCTTGTAAACATCGTTTTCATTCAGTGGAAGATGAGTCTTTTCCCCGCATTCTTGAAATGGGCAGTTTGTTTCGTCATCTGACATGTAGATGCGCCCTATAGCAACAGCAGAATTGCCTTCAACCACCTCAAAATTACCAGTCCCCGAATGAATTGCCACTTGCAGCACGAGATCGCATTTTTCTAACATCGTGATGGATCTGAGAAACCTGCAGTTCTCGAATACTACTTGCATGTCGTCGAACCGCATTCTTTTGAGGAAAGAAAATGTTTGCCATACTATGTACAAGTATCCTGTCGTGGGAAATACATTTCTACCTGCAATGTTAAAAACTAGTTAAGGCAATACTGTTTTGATAGCAAAATACTTGCCATCTATGATGTGCCCTGAAAGATGTGCCCACTCCTGATCTGCGATTTGGATTTTGTAAGTTTTCACCCCGTCTTTCGTCGAACTGTATTTTAATACAAACTTCTCCCTGTTATGATTCCATCTGATGTACGGAGAAATCATCCTGGTACCTCTACTTACCGGAAAATCTACCAATGGGTACAGTCTGCTGATCTGAGGATTGTAGCCAATCTCGTAGAGCCTGCAACAACAAATATTAACGTATCTCTCGCTGCTATCAACGACACTGTACCTTCCAATACATTCCATAAAGTCAACGAGATGGTTTTTGCATTCACTTCCAAAAAGTGAGATTACGTCTAAATCTTCAGAGGGATCGATTGGTATGTTGCCAATTAGCACAACGCTTGAGTCCAAATCGGACTGCATTGGAGCTCTTGCATTTTCAAATGAATCTGGCATGATATGCCTTATAAGGTTATCCATTTGGTCTCGCTTGGCTTTGTCATTCTGCATACCATCATTACTTCTTATAGACGAATCTTGAATAGCGTTGCAACCCTTCAAAATACTTACAAAATGAAAAGAAAATAATTAAAGTGTTTCAGGACTTATTGGCTAAATTTACTTCAAGTTTGACCAATTGGTTTGCCCTTTGTAATAACCTGAATATAAAATTTTCACCGCATGTGTCGCCTACTGTGAGGATACAAAAAATTTAAATAAAATTTGAGGCACATGGGCGAGGTAAGCTCCACTTCTTATTTGTGGAAGGGCGAAATCAGCGGTGACTATTAGACGCCTTCATTATAGCCATCTTTCTCTATCGCACGGATTTACCTTATCGCTCTCACGTAACGGCAGATGGACCATCGGTACTTTCCGACCCTGTGTGTTGTAGTATGTGTAGTATGAGTGAATATTACGTTTTTGCGAGAATAGTCAGTCATTTAAACTACTATGTGACATCACAAGTTTAGATCAAATGACTGAACTCTTCACCCTTCAGCTGAATATTCTGTTGGTATATTCAACTAGTATTGTCAGCCGGTAACTTAACCTTTTTCTTTTTGACATTTTGTTTGAATGTGGATAAAAATCGTTCAGCAAAATGATGGATTATGATACGGCTGTGCAAGTGGTCAGTTTAAATTTAAACTTTAGAGGCACAGATGTTTTAGTAAACGTAGACGTTGAAACAGCAAATATTTTACTTTATGGTAAGATTCATTTTTCATATGGGACATATTTGCGATCCACTTTGCTTCAGGATTATCCTCTATTGGTGGAATCATTTGTAATTCAGGTCTTTTTCGTATGAATTACATAAAATACCGACCTAACCTCTTTCTAGTTTACATATATGATTCTCTAAACTTATAACATAAATAAGGAACATCATCATCCTCGTTCCACAAAAATATCAAAAAATATAGAGCCATGTCACAATTTCAGTTTTGTAGCCATTGACATAAATGACCAAATTCCATTCTCTTATAATAACGATTATGTCGAATATTCGCATATCTTGCAACATCAGAATCTACATACTTTTCACGTTTTTTAAAATTGCCACTTAAAAATATTCCAAAGGAAGCATTGATATATTCCTTCAGTTTTATTTGAAGCAAATACATATATTATATAGTGAGATATAACACCAATTCCCACAACACTAGATTACTGGAAGCAATAAAGGATGACAAATTGTGGTTACTGATTAGAAGTTAGAACCCATATGTCATAGTACATATGACAGGCTGCACCACTGAATAGTGAATATATACATTTTCGCGATCTCTTCAGGTTAGACAAGGTTAGAAATAAGATTAAAAGAGATAGAAACAGTAACTACAAGTCAGACGTATTCACCAATATTCACTCGCGAAAAAAAGCCTATTATCTTTGATATTTGACAGAAACGACTAATAACGTCATTAATTATATTTTTTATATTAGAAAGAGTGACCGCAAAAATCGCCCGTTTCTTTCCAATTCGCAGAGAACTAAAGAAAGTAGATAAAAATATGTTTTTGGTCTCAAATTACTCGTCGTAAAAAATTAAGACGAGCATAGCTTTTAATTTTTTGAAATTTTTCAAAAATCACCTCTATTTAGAAGTTGAAAAGATGCCCAAAATGAAGAATTGAATATTACCAATTGTTGCAACTCGTATTGCTTACAGCATATCCCTTGGAATCTTCTGGTGCTGGTTCTGGATCTTTGTATGCCTATAGATATACTGCTCGTACTAAAGGCTTATTTTATTTTTCAATGCCTGTTTAGTACATGAATAACTAAAATATACATTAACAAAATGTACAATGACGGAACTTGTCTACATAAATTCGACAGATCATTGACACTGGCACTCTTGTCAAAATAAGAAGGAAAAAACAGTTTGGGATCAAACACCAATAAATATAAAAACTATTAGCATGTGAATTTTTGTATCGAATGATTCTTGATACAAAGAAAGATTTATTCTCATGACTGAAATAAGCATGCTGAATTAGAAAATCCACCCATCCGCGCTCAGGGGGTGGAACCATCCTCAAAAATAGAGAATTATTTTCCAACGACTACTTGATCCTTCCACCGCTAATCTGATTTTTAGGTGGTATTTCTTTTGCGACTCTTTAGGACGATATTGCTTATAACTTTTAAATGGGAAGTAATACAGGAAAATTTCTCTGATAAAAGTTAATTAGGAAAAAGGGAGCTTTGTAACAGGAAAAATTTGAGTATATTTCTGGAAAAAATATAATTGATGACGTCATTAGTCGTTTCTGTCAAATCCCAAAAATAATACCTTCGATTGAAAATTAACACCACGTATCCTAAATTTTTTTGGTATCCTCACTGTAGATCCATACTATCGAGTATGAAACACCCTGTACGCATTCATTGTACAGAAAATTGTTTTTTAACATTTCCCATTCTTACTATAACCGTATAAACCGCCATATTTAACTTGATTACATTACATTTCGCTAAAAATATGAATATTATTTCTTATTTCCTGGCTATGGTGGAAAATCCTAAACGGCATTAAAAATGTCCATAACGGATTAATCAAGTAGTTTTAATATCGACGGATAGGCCTGTCAGGACCAGTGTCCTGGCCGCCTAGATTACCAGATTTAAATCCTTTGGATTTCTACTTCTGGGATGATTTGAAAAGACGTGTTTAGACAAATCTTATGGCATGTGGAGATGAACTGCGACAAAGGATTTTCCACCATAGCCAGGAAATAAAAAATGATATTCAAATGATTTGGAAAGTACAGCCATCACTAATTAGACGTGCTTGTGAGTGTATTAAGCAAGGCGATTCTCATTTTGAACCATTTTTATAGTAATTAGTACTTTTCAGTCTTAAACAGATGTTCCTTAAATCTACAATTTTTTCTGTTTTGTTTGTTATTTTCTCTTTAAACGATATGTTTTGCATTTCCCTTAAGTTGTTTTTTTAGAAAACTGTAAATAATTTGGTTGATACACTATAGTTGTCAAGTCGCATTAGTTTGTTTAATTTAAAGAATAAGTTGCAAATATCTCGATAACCAAGGGAGATATCGAAAACGAACAAGAGTAACTTTTTTTGTCATGTTAAAAACCACAACAATGTCAATTTTCTTGTTCATACTCTCACAGTTTTCAAAATTATTGGGAAATTTCACAATAAAATCCAAACACTGAAACCAAAAAAAATTATAGGGCATATTTGGCTCAATCGACTTATTTTGACCACCAGTATCTTCGAGATTTTCCTCCCTGTACATACAGATTTGAGATTCATGCCCATATAATTTAAACTTACAAGACCATTAAATCCTTTTCCAGCGTTATCCCTATCCAAAACACGACTAATAATTTCATCCAAAGTAACTGTGTCGTTGTAATAAGAGCAGAGCAGCGGTCCGGATAGATATTCGATTATATTTATTGTTTTCAGATCCAACAACCTCATAACATCTATTAGACCGATTTGTACTACTACGCCACCCAATAGTTGGTCAGTATAACTTCCTAAGGGATCATTTGTGGTTAAGGCGCCAATAAGATCGACTCCCCTATTCCACAGTTTGTTTTGTATCCTAGAACAAAGGGTGTGTGAAAGAAGTAAAAAATTTACAGATTAATCTTTAATATTGTTTTATCGATTCTCCTTAGTTTATTTTGCGGTTACTTACCGTTGCATTGATTCGGAAAAAGCAGGGAAAGCCATCAGCTGGCTGCCGATTTTACGCCAGTTATTTAATTGGCCAAATGCGAAATATAACGGCTTAGGATCACCTGGGAAGAATTTAAGCGATCTACTTATTTCCCTCGTCTTTGACATTATTATATATCCTCGGTACAAATGGTTATGTATATTCTTCCTGTGAAAGATATCGCTACATTATCCACAAAAAATAAAATTATCAAAAGATAGCTTTGTTGATTTTAACTATTCTAATTGTAAGATGAACAATAGATTCAGTTTTGACGAAAAAACTGATATGTTATAGATTCTAGGGTTTTGTGACAAAAACATACTGAAAAACGTATTCGAGAAACTCGTCGGTTTAAAATTAACAAAGGTAATGCCAGACGTCCTTGTCAAGCTCAAATACCCGTTGTGAAAGAAAAAATTCTGGAAATGGCGTAAGAGAACCCGACAACCAGTGTCAAATTAATACAAAGGCAGACCATAGTCTTCAAAAGTACAGTAACCAGAGTAATATCCGAACAACTACTTCATCACTTTCATATTCACTCAGTTCAACAACTTCTAACTCTTGATCCTGCTGCTCGTCTTCAATTCTCGCAGATTATTCGCCAAAATAGAGCTGAAGATATATCTTAAATCAAATCGAAGTATTCAAATTAATGTCATTGTAAAGGTGACTAGAAGGCGTTACAAGGTCACAAAATAACAAATGTTAGGTATTTCACGCAGTCGTAACACATATTCACAAAGCAATAAAGGTTGTGTCCAGAAACTGTGACAGAAGGTCACGAATTAACAAAGGGTGCATCTCGATGTTGTCACACAATGTCACAAAGCAACAGAGACCATTTCCGTTGTCGTCATACAAAGTTATTCCAAGGTTGTGGCATAGTTGCGAAGGTTACTTTTGAAACTGCAACATAAGGTGAGAGAAAAAATACTAGTTTTAGTAATATTAATGATTATCTTTAATATTATGTAATAAGGTCGTTAGATTTTTAAATGACAAAATCTAAATTACGAAATACACCAGGGCAACAGCAGACGACATCGCCAAAGGCCGATGCTGTCGGTAGAACAGCCGCCGACAACGCGGTGCAGAGTTGAAACAATTACCCCCGTTTCGGATTTTGGAAAAGAAAAACTCCGAAAAATGCGAAATTCGTAATGGAGAGCCGCAATATAAAATCACAGTACCAAGTCAGACTACAACTCCAGTCGACTGCAATTCAAAAATGGGCAGAATCCAAAGAGACTAATTGTCCAAACGTAAGCTACAGGACATCTGCGGACCCATCAAAGAGTGGGATCGAATGTCAACTCTGAATGTCAATTCAGTAACCAGGGGACGTATACTTGACCAGTATGTGTAGTACAACTCAAAATTTCAAAATACTCTATATACAATTTAAATACCCATTCATTGTAAATAAATATTTTTCAATAAATCCCGAATTTTTACAAATCGAAAATATTCAAACATTTTTGCGAGCACATTGCTCGCAGTCTAGACCTCAGTTCTAGCGCCCCATCCATTGTCCAGCTCAGCGGTGATGATCCCAAGGGGTACAGAAACCTCCTAGAAGCTTCTCACAAAGTCATAGATACATACTCATATGAGGCCTACCCAAACCCTAAAAAGCTTCCAAATGTCGAGGTACTCACTGGAGACTTCAAAAATAGTGCTAGGCAAGGCAGGCAAAGCTTAAGGGCCCCATATTCTTTAAATAGTGTTTTCCGCAAAGACAAATAATTTCAAAATAACCGAATAATCCAAAGCTTATTAAAAAATAGGAATGTTATGTCATGCCACCTGAGTATTTTCAAAGACGCCGCAGTAAAACGAATAAACAGGTGCAAAAAACGATCAAACCATCAAGGTTTTAGGTACTGAAATCTACGAAAATACTAACTTTTTTATATATAATTCCACATGTAAATATTCTTATAACATTTACTTGCTTAGTCCTACATATAAAATTGTTTACTTTTATTTATAAGTACGTGAAAATAATTCTTAAAATGTGGGGTTAGAATAACAGCAAACGCATGTTTTACAAACGCTTTTTTTTAGTTATTATTTTATTTGAGTAAATTTAAATGGTAACAATGAATAAACAAAACATCAAGGATTTTATTTTTGTGCTTACTTTTGTTCTACACGTTTTACTTTTCACGATTTCAGTACCTAAAAACGCCAGAAATTTAACTATTTCTCGGCCAGGAATATGGCTACCTTAAAAGACTGGTATAGATGCAAGAGTAACAATGCTCGAAGTGTCCTTAAAAACATATTTAGTGCATCCGAGCTCAGTAGTAAGCCTCTAGAAACTGTGTCGATGGTGTACATGAGTGGAAAAAAGCAAAACAAATTAATGTTGCCCACATTTCCAGAAGCTTCTTTGATCCTATGTGTCTTGGTTTCTATTAATCGTAGATACTTTTATAAACGCTTATTTTAAAGGAAAAAACATGAACTTTTTTTCTGTGAAGCAATGCCTATACCTAACTCCTCTCAGAAAAAAGTTGTGGGCCAAAAACAAAAAAAAACGCATTATTTCGAGTTTTTTACTCGTTTTTTGGGCATATTTTTGTTAAAAATATTTTTTTGTCTACAGAATGTCTCATTTCGATGGGAAATTCAATTTGCCACAACCTTTCTGTTGACAACTATAGTGAATGCATAGTTTTCGAGTAAAACTCAAAAAACTGAAAATACCACCTTTTTACTTCGTTCTCAAAAACGCACCCCTTTAAAACGTAGCAGTCCGCGGTTTTATCATTTTTTAGGGTCAATTGAACATATCAAACAATAAAATTTCTGTTACGTTGTAGTTCCTATCTAAAGTACATAGTCAATAGCCTATTACTATTAATGACACAGACATAGTTGTCACCGTATGCAAAATTACAGACCATATCAAAAGACTAACTAAGTTTTTACCGCACTTGATTGAGTTACCGTCAATCTCGTGCGGTAAAAACGTAGTTTCCACACTTATTATGTAATACACTATTACGCATCTGTAAGTAACACGAACATTACCTAAAACCATTGTGTAACAAAGCTATGTGTTCATCATCGACCTGTTGGTTGGATATTCCATCAAGTAAAGTGACTACCGCCTCGGTCGTTCTTCCACTAACACATACTAGCCTTGGCAGGTCATCTTTTGGTAATCCGTTGTCGAGTTTCTTATTGGGGTTACGGTGGAGCAATACGTGACAGTTGACGCCGCCAAATCCAAAACCATTGACTCCTTGAACGGCATAAATTAAATAAAAGTTAAACATTTGTTTCATATTTTTTAATATTCTTAAACCAAGTGGGAACAATTTTTTAAATACCGTTTTGTTTCTATTTCTATTAATTTTATAGTAAATAACATCTTTAAAGTTCTGATGTTATTAATTTTTTATTAATTCATAGTTATTTGAAATTAATTTTATTTTGTGCGGTTTTATTTCATATTTATTTTTGAGTGTAATGTTGGGCGCCATTTATAGTATTATAAAAAATTGTTATTTGAAATATTTAAATTTTGAATGTTCTTGTAGTATCTTTAAAAAATATTGCAATAAACTATATTTTACTTACCAGGCTAGTTTTTATTAGATGTCACTGAGTTTGATTTTGAATTTCAAAAATGTAAATTTAATTTTAAAAGATTATTCTTGATCTCGAATTGAATTCTGTTTTAAATTTAATAATTTAATGATAATTAGATGAATAATTTTATTTTCTGAACATTAATAAATGCAAATTTTAATAGAACATGATGACTTATCTCAGTAGTCGGTTCTAAACGTGGTGAGATTAATTATTAAAAAAAAATGTTTTAATATTTCATTAATTTTGTTTAAAAAATAAAATAGTATTGTTACAATCTGGGTTGAAGTTTGTATATTGCAACAATAGATTATAAATTTATAAATTTATAGTTTCTTATTACCTAAATCTACACTTTTATTGTCCTTCTCTGTCCACGGTTTGTTGAGTAGTAATCTCCTTTCAACAATCTATCTCCTTTCTATCCTCCTTCCTTTTGTCCACTTGATCTCTCCTCTGTTGACTTGTTCCTCCTTGTGTCTCCTATACACTCTGATGGTTGCAACTGCCTGAATCACCTTTATAGCTCCTATGGCTTCTTTCCTTTCTTATTGGCTACGGCAATTCAAATAGCATTTTACTAACCTGACTATGACTTCACCTTATTTTTCTTTCTTCCAAACAAATTTTTCTTTCCCTATTTTAATTATCACTGTTCTCCTCTTCTTTCTTCATCGTTTCCTGAGATCTTGTTTAATTTTTAATTGAATCCCTCTTCTCCTCGGCAATTGGTTTCCACTGATAGCTAGTTTCTTTTTTAATCTTCTTTAATTTATTTCGCTTCTTCTTATTTAATCTTCTTTTTGGTTCTGACTTTTATATTTAATAATTCCTCTTCTTACTTATTGATTCTTATTCTCCTTTTTTCCGTCTCCTTGATAACCACCAATTTTTTTAAATCACTGCACTCTTATCTCTAATTACAATTTTTCTTAATCTATCCTTTTCAATTTCAACCAATCAGATTATTACTTAATTTATACAGTTTAAATTTAACATTTTCAATACCATTTTATTTGTCTTTTGCTAAATTTCATTATTTTATGGACACTTTTTATTAATTTATACTGAGATTTCATAAAAATTTACATTTTATTATGAACTGTCACTTTCCATCTAACTGTCACCTAAATTATCATTACTACTTCGTCACCATCTATCCAGTATGTCATTACTTGATGTATTTTAAACTTAACTTCCGTTATATTTTATAATAAAAACTCATAAGTCAATTTCTACCTGTTACAATATCTTATAAAAATGTACCTAATGTAAATGCATCTAAAAATTTCTGGATTCATTTAGTCGTTTGACTAAAATACATTTTTTTACAAAAATTGCATTGTATGTTTGGAGATAAGAGAGACATTTGCTTTATTCCTTTGTGAACTATTTTAGAATTACTGTTTTCTTCGATATTTGCCAAATATTCTGCTTTATTATTTATGAATTCCAAAGTCGGAGTGGACTGATTGTAAATTTAATGAAAACTGATGTTTACTAAGTAGTATTTACCTATCACCGAACTCTCTTCGTCAATGGGTGTTTTCTCCGCGACAACCTTCATCCTCCCATCAACGATTCCTGTTAAATCTCGTCTAGGCGAAGTGAAATTAATATTTGGAGGGATAAATCCAGTCTCCATTGCAATAATACACTGAAACGTGAGAGCAGTTTTTTTATCACTAGCTTTCAATATAATCTAGATGAGGTCGGGTACACCGCTTACTTTTGTCACAGAGCAGAGACCCGCAGCTGCCTCGGCATGTCCAACATTCGACTTCACAGATCCAACCAACAGAGGGCGTTTCCGTTGCTTTCCCAGCACTTCATCTATAGCGAAGCATTCTTGGACACCTCCAGCCAGAGTACCTAGGAGACAAGTTCCAATACACTTTCCCTTTTACGAAATTAAAGATTATACCTGTTTCGTGTGCTTCCACGTAACTTACTCTGTTCTTATCTACGTCAGCTTCATTGTAACAAGCAGTTAACATGTCTAACTGTGAGAGTCCGGACGGAAATATTATGTTCTCCGTCTTGAACCCGTCGCAGTTGGATTTGACGTGCATCAGCTGCGCGTATGCTCTTTTGGCGCTCTTTGATTTTTGTAATATTACGGAAACGACAGCCTCCGATCTAGCAAAGCCGTCACCTTGAGCGTCGAAGCATCTCGAGTAGCCTTTGGGACTCAGAACACCAAGCCTAAAGAAAAATCATCGGTTAAGTCAGTTGAAAACAACTGCCGGAAGGTGTTTATTTAAGCTGCGTGGCAAGTTGTATCAGTGCATTATCAGCGTTGCTAGTTGCTTTGTTTTTAAGTCAACTGTCAGATAACGACGATGGAATAGTTATTTATTGTATAAGTGTTTTAAGTAGCATTTTATCCACGCAAGAATGTTTATCCACGACTATTGTATAATGTACCCATTATACGTCTGTTTGCTCGACCTTAATAATACCCATTAATCACGGCAGTGATTAATGAGTCATTAATCACTACTGTCAGATGCTTCCTTAATTTAGCTATAATATTGTATTGTTCTGCTACAAACAATCCGTTTTTAAAATTTTATCGTGTAAACCACTAAATATTTTCAATTCAGAGCTGTACATATAAAAAAAAATTAAAAAAGTGAATTTTCCTAGACCGGATTCGAACCCGGGACCCGCGGTTGGAAGGGAAAGAGCATCTACACTGAGCCATCAGCGACTTCATTTGTGTGAGTCGTATATCTGTTTCTTAACATACCATGTTTTTCGAAACATTTCAAAAAAAACTTCAACAAAGATATTTAGTAGTCGTGGATAAAATATAGTATTCTACTCCCGTATAATGGGTATTATTCACTCGGGGATTTAGGCCACTCGCCTGCGGCTCGTGGCCGTAAACTTCACCTCGTGAATAATACTCATCATTATACGCTCGTTGAATAATATACTATTAAACGCTAGACCGTAGTTAGAGATGTTATGCGTTTAGAAAATGATGGCAAGAATGTTACAAGGGTTGTTATTAACGGAAAGGAAGTTAAATGTGGTAAAACAAAATACGAAATGTCTATTATTATAAATGTAAATGTTAATGTTAATAAGTAAATAAATTAAATGTGATTTATTATAGGTTTATTATTATTTCATTATTCTACTACTGAAATAAAGTTACTTTATTTCACTAGTGGATAAAGTGTCACTTTAGACGGTATGTGTGGCTAAGGGCCGGTTGCACACACTATTCCTAATCCTTAAACTGAACTTAAAGACGTTAAGTAAAGCTTAGAGCGTCTCATCAAAGTTAAAGTGTTACTTAAATCATGCCAAGTTAATTATAAATTAAGCCCTTGATTTTGTTGGGCTTATGAAGTTATGGAACAGATCATAACCTAAAAAAACATTAGTTACTTAATTACTTTGTTCCCATTATCCAAAAAATGGATAATTTAATTCTGAGAGACGATATAATAGATGATGATTTGGAGATATTCGAAATTATCGATCATAAAATTCCTCGTCAAGTCTTTTAAAGACCAGATTTATTCCATTTACATGATGACAGAGCCGATTTAGGCTGACCAAAGAAACTGTTCTACAATTATTACCATCAATTGAACCTTACACAGAACGTCCATACAACAGGTAAGTTGAACTAAACATTTATCTACCTAGGAGTGTGAGCGTCGTATACCTATATTTACATTTGTGATGGTATATTTGCATAAAATCTTGCCTACAATCTAATTTTAACATCTTCGAACTTTTAGGAACAACACTGTTACACCAATGAATCAGTTATTAAGTACATTGATGTATATATGTATACAATAGTGGTTATAATTTTATTGCCATTTTACAGGTCTATAACATTTTTTGTAAATGTGTAGGTATTAATTACTTCACATACAATTTTCAGGTGATAGTGTTTATGCTATGAAAGATTATCTATTAACCCCATTACAAAATCCTCGAACAGAACCAGAGCAGCTTTATAATGAATCGCACATACGTACGAGAGGAGCAGTTGAGAAATTATTTGGAATCTGGAAACGGAGGTTTCCAATATTAGCGTATGGATGTCATCTGAAGCTAGATAATATTTTAACCATCATTGTTGCGACGGCTGTGTTGTACAATATAGCTAAAAAAAAATGGAGGAGGCAGAGCCACCACTTCCAGCTGAAGTGGATGAACATAAATTTCAAGTGCTTTTAAGAAATGGGGATATACCAGTGGTACCTATTTTAAATCCAAACCAACTGTTAGGACCTCAAGTTAGACAGAATTTGATTAAAAATTTGCAATAAAATACCAATATTTTTTTAATTCACAGTAAATCATCCTTTTCTGCTAATAAAATACATAAGGTAGGTATAAAAGGTAAAGGACAAAAATACATAAGGTTGGTATAAAACTTTATCATACAAAAATAGTTCTTTTAAGACAAATTGTGATACACATACAAGAGAAACATCATTTTAATACAAGTTTGACAAAAATATACTTCTAAAAAACATATAAACATACCTCAAGTTATAAGTCTACCACTCAACTTATCAGAAGAATAGAACAAAGTTAAGAATTGAAATTAAAACTGAATGGGTTCACTTCTGACCCCATTTTTTCTAAAAATATGTGTTTAATTTTCAAGTCTAGTTCTAAAAATTTCCTTCTCAATTCAAATTCTACTAAATCTCTTTCTTTTTTAATTTCCTGTTCAGCTTTAAGTCTATCCAATTCTACTTGTACCAATTCAATTTTCAGTTCGGCAAGCTTATTGTATTTTTTTGATAACTCTGAAGAAGCTAAAGTAGAAATAACAGGTCTATTTCTACTAGTCCAATGTGCTGTTGAAAATAAATTATCATCAGTAGCTGTAGTTTCATTTAAAGGCACCTTCCTTGATGATGATTCATTTTTTTTGCTTTGGTAATAGTTTTGGATGTAAAGGTTTCTTAAAATCTTCTGGTTTATAGTTACCCCAGTCCGTTTTATTATTTTCGGTATTATCCTCATCATCCTGAAATAAAATAAGTTTTACTCAGATAAACAATAACAATTCCTCGAACGATTCTTTTTAAATATGAAGTGTGTGTATTACCTCAACAACTTGCAGAAGTATGGCTGTGTCATCATCTATTTCTTCCATATATACGTTTTCCTGCACATTGTCACAGTCGACTTGATCCAATTCTTCTACATCGCTATACTTATTATTCAAGCCATATACAGTTTTCTGATTTATTATTTCCAAAGCCAAATCCAGGTTTGGATTAGTGTTGACTTCACATCTTCCTCCACCTAATTAGAGATGCCTTTTCATCAGCAACTTTCTTGTACACTTCTTTATATTTTCATATGCTTTTTTGAGTGACGCTGTATGTCGAAATATTCCTGTACGAGACTGAGTATTAAAAATATCAGTTATTTTTTTCCATGCCTCCTCTTTATCTCTCTAGGTAACCGCATCGGACTTTTTAGACTCGATAACACTTTTATATTCTAACATAATATTTAATAGTAAATTTTTTTCTTGGTGCGTATAATTTGCCGAACGAGTTTTTTTTCTTTGATCTTGATCGCCCATAATAAAGTAATTAAAGCAAAGCATAAACACAAAAAATCAAAATAATGCACTTGTTGATACAAAACGATAACGATATAACCTCACTTTTAAGTAAAAATTAATAAGAAGAAGATAGCTGTAGAACAAGTTCAGTAGTTCTTAAAATGTTTCGATTCACTTTGTTAAGGGAAGTCAATTACTAAGTGGTGCAACAAAAATTAATTCTAAGGTCCAGTTAATAATAAACAACACTTAACAAAGTGTCGAATTTATGGAAAGTCTGTGCAACCGGGCCTAAAAGTCCGATTATAAGGTGACTGGATAAAATAATTTAATAAACAAGATTGCTTTTGTATGGCTTAGCGACGTGTTATTTTAATGTCATCATATTTTTTTATGTCGATGTAAACGAACATTAGAAAAATGATTTTCTTACATTAGCCCAGTCATTATAGACATTAAAGAGCCTGTTTCGGGAAAAAAATACTATTAGAAGTACCTCTGCGGAATATTGTTCGGAAACCTGTTATAAATAAAATATCAAAAAATCAACTCAAGGCTAGTTGGGAAACTTTGTTTTAACAGAGGTCAAAGTTATGGAAAAGTGGTTTTTTGACTCACGTAAAAAAGCTATTAATCATAGCGAAAAAAAGTTTATACAAAAAAGGTAGCTATTAAATAAGCCTATAAAATGAAAAAAGTCCGATTAAATTCCGATAATTTGTTTAAGCACAAGAGCTCAAAAATGGTCGAAAATTGCCGTTTTTTCAATTGCTAATAATTAATACAATTTTCATCGCAGACACTTGTAATTCAGGATTTTTGAGCCTTTTTACACCCGTAATAAGTGGTAAAAATTTCAGCCCGAAAGCTTCATTGGTTTGGCGTTGGCGGAATTTGTTATCTAAGAAGATGCTATTTTCAATTCATTTTTCCAAAGCTCACAGGCGTTGTAGGGTTTTGATCATTAGTTGTTTTTGTATCTAAATAGTTGTATTGACATAGGCATTTACTGAGAATTTAGTTTTTCAAATTTAATTTGTTTAAAATTGACTGGAAAAATGTTAATATTTATTAAATTGTTGAGATAGGTAATTATTATAAAATAAAATAGTATCCTCTTTACTTTAGTTTTCTTCGAATTTAAAAAAAAAATCGTTGTTGTAAGTTGATTAGAAGCTGAGATAATTTTTTTTATTTATTTAATCGCAGTGACCTAAATTATTAATATTAAGAGCCGAAATTTGGAGAGAGTATACATTAATAGTTATATTTTCATGTCCTACATTAACATTAAGGTGAATTCAACTATTTAATTTCGAAAAAGAAGATAGCGGCGATGCGTTCTATTACTTGGTCTAGCGAACGAGTGGGGAAGGCGAGGCTTAGCATGCGCGCTTAACGGTGTAATAAATATTAACATTTTTTCAAAGTCATTTTTAAACAAATTAAATTTGAAAAATAAAATTATCAGTAAATGCATATGTCAATACAACTATTTAGGTACAAAAACAACTAATGATCGAAACCCTACAACGCCTGTGAGCTTGGGAAAAATGAATTGAAAATAGCATCTTCTTAGATAACAAATTCCGCCAATGCCAAACTAATGAAGCTTTCGGGCTGAAATTTTTACCACTTATTAAGGTTGCAAAAAGCTCAGAAATCCTGAATTACAAGTGTCTGCGATGACAATTGCATTAATTATTAGCAATTGAAAAAAGCGGACAATTTCGACCATTTTTGAGCTCTTGCGCATAAACAAATAATCGAAATTCAATCGGACTTATTTTACAGATTTATTTAATACCTACCTTTTTTGTATAAATAAATTTTCTCTATGAATAACAGTTTTTTTACGCCAGTCGAAAAACTACTTTCCATAATTTTGACCATTGTTTTAACAAAGTTTCCCAACTAGTCTCGAGTTGATTTTTTGATATTTTGTTTATAACACGTTTCTGAACAATATTCCGCAGAGAAACTTCTAATAGTATTTTTTTCCCGAAAAAAAGCTATAATGATTGGCCTACATACTCTATTAGATATTATCTAATGTTGATATGTAGATACCTATTACTTACTGTAAATAAAATTAATTTATGTTTTAAAATAATTAATTTTCTCGTTTTAGAAAACTTGCAAAATAAAAATAATCCTATTGAAATGAAATATTCTCGTTTCAAATTTTTGCAAAAATTGTATGTTACTATTTTTTTAAAAGTCGACAGGCAGTTGGTGCTAGATATATTAAATTAATCCAAAACTGCACAAAATTGAACCATGAACAGTTCATATTTAAGCAGAATCCGATCCTGTTCCGAAAGCTTACGAAGAGCAACAGAGATTTAACCTCCGCTGTTCAGCTAAAATGTCGTATTGCCGCCTCTGAAAAACTGCTGCTGTTAGTTGACCTTACACCTGTTATGATACGACAGGATGGTAGATAAAAACGCGCATGCGTCTGACTGTTAGAAACTGTTAAAAATTGATAGGAGCAAAGCTACTGTGAATTGTGTGACGACTCACCTTGCTGACATTATGGTTGTTAAAGGGTGCAGGCACAAATGTGTGCCGCAAACAATTGCATTTTCGATATCCCCCAATCGCATAGCTCTGTATGCCTGCTCCAGAGCGTACAAGGAACTACTGCAAGCGGTGTCTAAAGTGTATGATGGTCCTTTCAGCTTTAAGAAATAGCTCAACCGATGGGCTGCCATGGATCTTTCTGACCTGCAATGGAACAGTCTCGAAGGTCATTTGTCAGTAAGACTCTGATCCGAGATAGTGCGTATACGATTTCTATGACTAATTTTAAGCAAAAATCATTCTATTCACTTTTCCCGAATTTCCAATAGTCCTTGAAATATCGGGGTTTGAAGTTGCCAGATCGACTTCTCGACCATGTTTGAATAATTTGTACCATTCGTATGTTTGAGCTTTTGATAAAACTGAATTTTTAAATGACAAATTCCGGATACTTTTTTGATTGAAATGTATGTTCACAAAAACTTTTTTTCTCATAATTAAGTGTGAATCTACAAAAAGATGTGGATGTAATTCATACAGCAGTATTTTTTTTAAGCAAGACTAGACTCTGGTTGACCCTCGTAGCACAAAAACTCTGAAAATGTGAACGCTTACCCGGTGACAGCATACGTATGACTCGTCAACATATCGAAAAGCCAGGGTTTGTCATTCTCGCTCATACTGATAGCCACAAACACTCCCGTTTTCGTATTCTCCAAGTCTGTTGGATGCAGACCTGCATCCAAGATGGCTTCGACAGTTTTCTCGTGTAATAGTCGCATCAACGGATTCAACGATTGGCTCTGCCGTTCGTGCACTCCTAAACGGAAATGAAATAAAAAATATTAACAAAAAGAATAACGGAGGCAATAATACATAAAACAAACACAGCGGAACTATTTTTGAAAGAAATATGATGGTCTCTCTCAATGTATTTGTTTGACTGCAAATATTTGTTTAGAAATCAAAGATTTGTGCGGGGGAACGTGTGGTCTGCTATTATTTCTATTAACAACATACATTTGCTATTTCATTAATGAATATTAAAAAGTATGTAGGTCCTAGAGCAGAACCTTGTGGAACACCTCTTTCTATTTCCAATCCTTTACTTATATTTCTGTTAATTTTAACTTCTTGTATCCGTAAAACTAGAGAAGTAGAATATTAGGAGATGCAATTTGTTTAGCTAATTTTTTAACAATTTTAACAAAAAATATAACTTTGGAAATGTCACCTTCAATGGTACCATTTCTGTCATTACTTGAATTGTCTTTAATTTAATCAATAAGTATGGTTATTTTTTACATCGAAATATGAGTGAAAATTTAAATTTTCTCGGCGCTATGTGCAATTTCTGGTGTCAATGGATTCAAAACATGGGCGATTTTCCAAAAAATTTTTATAGCAGTATGTAAAATTGTCGCATACGAATCTTCTACATCTTTATCTGACTAGACAGTATTCCAGTTTTCTCGTGTTCATTAATAATTCAATGAATGATGAAATATTTTGAACAATATGACTAATGATAAATGTCTGCTCACCAAAAAAACCGGAATCGTATTTATTGACATCCGCTACATGTCCCGAATTAGGGGGCATTTCGGGGTGATCAAAATCCCATCTCATATTGGGGGCCACCATATTAATTTTATTAAATAAGTTGTCTCCAAATTCTTGGACATTCTTTGAATTTGCAAACGTCCCAGATATTCCTAGAAAAAAAGTCGTGTAAATGTATACAGCTTCAGCAAAAAACTGGTCTTGATATCAAATACTAAAAATATTTCGATCTTTCCTTCTATTATTGTTGTGTCTTGATAAAAATAAAATGAATAAATATTATTTCAGACAATACGAAAAACCTCAGAAATCCGATGCCATGGAATATTATGAAAATTCGATCACTTCCTATAACATTTTGTGGTATTTCCAAGAAAAAAGATGTCCATTTTGTTGAAAAAATCATTTATCACCTTTTTTAATTTTCCTTAAGGATAACAGACTCCACAAAATGTAAAATAACTCTAGAACTTCTCGTTTCTGAAAAAAGTCCATGAGACTTTTTTGCAAGTAATGCTATTTTAAATACAAATCATCATCAAATCACACGTTCGAAAAAATCAATGGCGTTAAATCTTGCATTTTTGTTAGAGGTAGCTAGTCAATATATGCTCCTACTCATTCATTTGAAAGCCTACGTGATAATATGTACGGGGTGTCTCACAATCAATAGTATGAGCCTACTGCGAGGATACAAAAAAATTTAAATAAAATTTGGGGCACGGTGTTAAATGAGGTAAGCTGCATTTTCAATCGAAAGTATTATTTTTGGTATTTGACAGAAACGACTAATGACGTCATCAATTATATTTTTCCAGAAACATGCCCAATTTTTTTTCCTGTTAAAAAGCTCTCTTTTTTTAATAAACTTCAGAGAAATTTTTCTGTATTACTTCCCGTTTAAAAGTTATAAGCAATATCGTCCTAAAGAGTCTCAAAAGAAATACCACCAAAAAATCGCATTAACGGTGGAAGAATCAAGTAGTCGTTGGAAAATAATTGAATGTTCGTTGTTTAAAGTGCAAAAAAATGTCATTAAGAATAAATAAAAGGATTAAACTCCATAATTCTTTAATACAGTTAAAACAAAAGGTCATGATAACAATAACTAAACTTAAAAACTGAGGCAAGCGCTTTCATACTACATATAGTCCAGTCGGCAGAGGCCGAGAAGTTACTGTTGGTGACATTTTCTTGATAACTTGGAAATAACTACACAGGAATACTTTAAATGATGATTACAATAACAGGCTAATTTGCTGACAAAGTATTTTATCAGGAAAAAGAGTTATTAACAATTTAATCGTGAAAAAAATTTTTTTTTGGTTGTTTTCTTTAAATAACTCAGCGGGATGACTTTGTACGAAAAAATGCTTAGGACATGATTTTCTTCGTAATAAAAATAGCTACAAAATGGCGGTGGACCGATTACGAAATTTGCAATAACAAAGCCGTGAGATTGAAAAACAGTATAAAACGTCAATTTGTTAAAGTTGCTGTAAAAATGTTAGTTATAAACAAAAAGTTATAAAACTTTCGAAAACTATAGTTCAACATATATACAATAATGACGCTAAAGCCGAAAATCATGAGAGCAAAACTTTTTTTTCTATAAGGTGTTATACATTCATCGGCATCTGAAACTTGAAACTTTGCCAAATTTGTTTGAAGTTTTGCTGACACTTGAAATTTGGTATACACATAGTGTAAATATGCAGAAATCAAAAGCAATTTGCAAAAGTCAATTATCTTAATTTTTGCAGCTTTGGTAAGGTTTTATACGTCACCCTAGTTTTATGCGTCACCGTTTTTTTTAATTTTTGGAAAAATATATATGTATATTTATAAAATATTCCATCACGGTAGATTAACAACCAACAGAATTACCTACAATTAAATAAATATATATTTTCATCGTTTAGGTCCTAAGCTACTTAGCACTTTGCGCCTGTTAGCCGTAGTCGCACATTATTCAACATATCAACATATAGTCCAGTTGGTAGAGGTTCGGCGTGTGTCAAACCTTGATAACCCGGAAATAACTACACAGGTCTACTTTAAATGATGAGTACAATAACTGGCTAATTTGCTGACAAAGTATTTTATCAGGAAAAAAAGTTATTAATAATTTAATCGTGAAAAAAATTTTTTTTAGTAGTTTTCTTTAAATAACTCAGCGGGATGATTTTGTACGAAAAAATGCTTAGGACATGATTTTGTTCGTAATAAAAATAGCTACAAAATGGCGGTGGTCCGATTACGAAATTTGCAATAACAAAGCCGTGAGATTGAAAAAACGGTATAAAACGCCAATTTTTTTAAGTTGCTGTAAAAATGTCAATTATAAACAAAAAGTGATAAAACTTTCGAAAACTATAGTTCAATATATATACAATAATGACGCTAAAGCCGAAAATCAGGAGAGCAAAACTTTTTGTTCTATAAGGTGTTATACATTCATCGGCATCTGAAACTCGAAACTTTGCCAAATTTGTTCGAAGCTTTGCTGACACTTGAAATTTGGTACACACATAGTGTAAATATGCAGAAACCAAAAGCAATTTGCAAAATTCAAGTATCTTCATTTTTGCAGTTTTGGTAAGGTTTTATACGTCACCCTAGTTTTATACGTCACCGTTTTTTTAATTTTTGGACGTATATTTATGTATATTTATAAAATATTCCATTACGGTAGATTAGCCAGCATAATTACCTACAATTTAAAAAAATATATATTTTCATCGTTTAGATCCTAAGCTACTTAACATTTTGCGCCTGTTAGCCGTAGTCGTACATTATTCAACATATTAACATAAAACAAAATCGTACGTGTGGGGTAAACCTTTAACTTTTCATTTTCGAGCGCGAGCTCCGCTCTTCGGCGCTTGTATACTATTAGAAATATGCAACAGTAAATTTAAACAATTGTTTACTTAAAGTTAAAGGTTTACCCCACACGTACGATTTTGTTTTATGTTAATATGTTGAATAATGTACGACTACGGCTAACAGGCGCAAAATGTTAAGTAGCTTAGGATCTAAACGATGAAAATATATATTTTTTTAAATTGTAGGTAATTATGCTGGCTAATCTACCGTAATGGAATATTTTATAAATATACATAAATATACGTCCAAAAATTAAAAAAACGGTGACGTATAAAACTAGGGTGACGTATAAAACCTTACCAAAACTGCAAAAATGAAGATACTTGAATTTTGCAAATTGCTTTTGGTTTCTGCATATTTACACTATGTGTGTACCAAATTTCAAGTGTCAGCAAAGCTTCGAACAAATTTGGCAAAGTTTCGAGTTTCAGATGCCGATGAATGTATAACACCTTATAGAACAAAAAGTTTTGCTCTCCTGATTTTCGGCTTTAGCGTCATTATTGTATATATATTGAACTATAGTTTTCGAAAGTTTTATCACTTTTTGTTTATAATTGACATTTTTACAGCAACTTAAAAAAATTGGCGTTTTATACCGTTTTTTCAATCTCACGGCTTTGTTATTGCAAATTTCGTAATCGGACCACCGCCATTTTGTAGCTATTTTTATTACGAACAAAATCATGTCCTAAGCATTTTTTCGTACAAAGTCATCCCGCTGAGTTATTTAAAGAAAACTACTAAAAAAAAATTTTTCACGATTAAATTGTTAATAACTTTTTTCCCGATAAAATACTTTGTCAGCAAATTAGCCTGTTATTGTACTCATCATTTAAAGTAGGCGTGTGTAGTTATTTCCGGGTTATCAAGGTTTGACACAGGCCGAACCTCTACCAACTGGACTAATACATATTACAATCTATTCTCAATCTTCGCCTGACTTCTTTGTGGGCTACGTTTATTAATATTTCGCCGTTTAACTCATTACAAGCGTTTGTGATTAATATCTCGCGAAGGTGTTTTGTAAACCATAAAAAAATCGAGGGGTGTTAGATCTGGTGACTTTCCGGGACACTGAGTAGCTCCATTAAGCCCAATTCATTTTGCTGATTTATCCAAATTCAATTCCCGGCTAGCCTGTCGTATAGAATTTTGAGGATTTTGTTCGAAATACTGTAACAGTCTAGCTGCATTAACATTGTTTCTTACCCTTCTGTCAATTATTTGATTTTTCCGAACAGAAAATGCATCTTCATTTCGTCGCAAGGTCGCCTCCAATCTTGTAAACGTTCTATGATCAGGAATGAGGCGCTCTGGATACCTTTTTCGATACAACTCTACAGCTCTTCTTGAATTTTTTTGTATCTCGCCGTAAATTAGCAACATATCAACTTTTTGTGAATGAGAAAACATTCTGTAAGCACAAAAGTTATACGTTTGACGTTCGTATTGAGTAATGACAAGTATTTTGTGATGTTTATCAAATATTCTCTATTATCGTTTATGCACTTTCAACAAGGAACATTCAATTATTTTCCAACGACGGCATTAGTCGTTTCTGTCAAACGCCAAAGATAATACGTTCGCTTGAAAATGGAGCTTATCTCATCCCATTTAACACCACGTGTCCCAAATTTTATTTAAATTTTTTGTATCCTCACAGCAGGTTCATACTATCGAGTTTGAGACACTTATTTTATTTGGTTATACCTGTTATTAAAACTTCGTCTCCTGGCGCAGGATGTGCCATTATGTACCCTTCTCTAAAATTGTAATCCTCTTTACCGATGTTACTAGTAGAATTCATTTTCAAAACAGCACTAAAATCAAAAAAGAACCTTTTTTATTAAAAAATCTTTAAACATTTGACAATTTCCGCATTGAACAGTGGCATAGCATTTATTTCTTTATTAAAGAAGCCCAAGTGTAAAGAGAGTGTAAAGAACCCCACCCCTGTGCGCTACTATTTTTTTTGTTCACAATCATGACACAGTATCTGATAACGGAGGTCCCCGTTAGGACTTTCAGTTTATATCAGAAAAAAATTGCTTGCATGAAAACAGTTATTTTTCCTGTATTAAAACGCATTTTTCTAAATAAAATTGTTAAGGTACAAGGAAATAAATTTTAGGGGAAAAATGATTTTTACCTGCCAGAACAACACTGTTTGACTTAATTTGAAGAGATTTTTTTTTTAAATTGTTGAATTTGTTTCAATTTGTACAGGGTGTCCCAGAATAACGTGTACAATGGGAGACCACAGATTCGTGGACTCAAAATAGTCAGATTTAGGCTAATTCATCTATATCTAAAATCGCTTCGTTTTTCCGCTAGATGGCCTCAAAGTTCGTGAAAATTTTTTGAATTTTGTAAATAACTCGAATACGTATTGATTTTGATTATTTTTAGAGTGTGAACTTTTCAATCTACATATTTTGGTGTTATACAGAGTGTTTGATAAAACTTACAATTCCTACAAAATTGATGTATGGTGATATCTGTCATTTGGAAATTTTTGGACCTCTTGTAGAATTTTGATTAAATGAGCGGTTTGGGTACAAAATAAATATTTTTTTAATGTACCTTGCCACCTACAGGGTGTTAAAAAAAGAGTGTAAAATATTTCAGGAGGTAATAGTATGAACCAAAATAAGCAGAAAAGTCTTAATAAACATGGGTCCGCAAAGTAACGGTTGCGGAGATATGGACCACTATTCGTTTTTCAAACATTTTATTTTATTAGGAATAAACCGACAAAGGAAGCTTTTAACAAACAAAAAACAAAGTTACAGAAGATGTTCAAAGTGCCCTCCGTCCATTTCCAAGCAGGCACGACATCTTCGTCTCAACGATATTCGAACTCTTTCGAAAACACCCTCCTTGGTTTGGATTTCTTGACACTTTTGATTAATCCGTAGCTGCAGCTCTTCCAGGCTATTTACAGGAGTACCATACACTAATGTCTTCAAATATCCCCAAACAAAGAAATCTAGAGGGTTCAGATCAGGCGATCTTGGAGGCCATAAAACAGGTCCGGCCCTTCCTACCCATCTATGTGGAAAAGTTTGGTGTAAATGCTCTCTAACGGCCATGGAAAAATGAGCTGGAGCACCATCATGCTGGAACCACATTTGTTGCCTCTGATTCAAAGGAATGTCTTCCAAAAACTCATACAGTGTGTTCTGCAGAAAGTTGAGGTAAGCAGCGCCTGTTAATCGGTTTGGTAAAACAACAGGACCTAGAAACCTGTCACCTACAATACCCATCCAAATGTTTAATGAAAAACGTGCCTGATGTCCAGATTCTATTAGAGCATGAGGATTTTCGTCGGCCCAAATATGCGTATTGTGAAAATTAAACACTCCATTTCTTGTGAACCCGGCCTCATCAGTAAAAAGAATGTTTGCAAGAAAACGAGGGTCTTCAGCATCATGACGTAGAAACCAGCGGCAAAAAACCAAACGTGCTTGATGATCATTTATTGGATTTAAGGCCTGTACTCGTTGCACATGGTATGGATAAAGCAGTTGCTCGTGAAGGATTCTCCAAACAAGAGGACCACTAATTCCTACCTCGGCTGATATTCTCCGCACACTCGTACCTGGATTCTGCTCTACCAGTGCTAGAATTTCTTCTTCTGCTCTAGGAGTGGATACCGACCTTGGTCTTCCGGATAAATGGCACTGTTTGCTCAAGGAACCGGTATCACGCAATCTTTGGTGAATTCTTCCAAACATGCGTTGTGAAGGAATCTGGCGATTTGGATAAGCGTCAACATAAAGACGTCGCGCTTCGGTGGCGTTCCCATTAGCACGACCATACATGAAATGCATGTCTGTTAATTCTGCGTTAGAGTAACCAGCCATAGCGAAAGAAAACTTGTGCACTGAGAACAACTGTCAAATACGTACTGTTTATTTCACTAAACATCAACCAACTATTATAAGAAAATACACAACGTTTTTGCAAAATAAAAAAGGGGCTAAAAACATAAAACATTCCATATCTCCGCAACCGTTACTTTGCGGACCCATGTTTATTGAGACTTTTCTGCTTATTTTGGTTCATACTATTACCTCCTTAAATATTTTACACTCTTTTTTAACACCCTGTATATTACAATCCCAAAATTTCGTGATTTAATATTAAACCGTTTTGAAGTTATGTAATAAAAACTGTTTCCTGAGTTACCCCTTCAAGGGGCCAAATCTCCCTTAGGGGCCGCCACTGACAAACACTCTAAGTACTAAAATTTTCATCATACTTCGACATATTTTAAACACTCTCAAATTTTGAGTACTTATTTCGTTTAACACCTTGCATAGGTATATAGTTTTGAATATTGTTAGTTATAATATAGTTTAATATTAGTGTAAGTAGTGATACATAATAAATAATACCAATACCCGGAACCACAATGATGTGGAACCTGTGAACATTCTTTATTCCTGCATTTTTTGACATTTACGTGAAATCTTTACAACAAACGTGAAGTTTTCTTACAAAACGTACTTTTCTGTTCCAATGAATACATATTTAGGTGTCCTTGTTAAGGATATTTTATTATATTTTTTATATATCACCACTTACAATAATATTAAACTGTACTATAATTAACAATATTCAAAATTGTATAATTATATAGGGTGTTTGTAAATACGTGCGAAATATTTTAGGGTGTGGTTGCCGAAGTTATTTTGTGAAAAAAAAAATTCAAATAAACGTAGGTCGACATATGCTTCGTTTCCGAGATAGAGTGTTTAAATTCTATTTTTTTTATTTATTTTTATTATTTCAAAGAGTTTTAAAGATATTGAATTGAAAAACGCTTTGGAGGGATAAATGTGCATTTTTTGCATTAAATAAAAGATTAACAAAACCTACAATAAAATATGTTTTATTTTTTCCCTCAAAAACGATGCATCCTACGAAAAAAATGGAAGACACCAATTTCATTCAGAATTGGTGGCGGATTTCTAAAAAATATCAAAACGGGAAAAGGTCAGTGGCTTACCTTTTTTTAATTAAAAAGAGGTTGTGGCATTCTCGCACGAACGCCACTGGTGCAAGTAGGAATATCCAGATCAGCCCAACAAATGCACATTTATCTCTCCAAAGCGTTTTTCAGATTTCGAGTGAATATCTCTAAAACTCTTTGAAATAATTAATAAAAATAATAAAAAAAATAAAATTTAAACACTGTATCTCAAAACGAATATTGCTACTTACGTTTATATGAACTTTTTTCACAAAATAACTTCGGCAACCGTCCCCTAAAATATTTAGCATTTGTTTACAAACATCCTGTATATCCACCGGTCGGCCGTTATTGAGCATGTTTGGAGGAATTTTTCACCTATTTCGCATTATTTTATCGGAAAATTAGAATATGCGTTTTGCAGTATTTTACTTCTACTTTTCAAATCCGGCTGAAAATTTTAAATCGAACCACATCCAACGCATCCAGAAACTTTGCAAAATAATATACCAAAAAATTCAATTGCAATTGTGCCAAAACTAATGGTCCGACAGCGCCTGCTTTGTGCACACTTAAAGTGCATATAATTCACTGCTGTACAACTTTAGAGAGTAGAGTAAAAACAGAACTAATAAAAAATATAAATAGAGAAACAAGATTAAGAAACATCGATAATATCGATTTTGTGTCATAAAAAAAATATAAAATTGGTAGTGTCGTAATACAAGTTTTTCGAGCGTTTTCGAAATTCACCAATCTTTCCAACCTGGCTGGAAATGATCATTAATACGTCTCTGCGACAGCCAAGCACAAGATAAGGCATGCTAGACCTACATAGGAAACCCCTAGGTCCTACCATGAAAACGGACACGCGAAAAAACGGAAAGTTGGAATTTTACGCATGTTTCCATTCCCGACGACCTACGACGTTCTGGATAGGCTCGTAAGGATCGTCGCAGTCCAAGTACCAGANCTTACGTTTATATGAACTTTTTTCACAAAATAACTTCGGCAACCGTCCCCTAAAATATTTCGCATTTGTTTACAAACATCCTGTATATCCACCGGTCGGCCGTTATTGAGCATGTTTGAAGGAATTTTTCACCTATTTCGCATTATTTTATCGGAAAATTAGATATGCGTTTTGCAGTATTATACTTCTACTTTTCAAATCCGGCTGAAAATTTTCAATCGAACCACATCCAACGCATCCAGAAACTGTGCAAAATAATATACCAAAAAATTCAATTGCAATTGTGCCAAAACTAATGGTCCGACAGCGCCTGCTTTGTGCACACTTAAAGTGCATATAATTCACTGCTGTACAACTTTAGAGAGTAGAGTAAAAACAGAACTAATAAAAAATATAAATAGAGAAACAAGATTAAGAAACATCGATAATATCGATTTTGTGTCATAAAAAAAAATAGAAAATTGGTAGGTACTCAGTGTAAGAACCATTATCATTTTAACATCACCTAAAATTGTGAAGGTAATCCTTGAATTCGCCGAAATTTGCCGCCTTGTATTTCGAAAACGTAATCTTTCCCGGACATAGTTTCTTAAACAAACCCACATTATTTTTCTATCGATTCTGAAAGTTACCAAGACAGAATTAGAACACCCTCTATAGTTATGTGAATTTTGTTTTCGCCTGCCTTTTTCAGAGTGAGATTTTTGGTTAAAACAAAACTACTTTCATAAAAATGTGGCAAGCGTTTATTTCATTAACTTATTAAATCCAGGCGGCAAATAAACAACCTCCTATAGTGTTTTACATTTAGTAAACACTTCACGGTTCATATTAATTAATTCTGTTTAATTTAACACCCTGTAGCCCGGTCGCTAGACCGCTTAGAATGTATATTCGTAAGAACTGTTTTTAATTAACTGATGAGTCACCTCCTTTATTATCGAAACGTACTTAAAGACCACCTTTGGTTCCACATTTTTTATGTAAAAAATAGTAATTGTAAGTAAAAACCTAAATTTCGAGAAAGTTTGTTTGTTCTTTATTAGCAAATATTAGATTAAATTACAGAAACTGTATAAAATATTTTCATACCTGTTCTTTGCTCAACTACGAACTTATTGAATTTTTGGTATTGTAAAAAATTCGCTATTGAATTCTTATTAGGTGCACGCGACACAGTCTGATACTCAAAATGCATTAAACAGTCACAGCCATACAATTTACTCCCTGGTTTTAATTACAATATCAGTAATTATTATGGGCAGTGGCGTGTGTCAGTGTCAATAATGTTTGACTTTCGTCAAAACGGTGTCATCATCATATATGTAGCTCTTAAAAGTTCTGGGGGACTAAAAATGACACTTTACTCACTTGAACAGACCATATTATAGTCCAGACGGTATATGTTTGAAATTTTTGGCTTTTTGGCTTTAAAATATCGCTAGAAATGAAATTTTTTTCTATAAAAAAAACGTGGGCTTAACTTTTGGCGGCACAATAATATGTTTAAAAAAATTCGAAAAATGTCATTTTTTTACGTATCTTTTCAAGAGTTGATTTTAGGCGAAAATGGGAGAGGAAAAAAATGTTTATAATTAAATTTTACAAAATATGACTAGTTACAAATCGAATGAATTATGATTATTATTGTAAAAATCGCCAAAAATGGGGTTAATTACTTTTTAAGGATTTTTTTTGGGGTCTTTAAATTGAGTATAGGATCTTCAAGCTCAAGAAAATTTCATGTTATGTAGCCTAATTTCATCAAAATCGGTTCTATACATTTTGCATAATAATTTTGCAATCCAGATTTTGAAAAAAACATTGCAAATTTTCAAAATTTTGCACAGCAAAAACCAAGGCCCTTAGATACTTGAAAATTTAATCACATATAGAAGGGCTCTCAAGCTTTCAAACTTTTTTTGAAAAATTCGAATCCGTCAATTAGGAGAGCTCTGGCGCTTGTTTAAGCATTGGTCGAATTTTTGTACTATAATTTTGTGTTTTTGTAATATATGGAGTTAATTTCTCATTTGCTTATATTTTAAACAATAAATAATATTTGACTTATACTTTAATCACAAAGGAAATAATTATTAAATTAATAATTAATTAATTCGACATATTTTGAAAATAATTGTTGTTTAAACAATTTCAGAATAGACAAATTTGCTTTTGATCTTTGATAAACAGTATATAAGTTTACGCACTTACCTTTGATACAATAAAAAATAATGTTTAAAGATAAATAATTATCGGACTGTCGAAAGACCAATAATTATTATCGATAGGCATTTTAAAATATGCTAATTGTATTTTTTAAATCGCGAGACATCGATTTAAAAAAAATCATCAAAATCGGTCCTCTAGAAGCTGAGATATTAAGAATTTTTAAGCGCTTCGCGGTTTTGAACTCGCCGATTCAATTGTTGCAGCATATTATAATCAAACTTATGTTTTCTTGAAAGAAAATTGTAGGTCACAGAATGGAGTAGGTGGGAAGTAGCACGATAGATGGAGCCAGCACTTATGCTCTGTGTGTACACATCTCGTTGTGAGTAACGACACTAAAGCATCTGAATCATTCTAACAACATAATGATGAGGTCCCAAACCGACCTATGTCTGGTTGGTTAACTTCATTCATAATATTCATATCCAAATATATTCTTAAAATAAGTATATACAATCACTTGACAACATTTCTATTCAAGTTTGTATTAAACAAATGATACATTAATATATAATACAAAACATGTTTGTATAAAATCCATGTAAATCATAAAATTTAGAATACAATTCGCTTAACCGTAAGTATCAAATATTTATTTTAAATGCTTAAATTATATTTCTGGGTAGAAATTTAAAGTATTTAAATAAATAATTTTCTTGTAAGGGGAAAATATTTTCTTGCGTGCGATACCTTAAAATCAAATGTTGTACACTTGAATCAAGAAATTTTGTACGTGCGTCTTCCTTTCTCTTTCCGATTCAACATGAATGTGTACAGATGTGGTGCAGAGAGTAGAATTGAGAGACTCTACAATGGTGTATGCTTACATTTAAGACTCCCTAATAATCTTGGACCCTATATAACCAACGATGCACAAGTTTTATAGACATTTTCTTATGTCAAGGTTCCATTATATGTGATCAAGATGTTGATTAAAATGATTAATAATTCAATTAACTAATATTGAGTTAAGTTATGGAAATCAAATTATAATACCGATGACGTATTACCGCCTCAGAAATGCTGCAATGCCATTGGGCAACTCAAGGTTAATGTTTGTAGGTAACCAAAGGGTTCACACCGTGATTTAGTTCTATTCTTACTTTGTTTGTTCAACGCCATAGCGACAAATAGACTTTTGTTTTGAATCGAATTTAATAATTGTTAGTGACTTCACACTTTTATTGCTTGTTAGAAACTAGAACAGCATCACAGAGTAAAAAAATAATTACACATTTTTTTAAGCTTGTGAACAAGCATTTTTTTCATATTTGCAATTAAAAGTACATTTTGTTTCATTGTTAGTTAAACCGCCCTATGCCCAGTACCGAACTGGTAGTTGTGGTCATTATTTCCTAACCTAACCCTGATCTCTAATTTAAATAAATATTTTTTTAGCGGAGACCTCCTGTATTACAATGAATATTGTCAACATACGGATTTAAATACTATACCTAGTTTAAAATTGTTTGAATCTTTTAACGGTACACTCGCGAATTGCATTTGAATAGGTTAGACTTTTACGAATAATAAATATGTTTTAAATAATGTATGATCGCTTATTGTATATGAGGAGAGAAACGTTGCGTCATACATTTTTTTGTATTAATTTATCAACGAATTTATTTCGTCAAAAGCGAGAGTAAAGAAGACAAGAGCAACATTTTTTCCTAAAACTGAATTTCTGCTCTGCACTTGATAAAACTACGTACTAAGGAAAATACAAGTTTGGAACAAAATTCATAACTTTTATACCGAGTGATTTTTAAGAAAAGCCGAGACAGGTCGATTTTATTCTCGGTAGGGGCATCTTTTAAGATGATTCAGTTGTACACAAGGTGAGCCAGAAAAGCTGAACGGCCAATAAATATGTGTTTTCTTATGGAACACCCTGTATATTTTTTCATACTCGGTTAAAGCTTTCTCTTGCGAATACAGTGATGTAAGGTTTGATAGGTCTATCTCAAATAACAAGCGAGATATTGCGAGAAAATGTCATTTTTCATAAAGAAATTGTACTTGGAAACGAAACAAATGCAAATAATTAACGAAAAAAAAAAAACGAAAAAAGTTTACAAGTTTAGCAACAAAAATTAGGGTACATTTATGATGAATTTGATACATTTTGGTTCGAAAAATGCAAAAATCTTACGTTACTTTTGCCCAACGCTATGTTGAATCTTATTTGTAATTGATTTCCACCTTTTTATGAACAAGTATATTGAAGTAGATATAGGTATATTTTCCGAGCTTTATATGAAATATAGATAGATATAGATGGTAAGGTAAGACAAGCTAATTGTGGAACACTCCGTATGCAAATCATTCGTACAAAAAACGTCACAGGTTATAGAAAAACGTAAACAACACCTCTATGCTCTGAATAAAGGGATTTGGGGAAACAGGCGAAAAATTGTTGCGCGGAACACTTCGAAACTTGGTTGAATTTCAAGGCAAACCACATCTACTGTGCACCGACTCGGTGGTGGCATTCGCGACACACTGTGTTTGGTGGAGTCGACGAATAGTTGGGCTGGAGTTAGGAGAAACTTTATTTGAACACTATTTTTGCTTTGTCGTCTCCTGTCAAATCTGTGTAGGCAAAGAAAAAAATTTCGCTAGATATAACAGCGTATTTGTTTAGTTTGTATTAGTAGTAATAGTAGTAGTAGTAGTCTTTAGAGTAAAAACACTGCACAGTTAATAGGGTTATCCACACCTACCTACTTCCCCCCCTTATATTCGTTGCTTTCAGATTTAAAAAAAATAAACAGGTCAATTCACGGAAAATCGTAGTTTACGTCGTAAACTTTATTTTGCGAAAAATTCAAGTCTTAATGTTTATAAACAATTGCGCTACGATTTAAAAAAAAAATGCCTGATCTTGGCTCCTGTTGGTCGTAGAGGGTGTTTTTTTAAAATAAAAACTGTATTTTTTTGCCAGCTATCCGTTGAATCCATTTTCGGTGAAGTAGCAAAAATAGCAACAATTTTATTCAAATTGTTTATAAGCGAAAAACGCACGGTTTTTTAATGCACAATCTGAGAATGTTAATGTCAAAAAAACGGTGATATTTTATAATAGGTCGCTTAATTACGTCTTTAAGATTACAATGAGGCTTTCAGAATCATGTTTGGTTGAAAATTATTAACGCCTGTACAGAGGCTTAAAGTTCATAACATTTGGTGCCTCCGTTATAAACAAATTGAATTGTGCGAAAACTATTGCACCTACAGCGCCCACTTTTGGCACACTTTTAAAGTATGACAAAACCCTCAACTTGTCATAGGTTTTATAAAATTTTAACAATAAATGCGATAGTTATAAACAAATTAAAAAATGGGCACTTTTCTTGTTTTTTTGCAATAACTTTTTTGTTTATTAACCGATTTTAATTTAACAAGTCTCATTTTGTAGATAATTTTATTCCCTACACGTATCTGTGTGTCACTTTTCGCTAAAATTGATGGTTTTCCCTGCAAAGTGAAAAAACTGTTTTCCTCACTTATTTGTTTAAATATAAATGTTAGCTATTAAAATGTTTTGACTCACAAGATGAGAGATGTCTTGTATTATGATTCTTTAGACAATTTTACAATAATATCGCGGATAGGAATTTTTTCGAGATTCTCTTTTTTTTCGCTAATCTTCCTGGTCTATTTATATTCATGCTGTCTTTTATAGACAGGTAATTGTACATATTTTTGTTAACGTTAACTGTTTGTATTTTATTTTTATATTATTTTGTTATTTATGTACACGCATTTTGTTATTTTGCCTTGTTTTTAAATTTGTTAACTGTATTTTGTTTAAACAATTTCATAGCTTTGTTTTTACTTGTGTCCTTTTTTATTGCAATTTTATTGTTATTTGCACATATTTTGGTAATTAGATATTTAATCATCCTGCAGTAGGCGACTTGCATGAAAATTTAATTTAAAAATTAATTTTAAGATGTTTAAAATTATATAACAGTTTAAATTGGCACGTTATCAAGAAACCATTATGACGTCATTTAGTACGTCCTAGCACACCCCTGTCTATAGTACGATGTACGTTTTCAATTTTTCTTGGGAGTTGAACCTTGAATGCTCCTATTTACTTGCAGGTTGTTCTTGTCCTGGGATAGTGGTTGGCCGGTGAGCGAAGTCGACGTTCGATCGCCTCTCTAACGGGAACTCTCCGAGACCTGGGCAATCTTCGGTTGCCCTGAAATGTCACAGCCTGCCACGCTCGGATCACTTTAGGATTTTTTCATGACAAACTAGGGTTATTTTGACCTCCCTTGTACACTCCCGAGAGCATGCCATATACTTACCAGATACTCTGTATAAGGTTAAAAGAAAAGCAAAGGAAACTGTCGGACGGAACCACCATATTGATTCAAGCCAAACACAAACACAAACAGAAAATCACTAGAGAATTGCTGCTTTCGTACAACAGCAACTATTCCGACTCCAGCTTACCGAAATACTTCTTCTCGCATTTTGAAGTTAAGAGCAGGTTTAAGGTAAAAGATATTATCATTTGCACCAACACGGGTGTCGACAGAAAAGGATTGGAGGGAATACTTGCCTTCCACAGTGCCAGTTTGGAGATTATGTTACATTATGTACGCGATAACTCCTCCTTTTTCACGATCAACTACAAAATTTTGCACGACTTGAAAGCCAGTGCAGAGATTTACTTTGATAAAAATTTATAAGGCAAAGGTGTTGACAAGGGAGTGTTATCTGATGAGAACTTGAAGGTGTTTTTGGACAATTTACAATTTTTCCTAAGTTACCCAAGCGGAGGGGAACTGCACAAAATTATAGTACAGTTATTATTGCCTCGCTTGCACAATTCAAATTTGTGCTACAAGACGTTTTACCATGAAATCTACAGAAAGGTCGAGGACTGGTTCAAGCAGCGAAAAGGTGAATATTTAACGGAGACTCGGATCAAAGCTATGCTAGGCGAGATAAGAAGTAACACGTACTGTGAATCGTTAAAGGGGTACAATGTGTCGTTTGAACTTTCGATTGGTTATACTGATGTAGATGATGGAGATTTCTAACCTCAATCTAATTTCTTATAAATACCTACTAATCTTAATAGCAAGATTATTTCGTCAATCTCGGACTGTATACACTCGATGATCATTAATAAATTGAATTAACTCCTCTTCGTCATCTTCAAAAATGTCCTCAAAATCGAGGGAAATTAGGCGAAATTAGATTATTTATTTATCTGTTGTGACATTCAAATTTGAATTTACGAATTAACGAATGCCATTCGGTCGAATTCGACTGTTGATTAACTCAACGATCAGGTTTCGCAGCGAGTCTAATTTGTATTTCGTTGATATACATTTACGTCTGATTTTTAAATATTCTTTCAGAATATTTTGCCCTAAAAACTAACTTGGTGCCACCTAACACATTTTTTAACAACGTCCACTTTTATTTCAAACAGATGGCGATTTTTTGACTACTGTATTTCCATTTAGCAAAGATTACACTCGCTATATCATACAGGGTGGTAATGATAAGTTTTTAATGGTGTATTCTACCGATAAAAATAATCAACCTTTGCCCTATAAAAAGTTTTGATAGGACTTTTGCCTACTATACAGGGTGTTAAAACTTTCAAATATTTATATTATTTTTCCTGTAACTTCACTGGCATAATAGGTTGAGTGATAAAATTTGGGGAATGACATTTTTTAGTAGGGACTATTTTTTCATTAATAACTTATTCCAAAATACACTCCAGTGGCGTAGTTATTGGGAGAGCAGGGGACCTTTTTTGAAAAAAAAAATCGTACGCCACTGGATTTTTAAATAATTTTAAATATTTTTAAAATGTACAATCAATTTGTCACTATAAAGTATTCTTGTAAAATATTCGTAAATTTTGTTGGTCTTTAGATAATTGGGAAATCAAATAAGGAGATACTTAAGTACCTACGTTGCTATTTGCAATTTTCTATTGATTGCTGAATGTGTAACAATAAATTATATACTTAATATTTTTGAGAATTCTGACACTCACCATTAAATGGAGACACTTATCAAAACTCTGTGACACCATTGTCGTCACTGTTGTTTATAAAGCCAGTGCACTGGCGATAATAAATAAAATTTATCTGGTAAACCCACTGGCCAGTGAGCAGTACCAGTGAACGATTGAAATCGCAAATTTATACGCAGGGATTTACTACGCATTTATAAACTCTTTATTTTTATAACACGTTTGTTTTGTTTTGTGAATTTTTGGGTAAGTAAAAATATTTCAATACTACCAATTGTTATCTCGGAAATATCTTTCTATCTCTATAAGAGATAGGAAAATGGATAAATGGGGAGAGTTTTGAAATATTAAATAAAATCAATGCTACCTTTTCAAAAATCTACTAGCTTTCTGTTTTTTAGAATTTTTGGAACTTGTAACAACAAAAAATTGTAACTGTTAAAAAGTTAGAAAAACGGATAAATGGCAAACGTTTCGAGATATTTTGGATTGATGTCTCTTTTATTTTTTAGGATTTTTGTAATTTGTAAAAATACAAAACTATAGCAACTATTTTGACTATTGAGATTTCGAAAATATAAACAGTATAGAACCGGACAAATCGAGATATTTTGAATAAAAAGCAACGTTGCATTTTCAAAAATTATATTTTATTTTTTAGAATTTTTGAATGTGTGAAAATAACAAATTAGCAACTGTATGACGACACGTATTGAGATTTCTGAAACATAGCAGATAGAAAAACGAATAAATGAGAAACGTTTCGAGATATTTTGGATAAAAAGCAACGTTGCATTTTCGAAAACCTGCTGTTTCTTTGATCTTTTAGGATTTTTGGAATTTGTAATAAAAATCGACAGAAACTGTTTGGGCAGTGCATTTGTTGAGATTTCGGATACGTCGGGAAGGTTTCGAGATATTTTGAATAAAAAGCAACGTTGCATTTTCGAAAATTTACTGTTTTTATTTTCTAGAACTTTTGAATTATGTAAAAACAATCTGTAGCAACTCTGTTATGACGATGCAAGTACTGAAATTTCTGAAACATAGCAGATAGAAAAGCGGATAAATGGAAAACATTTCGGGATTTTTTGGATAAAAAAACAACGTTGCATTTTCGAAAAGCTGCAGTCTCTTTAATTGTTTACGATTTCTGAAATTTGTAAAAACAAAAATCGACAATAACCGTTTTGGCAGTACATTTGATGAGATTTCGGATACGTAGGGATGGTTTCGAGATATTTTGAACAAAAAGCAACGTTGCATTTTCGAAAACTTACTGTTTTTATTTTTTTAGAACTTTGGAAACTTGTAAATACAAAAAACTATAGCAACTTTCTTGTGGCGATGTATGTCTTGAGATTTCTGAAACATAAAAAATAGAAAAACGAATACATGAGAAACGTTTAGAGATATTTTGGATAAAAAGTTACGTTGCGTTTTCAAAAAATTAGTCCTTTTATTTTTTAGAATTTCTGGGATTTGTAAAAACAAGAAGCTAGCAATAAATTTTATACATACAGAAAATATGTTTTGTGCCTGATACTTTGTGAAATAAAATAAAATAAAATGTTTCAAATTATTTTTTAACCAAACGGAATTATTTCTCAAAATGACGATTTCGTTTATTGATACCTAGGATTGATTAAAAAATCATCTACTGTATATCTATTTCTATTTCCTTCTTTTCAACCCCCTCCATGGAGCCACTATATTTTGTACCTATTTTGTGGACAAAACGGTCGAAATTAAGAAAGAAAAAATGGAGGCGAAGCACATGTCAGATATGTTCAGCATTTCTTAAAAAAATTATATAATAAAATGGGAAGCAACCGTTTTTTACTCTTCAAATTTGGTACAATCACATCTAAATCTATAAGAAATGATAGGTCTGATCTAAAAACCAGAAAGTTTTTTTTGTCGGCCTGTTATTAATACGTCCCAAACCAAGGCGACGAACTTTTGTTTTTAAAATATTGCAAAACATAATACACTTGACTTTATATTATCAATAAAACAAGCAAGAACCAAACAATTGTTATTTAATTCTGAGTGCCAAAGAAGAAGAGAAAAAGAATCAGAGCCAACAAGGCTCAACGGTTGGTAGCCTTTTTAACACAGAAGTTCACTTAACAATATTGTGGTTCTAAAAAATTTCCAAAGGGTGGAAATTATTATTATATTTAATTAACATCATAAGATAAACGATAAACTTTTTAACAACAGTAGATGAGCAACATATTTTGTGGTAGCATCACATCATGGTTTAACCAAACCTAAACCAATGCAGCATCCTATGTAGGAACTTCCTTTTTTCTTAAAACCGCAGTTAGTGATAAAATTGTTAATATCGAATACAATGCATACTTCTAGATAAGCCGAAAACCACGATTACATTTACTATAAAAACGTTGCTAATTTCCAGTAGATAAAACCCGAACAGGATGTGGCGTGTGTAATCTATAAAAATTAAACTACAGCTTCCTAGAAAAGTCTTATACGAAAAAATTCTATTTTTGCGTTTTTTTTTTCGTAAATTAGTAAAGTTCAATTACGGATCAAAACATTTTCTCTGGAACGGTCCTGTACTTGTGCTGTACGATGAGTTACGTAGGTACTTCTCAATTTTTGGGGAATTTTTCAATGCAAAAGTACAAACTGAGAAAAATAGATATTTAAAAAAACTGATATTTTCTTATTATAATAATTAATAGTAATTACTATCTTAAATGCATTGTTGTTACTGCAAGAGTTCGCAAACAAAAGCACACCATAAGCATCCTTAGTTAATAACTGCGTGCACTAAACAAACTCCATTAAAATATGGAACAAAATGAAATAAAACTTACCATTTCTAGAGAATATGTTGAAATTGATCCCCATTAGCGCGGATACAGGCATGGCACCGACGCACCCAATTTTGGCGAATATTTTACCAAATTCCAGATATTCCCCTAATTGTGTCAGCAGCTTCAAGTATACGGCTTAGCAATTCTTCCACCATAGCAATTGGATGGTATTGTTTCTTTATACAGGGTAGCCCATCGAAAACGTACAGCAAGGCATTACAGGGTAGTAATGAACTTTTCGGCAAAATCCAAAAACAGGTAAAGTTTGCTTCTGAGGGGGACAACTTTTGGCGCAAAAAGCATAGCAAAACCTTCAACCCCCTAAGTGGGGGTGCCATCCCCCAAATTTTTTTAAATGGGAATGGGGGTCAAGTGGGGGGTCATTAGAAAGGGCTTTTAATTCTCTATACATCGATTCTTACTTTTTGAAAATCGATCCATTATTTTAGAAAATATGCAGCTTTGAAAATACGAACAATATTTTTGACGAGAAATGCGAAAATCGATTTAATTTTACTTCAAAACTTACGGTATTAGCTTGGTAAATTCCTTCAAAAGAATTCGCTGTTTTTTTTTTCTGATTTGCGAATTCTTTAGCCTGATTTTGGTGAGCAAAAAATTGTCCGCTTTTTGTTTCGTATTTAGATAGGCCACAAGAAGTTGCTAGATAACTGTCTTGTGACTTGTAGTTGAAGAGTACCAATACTGCCGAGTCTTTTAAATTGATTAATTATGGTGTACTCAATTCCAGAAAGAGTAGAAATTATTGAGCTTTTTTTCAAAAACAATGAATGCGGAAATCGGGTCGCCGAACTGTTCAACCAACGGCATCCTGAGAAACATGCGTCTGGAAAAATTGTTCGCGAATTGGTGGCCAAATTTCGCGAAACTGGCTCCGTTCATAACAAAAAGAGGCAGGTTGAAAATCCGGTACTAAATGAACCTACGGAAATAGCGGTATTGGGGCAAGTGGCAATGGATAGTACGCTGAGTACAATGCAATTGGCTACTGCGACAGGAGTGAGTCGTACAAGTGTCCAACGAATATTAAAAAAATACAAATTCCATCCTTATAAGATTCGGCTAGTGCAAGAGCTAAATGAAGACGATTTTGATCGTCGTTTGCAATTTTGCGAAATAATGACTGAACGAGCGATAAACGATAATTTCCTCTTTAATGTGTGTTTTTCGGACGAGTGTACGTTCTTCTTGAATGGTTTAGTGAATCGCCATAATTGTCGTTACTGGGCTGATACCAATCCAAGGATTTTCCATGAGACACACTCCCAACACCCCCAGAAGTTGAATGTATGGGCAGGTATTTTTGGAAATTCCATTGTAGGTCCTTTTTTCCTTCCTGGAAATTTGACAGGCGATATGTACTTGGATTTACTACAAAATGTCATCGACCCAGCTCTAACAAATATCATAGAGGACGACCCTGCTTACAATGAACACGAACTGATTTTCCAGCAAGACGGAGCTCCTCCACATTACTCGCTCAATGTGCGCAATTACCTAAATGAGACGTTTCCAGGACGCTGGATAGGACGAAGAGGTGCAATTGAGTGGCCCCCTCGGTCACCCGACTTAAATCCTTTAGATTTCTTTCTCTGGGGGCACATTAAAAGCAAAGTTTACAGCACTCCACCTGATACCTTGGAAGATCTGCGAGGACGAATCATTAATGTATGTCGCGAAGTAACACCGCAAGTGCTCCAGAATGTTCGACAACGGTTTGAAGACAACCTGTATCATTGTATGCAAGTTGGCGGACAACATTTTCAGCATTTACTTGACTAATACCGTAAGTTTTGAAGTAAAATTAAATCGATTTTCGCATTTCTCGTCAAAAATATTGTTCGTATTTTCAAAGCTGCATATTTTCTAAAATAATGAATCGATTTTCAAAAAGTAAGAATCGATGTATAGAGAATTAAAAGCCCTTTCTAATGACCCCCCACTTGACCCCCATTCCCATTTGAAAAAATTTAGTGGATAGCAACCTCACTTAGGAGGTTGAAGATTTTGAGCCAAAAGTTGTCCCCCTCAGAAACAAATTTGACCTGTTGGAAATACATGATGATAACCAGAATTAAAAGCACTTTCGAATGAGGTGTCACTCGACCTAGAGTGCCATTTAAGATTCTAAAGTTGAATGCTCCCCCGCGAAGGGGGTCGTTCTGGGGAGTCTGTATTTAACGCTAAAATGTGTCCCCCTCGAAAACAAAATAGACGTGTCGCGGCAATTTTAATATTTTGGAACGTAGTTCAAAATAAACCGGGTGCAAAGTTTTCAATGGGACACCCTGTATGTATTTAAAGAAAACAATTTGCAAATTATTGAATTTTATGTTTAAAATGAACCTACTTTTTCTGAAATCGTTTGGAAATGTGTACTTTTCCAGACCAATTTCAGTCCCCAAAATACGTATTCTAGTATTTTAGTTCGTTACGAAACAACCATCAGCAAACAGTACGGAAAAGTCCCCTGCCGTTTTTTTTATCCATATTTTATATAGTACATACTGATAAATACACACGGGCAAATCCACTCACATAATAAACGCATTATTTAGAAAATATAGCATTTATTGAACGTATTCCACATTATTAAACGTCTATTATAACTATTTGTTTATACATATAGTTGTTAGAATTTGTACAACTATTAAACATTGACAGAACCTCTGTTTTTTCGTTTTATTGACCGGTATTTTAATCGGAAGCTTTGATCCTAAATCATCTATATCATTCAAATTTAATTGGTACAGTACATTACGACGACATGCATCAGCAACACCAAATATTAAGGCAACCTGAAGAGGAAAAACTAACATGTAGATGTTAAAATTTTCACGTCTAAACGTGCTTTATTCATTGAGCATTAACATTATCTGGTGGTTGAGTAATAAACGTGTAAAGTTGTTTATTTGACAAAACTTTTGACTACTTTTGTTTGTAGTCGTCACCTTGACGTTTCAGGAAAACAAGTAATTTCCAATATTTTTAGTACTTATAGGTATTAAAAGGAATTTGATTTTTATCACAACAATAAATAAACAAAAGGAAATGATTTCATAATCAATTAGATTGTAATGAAGCGATGTTAGGTATACATTAATACAAATTTCCTAGTTCATTTTAATTAATTAATATTGTTTGCAATTCCAGAAAAAAGTAGTACATAGCCATAGTAAAAGCACATTCCTGGACTCAGTGTCGTCCTGGAATGTATTGCTTTTACTATACCAATACAGTAATACAATATACTATTTCCTAACTTTTACCTTAAAAAAACTGTACTAATTTTTTTTACACATATTCTTGTCTAACTCGTTCTTACAAATCTCTAATTTGGGTTCCTTTTAAGTTGTTTCCTTGCAATCTTCTTTGTGCCACACGGTATCTTGATTTGACTAGTATTTATTGGCGCCGCCCCCTAATAAATTCTTATTTCGTACTGGCTAGACGACGATCAAATCTTCAGGTAGATGTAGTGTGAACTACCTATCTTGTTTAAACTTCAAATTTGTATTTAACTTCTGACAGCCAACGTGGAGATATCTTGGGGAAAACTAGTTTTTTTATACTTTATTCACTTTACTGGTTATAACCTCACTACTTTAATGTTTATAATAATATTTCCCAAGAATTTTTGGCTGTTCTTAAATAGATTCTTGCCAAACAAATGACAATCAAGAACTTTTCTGGAAATATTCTTGAATTGCATATTATATGAAAACTTTTTATCACAGATTGTTGGATTATGCTAACATTGTAAGTCTAATAATAGATCCTTATTTTTCAAATATACAAATTTTCAATTTTTTTTATATGTAGGTAACTTTCGTTATTCCATTAAACTTTTTATGAGTTTGATCTACACACTAAGCACTGTCACGTCTTGCAAATTAATACATTTACAACTATTTTCTCTGCTACTGTGCTTACAACTACTTTTATCCAAAACTTACAACAACGGTGTTTTTTATAGAAAACACAGATCCATAATTAAAAATTGCGTATTTTTTATTTATAAAGTATAAAAGATAGTTAATATTTTTATAAAACACGTTTATTCGTCCGTCAAAAAAATTGAGGATCGGCACTAAGACTTTGCAATAGTTCTTTTTCTATCGTCATTACCGATAAGTTGTCATCGTATTTCTAAGTCTTAATGCGCTTGAGACACAAAAAGTTTCTTTCTATCGAGACACTTGTTGCAGGAATTGTTAAAACTGGGCAAAACATTTTGTATGTTCCCGAAAATACCATTTTAAGTTCCTTGTATTATATTTCTATCGTTTTTTGAACTTCTAAATTACGAAATCGTTCGTCTCTGTACAAAATATTAAGTTCGTTTTTCAAAAACGTTTGTAATAAACATTCAAACGATTTTTAGGGAAATTTGTTTACATATTCGGGAAATTTTGGGGAATCTATTGAAGCAAACAAATTTATATCATGTAAATTCCCAAAACGAGAAGGTACTCATACTTATACCATACCATTGATACTGTTATAGTACATAGGTCACTAATCATGAATTACTAAAATTAGATAAAATAGTTTGTTAGTACTTAAAATAGTATGTAGTTAGTTGTTAAAATAATAATAAAGGTCTTTATTATCTACAAAACATAATCAAAAATTAATTACATAAGAATGAAAAGAAGAAAGAATAGTTGGGATAAGGTCGACTACCGAAGTAGCCAGCTGTTCTGTTTGTTAATTAAAGTCCTTTTTTTATATAAAAAATAACTCTTTTTGGACTGTCGCAAGCTGCCAAATTTCACAGCCCCACAGTAAATAAAAAGGTATCTATATGTTTTTGGCCTCGCTGAATCCGAATCCGGTGTCTGTTTGACCCAATTAGCTTTGGGTTAACGTCAGTTCAAGGTCATATATAGAGAATCAATTGCCAATAAACTAAATCAATATATCCCTACGTTTTTGGGCTCGCCAAATCCGAATCCGGTGTCCGTTTGACCCAATTAGCTCTGGGTTAAGGTCAACTCAAGGTCAAATGTAGAGAATCAATTGCCAATATATCTATATGTTTTTGGAGTCGCTGAATCCGAATCCGATGTCCGGTTGACACGATTAGCTCTGGGTTAAGGTCAGTTCAAGGACAAATGTAGATAATTAATTGCCAATAAAGTAAACCTATATATCTGTCTGTTTTTGGGGTTGCTGAATCCGAATCCGGTGTCCGTTTGACAAAATCAGATCGGGTTTAAGGTCAGTCCAAGGTCAAATGTAGGGAATCAATTGCCAATGATGTAAACCAATACGTCTATACGTTTATATCTTTCTCCTTGCTCCTCACTGTTATCTCCCAAATTTTCTGGGAAATAATCCACATGAAAATGTAATCCATTAAGCAGCCTATCCTATTTTCTTTTCAGAATCTGCCAAGAAGATGGAAAACACGTACGATAAGAATAAAGGTAGTGCCGGGCAGAAAGGGATACAGTTCCAGTTAGACCTGTCTACAGTGTGTTTATTAAATGCCCTGGACCACCATAAAGACTGGAAAATCTCGTGCGAGAATAAAAACGCCGGAAAATATGACGACATTGTCATAGAATTGGCTGGCGAAGCCGCTGTCCTGGTCCAAGCCAAGCATAAACAGAACAGAAAAATCAACAAAGAGCAACTGCTCTCGCACAACTCCAAAAATACCGACTTTAGTTTACCGAAATATTTCTTCTCTTACGAGGAGATCAAGAACAAATTTAGGAGAAGAACAGTTATCATTTGCACCAACACAACTATCTACACAAACGGTCTAGAGAATGCCTTGACCTCCCAGCGTGCCAGTCCTGATAGTGTGTTACACTACAGAAGCGATACCTGTTCCTATTATACCTTCAACGAAAGCATTTTGCCTGAATTAAAAAGAAACGCAGAGATTTACTTCAGCAAGAATTTACGAGACAAAAGTATCGACGAAACAGTGATTACAGATGAAAACTTGAAAGATTTTCTAAAAAATCTGCAGATTTTTTCCTCTTATCCATGTGAAGATCACTTACACAAAATTATCGAGCAACTATTGTGCCATTCGAACCTTTCCAGTTTGTGTTGCAAAATATCCGCTCAAGAAATATTAAGGAAGGTGGAAGACTGGTTTAAACAACCAAAGGGTGAATATTTAACGGAGATGCGCGTCAAAGCAATGCTCTGCGAAATAAGAAGTGACAAGTACTGCGAATCCTTGAAAAACTACAACTTGTCGTTTGAACAGAACGATTTCAGCTTTGCAGATTCAAATAGGATATTCCACGTCAAAGTTGATGAGGGATATTTGCTGCAGGTTTTGAAAATATATCACGCTCTTCAAGGTCTTAAAGGTAGAAAACTGTTCGTGAATCCTGATGACGGTCCAGACGTGCGGAAACATGTAATAGATGCGTTTGAACTGCAGCGATATACCTTTTTGGTGATAACCTGTAACAAAATTACACAAGAAACTGTAACAAGGGAAGTAAGTGACAAATTGAAAGGTATTTTGGATAAGTACAAGTACAAAAAAGTTATCTTGGCCTCAAAGGGCGACAGCAAATTGATGGGACAGATTGAATTAGAACGTATTTTTGAATTCGGTGGGTCCGTAACCTTCGAGGACTTCTCAAAGGTTTGTCAAGAGAGGCTGCTGGATAGCAAAAACGTAATTTTCCAGGGCAATACCGTCAGCTTAAAAGAACTATTGCACACACAGGCGCTTAAAGTTTATACAAAATCCTTCGATTCAGCAATGCTAGAGAAGCTGATCAGAGGGGAAAAAGTTAAAGTGGGTGTACAACCTTCAGATTTAGACGAAGACATTGCTTGGTATTATGTAAGTCGCACATTTGAGAGACAGGTCGATGAAACAGGGAAAACGGGGGATGCTTTGTCGGAAGAAAGCATTTTTAATGTGCACGAGAAAGTGGTCATTATTTCTGACAGCGCTGGTATGGGGAAGAGCACAGTTCTCACCAAGCTGTCGATGACTATAAAGGAAAGTAACAGTCATTTGTGGGTTATTAAAATGAATCTTAATGATTATACGAATATTTTAAGAGACACCTTAAGGAAGAATAGAAATGTGATAAGTGTAACCGAACTGTTGAATTCCCGAGAAGCCACTAGACTCACAAACCAGTTTGAGGAATTAGTTTTTTCGATGAACGAAAAAGTAGTCTTAATGTTGGACGGAATGGACGAGATAAGTCCCGACTACACGGATCTCGTACTCGACTTACTCCATCAGTGCCAGCACGGTCCTAACTTTGCAAAAATTTTCGTTACAACCAGACCTCACGTAGCTCTCGAGTTGAAAATAGTTCTGGGAATTGGATCGTTTAGACTGGTACCCTTTACGAGATCAGATCAGGTAAATTTCCTCACAAACTACTGGACACGCAACTTGAACTTAAAATACAGTAGCAAAAGGAAATGCGAACAATACGCTGTGATACTGATCGATAAAATATCATTTTGGATACGATCGAATTATCCCTCGGAAAATCCCTTCGAGGAAATCCCCCTGCAAGTGAGGATGGTAGCGGAGATCTTTCAAGAGAATATCAGGTGGAGGGAATCAACGGATTGGGAAGGATGTAAGGAATATTTGAGTGGGGACAAAGCGGAACCGAAACTGCCGCAAAAATTCAACATCGCCAGACTGTACGATGCGTTTATCGAGAAGAAGAAGGATGTCTTTATGGACAAGGCAAATACAAGCGGGAATACGGCGGCGAACCAAGCGTTCCTTAACCATTTTAAAGGATGCCTTGCTTACCACCACAACCTTGCATTAAAAGTGATCCTTAACGAAACAGAAAGCCTTTTATTCCCAAACTGCCACTCGAGTGACAAAAACATGGAAGTTTACGTTTTAAAGATAGGAATTGTGCACAAACTAGCCGACGAATTCCACTTCGTACACAGGTCCTTCGCGGAGTACTTCGTTGCCGACAGCATAGTTCAAGAACTGCAACGTCAGAATCCAAATGTTGCGTTTCAGAGATTCCTGATCGACGTAGTGTTGCTGAATGACAGATTTCAAGTTGTCCGTGCTTTCTTAGATATTTTACTGCAGAAAGTTGCCTTGCCTCCTAATACCTTCAAAAATTATCGGTGCCACACGAGTAAGACTGACTTGAATCTCATCTTCAAGCTTGCGGATGAAGGTTACGTAGCAATCCTCCAACTAATTCTAAAGAGCATCAATTTCAAGATTGTCACAGGTAAGACAGTTGACGTCAAGGAGTGGCGACCTAAAGTAACTTTTAAGAAAAGAAACACACTGAACGACCTGAAGATCCTTGTGCGAAAAGCTGGAGTCAACATTAAGTATGACTCTGGCTATAGTCCACTACATCTCGCGGCTAAACGTGGTCACTGGGAGATGGTGAAATTCTTGGTCGAGCTAGGAGCAAACGTTAACTTTAGGGATAGTGATAACAAAACGCCACTGTATGTAGCCGCTAAATATAGGAGATGGGACACCGTTAGATACCTTGCGGAACACGGGGCAGACGTTAACGTTAGCAACAGTGACGACATCACAGCACTGCATCTAGCTGCTGAATATGGGAATTTGGACACCGTCTTGTGCCTCGTAGAACACGGCGCGGACGTTAACGTCAAAGATAACAACGGCAACACGGCGTTGTATTTAGCAGTTGATTCAGAAATTAACCAAGACGATGCACTGCATTTAGACGTTGAATGTGACAGACTGAACGTTGTCAGATACCTCTTGGAACACGGTGTAGTCGTCAACATTAGAAACAACAACGCTAATACGGCGCTGCATCAAGCCGCTAAGTGCCGGGTATGGGACACAGTCAAACACCTGGTGGAACGAGGCGCAAAAATTAACGTTAAAGACAACGACGGTTACACGGCACTACATTTAGCTGCTGAGTATGGAAGACTGGACACGGTCACATACCTCGCGACGCAAGGCACGCATCTTAACACCGCAACCAATAAAGGCAGCACGCCACTGCATTTAGCTGCTAGCTGCGGGAGATTGGACACGGTCAGATACCTCGCTGAACACGGTACAGACGTTAACGCCAAGGACAACGACGGCAAGACGTCCTTGCATCTAGCCGCTGAGCACGGAAACTTGGACGTTGTCGAATACCTCGCAGCGCAACGTGCAAACCTTAACGTTGAAGATAGTGACGTTAGCACAATACTGCAGTTAGCTGCCAAGTATCGAGAGGGGGACACTGTAAAATGCCTCGTAGAACGCGGTGCAGACATTAACGCGAGATCCAACGACGGCAGCACCGCCCTGCATCTAATTTCTGGTTATGACAGACTGAGCACTGTTACATACCTGGTGGAACACGGAGCAGACGTCAACGTAAAGGACAATGACGGCAATACGCCAATACATTTAGCCGCAAAATGTGGGAGACTGGACACTGTCAAGTACCTCATAACGCGAGGTTCACACCTTAACGCTTGCACCAACAAGAACAGCACCCCATTACATTTGGGTACTAAGTACGGCAGATGGGATACTGTTAGATACCTCGTGGAACACGGTACGGGCGTTAACGTTAAAGACAACGACGGCAAAACTTCGTTGCATTTAGCTGCTGAGTACGGGAGATTGGATATTGTGAAGTACCTAATAGCGCAAGGCGCCCACCTTAACGATGGAACGAACGACGGCAAAACGGTACTGCATTTAGCTGCCAAACATCAGAAATGGGACGCTGTAAAATGCCTCGTAGAACACGGTGTGAACATCAACGTGAAAGATTACGACGGCAACACGATATTGCATTTAGCCGCCGACTGCGACAAGCTGGACGTTGTAAAATACGTCGTGGAACACGGTGCAAACATTAACGTAAGAGCCAACGACGGCAGCGCGGCGCTGCACTTAGTTGCCGGGTACAATAGATTGAACACTGGGAAGTGCGACACGTCGCAGCGTTCAGCTGCTGAATATGACAGATTGAACACTGCGGATTACCTGATGGAACACGGGGCGGACATTAACGTCAAAGACAACGACGGCAACACCGTATTGCATCTAGCTGCTGAGTTTGGGAGATTGGATACCGTCAAGTACCTCTTGGCGCAAGGTGCGACCGTTGACGTCAGGAACAATAACGGCTGGACGGTACTGCATTTGTCTGCTGGGTACGACAGATTGAACGCCGTTAAATGCTTCGTGGAACACGGGGCGGACGTTAACGCCAAGGACAATGACGACAACACGGCATTGCACTTAGCTGTCAAGTATGGGGGATTGGACACCGTCCACTACCTCGTGAAACAAGGTGCAACCGTTAACGGTAGGAACAACAAGGGGTGGACGGCACTGCATTTGGCTGCTGAGTGTGACAAGTTGAATGCCGTGAAATACCTCGTAAAAAAAGACGCACAACTTAACGTTACAAACAATGGCGGCAAAACGGCACTTTATTTAGCCGTTGGACGTGGGAGATTGGACACTGTGAAGTACCTCGTAGAACACGGTGCAGACCTCAATGTTAGAACCAAGAGCGATGACACGGCGTTGCATTTAGCCGTTAATTGTGGCAGACCAGACCTTGTTAAGTACCTTGTGGAAAACGGCGCTGATATTAACGTTAGAGCCGCTGACGGCACCACGGCACTATCTTTAGCTGTTAAACATAGTTACACGAGAATTGTCAAATACCTTGTCGATCAAGGGGCAGGTCACCATTGATACCTCAAATTCACCTATGTTCTGAATTCCAATGCCCTACGTCGGCGGAAACCGTTAAGATCACCTAGAATTTCGCCGACGTTTTGAATTTTTTGGTTGAAACAGCCCGAAATCCACAAAAGCCGTTCCGAGACCATCAAACACCGTCGTCGGAGGAATGATAGGAGTCGAGTACTATCAATAGCGGAATAACCAGCGAATATCAACCTTGAGAGTTTAGCGGTGCCATCGTCAGGTGTGACCGAACGTCAACTTAGGCAAATACAGATCACTTACCAGTACAAAGTTTATGGCCAGTACGAGAAGTACAACTGTCCGTTGTCTACTACTCGTAAAAGTGATGTGTAGATTATGTGTCATCAGAAATCATATAATCCTCTCGCTATCCAGATTTATGTAGATATAAGCAGAACCAATTAATAAGGCATTAATTTATAAAATAATATTAATAAATATCTTTTGATATCAAAGATTTTTGTAAGATTATGTGACATGTCAAAATCAAAATTACATTAAATTGATGTTTGTATCTGTAATTTTGTAAGTGGCAATTTCATCTGTCATTCGATTGTTTGTAATAAGGAATAAACCCTTGTTGGTTGTGAGAGTTTTACTATTTCTTCTATAATATATTTATATTTATTTGTTTTAAATCAAATATAGTTATCTTCTTAAATAACAATATAACTAAAAATTATATTGCTTTGAATATGTAACATGCATTACCTACTCAAAATAAATGTTTGTTATTCTATTTTATTTACATCATTTTCTTAACTACTACAAAATGTCATGCGTTGTCCTGATTCATATTCTCTGGAACTCATGACGCAAATGTCGAGACCTAAGTAGTAAGTTGCCACTGCATTTGTAACTAATGGTACCACTTTCCATATTTTCCTTGGGATTGTTTCATCAGGCGACTTCCTCTCTCTCCCAGTGACATAACTTAGTCTAAATTATTTTCATCTCAGGGAGTCACTCTTGAAGTATAGGTTATTCAGACATACCCTATACATCGCATCAATGTGATGAATAAAGAACACAGCCACACTGTAAAAATCTAACCTCAAAAGAGTTACGTCATAAAATGTCACTGATAGAAATAACACCTAGCGACATATAGCAGATGGTTAAACTACCAAGAGTGACCAAATCTTATCTGCGCCAAATTTCATTGTTAACACCTTGTTTGAGAAGATATGGCTAAAATATAACTTAAAAAAACATCTTTAACGCATTGGCTCACAAAAAAAAAAGAAAAGTAATCGTCTTATTTTTTTTCTTTCACCCCTAAGCCTTAATAAAATAGTTATTTTTGTATCTAGAACGCGAAATACTACTTTTGCAATTTGTGCCAAAAGAAATAGGAACTTATCTCAATTTGCCTCATCAGGAAACTTTATACAGGGCATTGCTTTAAACGTTCCTCCGCCACTCTGTTAGCCGACGCAGGGGCCGATATTACCACCATTGAACGAAATGGGGGATGGCATTCTAGTACGGAAGCGGAGACATATATAGAAGATTCTTTACAAAATAAAATTTCAATCGCAAATGACTTGTTACCATCTTTAGCAGAACCAACGGAATTTGCCAATAATACAACGTGTCCAGTAAACTTAAACAAATACAGCAGCAGCCTCATTGCACACCGAGAACTAAAAGCTACGATAACTGACAGCACTGGATCTGGCATAAATTTAAGTCACTGCAATATCGGCACTTTCAATTTACATGTACTTAGTGCAAAATAAATTGAAATCGTCCTGTTTATAATAATTACCGTTTTGCATTGAAATGTTATATTACTTAAAATGTATACTGTTTAATTAATAAAATCATAAATAAGTTTCGAAAAAATGACAAATTATTTTGACATTTGTTTTATGTTCTAGAACGAAAAAGACTTTATCGTTTTAGAACATAAAAGTATTTTGCAACTAGCTGACAAAAAAGACTCACTTTGTCAACTGAAAGTTATCGAAAATGTCGACTTTTGTTGACAATTTTCGAAAAAAATATATTTTTTTTCCTCATGTCAATGTCATCTTAAATATATCTTGATTCCAATTCAACCAGACTTTGTCTAATACATAGAAAGGCTTTTTATGTATTTTTATACCTTTATCGGTACTTTTTTGATAATTATAATAACGATAATACTTTTAGATCCCAAATAAATTATTATGATGTTTTCAGTTCTGTACAATCATGTAACCTGCAACAAAAGAAGGTAATACCGGTTGCATATCCAGTTAGTTACTTAACCAATACGGAACAACGTAAAACAAAAGATTAGAATGTGTAATTATAATTCTATCATATGCTGCTTTTAACATTTATGTAATAATCGGTGACGTCACATTCACGGCAAGCAAAACCACAACGCACGTAGGCGATTTATCTCTAAACAAGTAGGTATAATTGAGTCATTTTGGTATCTTGCAGTTTTTATTGTGCTTCTAAATATTTTGCAAAGGTACTGTGCGATTTTCTTAATTTGTCGATAGTTCGTTTAATTCGAGTTCAGTTGAAATAACAGTTATCATTAAATCATAAAATACTCTCATTAAATTATATCGTTTTCGTGATTATGTTTACATTTTTATTTATTTATTTATTTATTTAAGTACCTACCTATTAGAAAATAGGTAAAGCCATGGTACTTACAGAATATTCTATGCGGTTATCAAAAAATATATTTAGTTTTCTATACGTTTCTTCCTTTTAATTTGTCATACGATGCAATCTTCAGTAATTTAATAATTGATATACTTATGTGTGCAATTATGTTGCAAAATATGTTACTAAAACGTTATTAATTTCTTATTTTTTCCAATATCACATTTACTTTGAGACATTTTTAATATATCTACTTTCCAATTGAAACATTGTGGATGCTGAAGCACTTATAGGAAGGCTTGAATGTGTCAAACAAAAAAAGTTTAACTTCTGAACAATGTTTAACAATGTATCTAAGACGTATATTTTCAACTTAGGTTATATAAGCGAAATTTCGAAACATTGCAAACTTGAAAATATTTTAAATCAATTTCTTTTGGCCCCATTGTTACTAGATTTTTTACCCCATAATCGTAGCACGTCTAGTTTCCTATACAGGGTGTTTGTAAATAAGTGCGAAATATTTTAGGGGATGGTTCCCGAAGTGATTTTGTGAAAAAATTCATATAAACGTAGGTCGAAATATGCTTTGTTTCCGAGAGACAGTGTTTAGATTTTAATTATTTCAAAGAGTGGCGATCCGAATATTTCTTCTTGCACCAGTGGCGTTCGTGAGAGAATGCCACAACATTTAAAAAAATGATACGCCACTAACTTTTTCCCGTTTTGATATTTTTTAGAAATCCGCCATCAATTCTGAATGGAATTGGTCTCTTCAATTGTTTTCGTAAGATGCACCGTTTTTGAGGATAAAATTAAAACATATTTTATTGCTAGTTGTGTGTATTTTTAATTTCTGTTGATACATTATCTAGTAGGTTGCTGTCAATATTTCTTAATACAATACAACCAACAAATTTCGAGTCAATATCTTTAAAACTCTTTGAAATAATTACTAAAAATAAACAAAAAAATTAAAATTTAAACACTACGTTTATATGAACTTTTTTCACAAAATAACTTCGGCAACCACCCCCTAAAATATTTCGAACTTATTTATAAACACCCTGTATACAGCCGCTCCGTACCGTTAATGGATCACTCTGTATATTTTGTTGTCTCTCAACTTTCATTTATATATTTGGTAGTATGAAATACAAGAATATGTTTTTCGCATTGTTTTACATTCGTTATTTGATCTTAGGAGTAGAATCATTTAGAATTTTTAAATATTTTTTCAAAATATTTACAAATTGTTGTTTTTCAGTATAAAACTTTACAGTTTCCTATTTCACCTTATTTTAGGGGATATTTCATCGTGATACTAAAAAATGACGGTAAATCGGCTTTTGCTCCTCTTATTCGGATTCAGAAAATTACACAAAATCTATATACTCATGTTGTGGACAAATATACAGCATCCTGCTGGAATAATTGGCCGATATTATAAAATGAAAATCGTATAAAGAAATTATAAAAACCCCTATTTGGATTTGAATTTCGCTGCAATCGATTTTGGAAATGCACTCACTACTTGTAGTTTTTTTTAAATCTTTTATTTTTTTATTTACATTACATTACCAAGCACCTCAACATGGGCATAGCTAAGATTTTTGGTAAAAAAAAAATCAAAAAATCTAATAAGACTTCCGGAATAAAATTTTCACAACTTAAACACTTTTGACAGGATGGAAAATGCATCCAGTAATAATAATGTAATTTTTTAAATGTGCAGCAACAATTAAGAAAAGCTACGTCCATGAACTTCAGTAAAATTGCAATAACTCTAGAACTACACATTGTACAAAAAAAGCCTTTTTTGTGAAGGAGTAACAGCAATTTTAAATGAAATGTATTCATAAAACTTCTGGAAAAGTCCGTTGCTTAGAAATGTTGCATTTTTTGCAACGGTAACCATTTTTTCTGACTTTGAATGAATATATCATTTCAAGATCTGTTTTTATTATTTCGACTACCGGAATTTAAATTAATCCTGAATCACTTTTTGTACATGTAATTCCTTTACAGGATTCTCATTTGTCAAGAAGATGGAACCGACGTACAAAAAGAACAAAGGCAATGCCGGACTGAAAGGGGTTCAGTTACAATTGGACCTGATGACTGTGTGTCTATTAAATGCTCTCAACCACCACAAAAACTGGAAAATATCTAGTGAGAACCAAAACGCCGGGAAATATGACGACATCGTGGTAGAATTACCCGGAGGTATTGCCGTTCTGGTTCAAGCCAAACATAAAGAGAACAGGAAGATCACCAAAGAGCAGTTGCTATCGGACAACTCCAAAAATGCCGACTTCAGTTTGCCGAAATATTTCTTCTCCTACGAAGAGATCAAGAGTAAATTTAGAGCTAAGACTGTTATCATTTGCACCAACACTGACATCAATACGAAGGGCCTAGAAAATTATTTAACCTTCCAGCGAGCCAATCCTGAAAATGTGTTATACTACGAACACGAATGCTGTTCCTTTTATAAATTCAATGAAAACATTTTGCCGGATTTAAAAAGGAACGCAGAAGTTTACTTTAGCAAGAATTTACGGGACAAAAGTATCGACAAAGCAGTGATTACAGATGAAAACTTGAAAGATTTCCTAAAAAAATTGCAGATTTTTTCCTCTTATCCATGCGAAGATCGTTTGCACAAAATTATCGAACGATTATTATCACGTTCGAACCCTTCCAGTTTGTGTTGCAAAATATCCGCTCAAGAAATATTGAGGAAGGTGGAACACTGGTTTAAACATCCAAAGGGTGAATATTTGACAGAGAGACAAGTCAAAGCGATGCTCTGCGAAATAAAAAGCGACAAGTACTGCGAATCGTTGAAAAACTACAACTTGTCGTTTGAACAGACAGACTTTAGCTTTACTGATTCGAATAGAATATTCTACATTACAGTTGAGGAGGGTTATTTGTTGCAGCTGTTGAAAATACATCATGCTCTACGGGCCGATAAATGTGGAAAACTGTTTGTGAATCCTAACGAAGGTCTAGAAGCGCAAAAACAAGTAATAGAAGCGTTTGAGCTGCAACGCTATGCCCTTTTGGTGATGACTTGGACCGAAATTACAGAAGAGGCTGCAACAAATGAAATAAGTGCCAAGTTAAGAGGAATATTGGACAAGTATAAATATAAAAAAGTTGTTTTGGTGGAAGCAGGTAACAGTAAATTGGCACAGCGGATTGGATTGGATATTTCTAAAGTTGATGGGTCTGTAACGTTCGATAACTTCTCGAAGGATTGTCAGGAGAGGCTGATGAACAGCAAAAACGTAATTTTCCAAGGCAACACAGTCAGCTTAAAAGAACTGTTACACACGGATACGTCTATAGATTATACAAAATCCTTAAATTCACTAATGCTAGAGAAACTAATCGGAGGGGAAAAAGTTACAGTGGGGGTACAATCTTTAGGTTTGGATAAAGACATTGCTCGATCTTATGTAAGTCGCAGGTTTGAGAAACACATCGATAAAGGTCAGAAGAGAGAAGAACCTTTGTCAGAGGAAAGCATTTTTAACGTGAAAGGGAAAGCGATAATAATCTCAGACAGTGCCGGTATGGGTAAGAGCACTGTCCTCACCAAGATGTCGGCGACTATAAAAGAAAGAAATAGTCATTTGTGGGTTATAAAAATTAATCTCAATGATTATACGAGTATTTTAAGAAATACACTGAAAACGCAAACAAAAGTAATAAGTGTGGTCGAGCTGCTGAATTCCCGAGAAGCTACTAAGCTCACAAACCAGCTTGAAGAGATCGTTTTTTTCATGAACGAAAAGGTAGTTCTAATGTTGGACGGTGTGGACGAGATTAGCCCAGACTATACGGACCTCATACTCAACTTGCTCGGCCAATGCCAGCAAGATCCCAACTTTGTAAAAATTTTTGTTACAACCAGACCTCACGTAGCTTTGAAGTTGAGAGCAGTTCTAGGAGTTGGAACGTTTAAACTGCTGCCCTTTACGAGATCGGACCAGGTAAATTTCCTTACGAACTACTGGATACATAACTTGAATCTAAACTATGGAAGTAAAACGAAATGTGAACGATATGCCAAGATACTAATTGACAACCTATCGTCTTGGACGAGATCAAACTACTCTTCAGAAAATTCCTTTGAGGAAATCCCACTGCAAGTAAGGATGGTGGCTGAGATATTTCAGGAAAGTGTCAAGTGGAAGGAATCAGCGGACTGGGAAGGATGTAAGGAGTATTTAAGTGGGGATAAAGCCGAACCGAAACTGCCTAAAAAATTTAATATCGCGATACTGTACGACGTTTTCATTGAAAAGAAGCGAGACGTCTTCATGGACAAGGGAAACACAAGCGGAAATACGGTGGCGAATCAAGCTTTCTCTAACCATTTCAAAGGATGCCTTGCTTACCACCACAGCCTTGCTTTAAAAGTGATCCTTGGTGAAACAAAAAGTCGTTTATTCTCATGTTACGACTCAAGGGACGAAGACATGGAAGAGTACGTGTTAAAGATTGGAATTGTGCACAGACTCGGTGACGAATTCCAGTTCGTACACAGGTCATTCGCGGAATACTTTGCGACCGATAGCATAGTCCAAGAACTAAACAATCAGAATCCAAATGTTGAGTTTCAGAGATTCCTGATCGACGTATTGTTGCTTAATGACAGATTTGAAGTGGTCCGTGCTTTCTTAGACATTTTACTACAGAAAGTTTCCTTGCCTCCTAATATCTTCAGAAACTATCGGTCCGTCACATCTGAGACTAACTTGGGTCTCATTTTCAATCTCGCAGGGGAAGGTTACACGACAATCCTCCGGTTAATTCTAAAAAGCATAAACTTCAAGATTATTAGAGGTAAGGCGGTTGACGTCAAGGAATGTCGAGCTAAAATGACTTTTAAGAAAAGAAACACATTAAACGATTTGAAGGTGCTTGTGCGGAAAGCTGGAGTTAACATTAAGGATGATTCTGGTAGCAGTCCACTACATTTCGCAGTTAGGGGAGGCCACTGGGAGATGGCGAACTTCTTAGTTGAGCAAGGCGCAAGTCTTAACCTTACGAGTAATGACGACGAAACGGCACTTTACTTAGCTGCTGAATACAGGAGATGGAACATCGTCAATTACCTCGCGGAGCAAGGGGCAGACGTTAACGCCAACAAAAATAACAGCACGGCACTACATTTCGCTGCCGAATTTGGCAGAATGGACACTGTCTTATGCCTCGTACAGCACGGCGCGTACGTTAACGTCAAAGATAGTAACGGCAACACGGCATTGCATTTAGCTGCCGAATATCGAAGATGGGACATCGGCAAATGCCTCGTGAAACACGGTGCGGACGTTAACGTCAAAGACAGTTACAACCGCACGGCACTGCATTTCGCTGTTAAACAGAACTCATTGCACGTCGTCAGATATCTCGTGAAATACGGCGCAAACGTCAACATTCAAGACAGTGACGACAGCACAGCGCTGCACTTAGCCGTCGGACGAATCACTTTGGATGTTGCGAAGTACCTGGTGGAACACGGAGCAGACGTCAACGTTAAACGGTGCGACGGCAGCACGGCGCTGCATTTAGTTACGAAATACGTGAAAATAGACGCCGTCGAATACCTCGTGGAACACGGTGCCAACGTTAACGCTAAAGACGACAACGGCAACGCGGCGTTGCACTTCGCCGTTATTTATGATAGAATGTGCAGTGTGGACCTCGATTCGGGCGTTAGATATGGCAACTGGAAGGTGGTGAAGTACCTCGTAGAACACGGAGCGGACGTCAACGTTAAGGACAACAACGGCAACACGTTGCTGCATTTAGCCGTCGTACAAGACAGATTCGATACTGTTAAGTACCTCGTGCAATGCGGCGTAAGCGTTAACGTTGCAAATAATGATGACAGAACGGCGCTGCATTTAGCTGCTGAGTATAGAAGACTTTTCATTCTCGAATATCTCGTGGAACACGGTGCAGACGATGGTGGATACAACGAAGAAAACTCTGAAGCTGGGGAATACGTGAGTAAGAAATATGATTAATGGGTGCCGTTACATACCTTGTGGGACGCTGTGCAGCTATTAAAGGCTATTAGCGAAGTTTGCGAAGTAAGCGACCTCTATTAGTGCATAATAAAGTCAGCATACATTAAAAGACGCTCCGTGCGCTCCAATCAGGAAAGGTGGGTGTGGCGTTTAAACCGCCAATTTTAAATGACAATATTGTCAAGGCGCGAAAACCGAAATACCTGTTTTCTTAACCCTTAACCTTACTTCTATGTTTTGGCAATTTCAATCAGCATACACTTAAAGTTACATAAATGTAATTTGTTTAATTAATTACTTACCTATAGACGAATCATAAATTCATTATGAATTATTACATTATATAAATTATATCAGGTAGTGATGTATACGTATACGCATATGTTGATTTTGCGATTTGACTATTCTAATATGAATATTTTCAGATAATTAATTATTAATCCATAATATAATATAAAATAACTCATAAATATGACTAACACAAAACATTAAAAAAATAAAATTTATTGGAAAACTTATTTTTTTTGATAATACAAAATTATTTTCACACTGAATTTTTTTTTAATATTAGATATAAAAAAAATACTTTCAACTAAAACAAAATTAAATAAAAATCTTGTCGGATCGGAAACTGTGTGAATCGCCACTATTTAAAGCCATGTATTTTTGCTGCACTCCAATTCCAACTCTGACATTTGGATCGGTGTGTGAAACCTCGCCTCACTGCATTTTCTATTTTACTTTGAATAGTTGTAAAACGATGTTTTACTACTTCCTTGTATACATAGGTCATCACAAAGCAATCGCTAGTCTCAACAGCAGCCGGGTCATTTGCCAGGAAATATAAAAGTATAGGAAACAAACATTAAAATTACTGATCTGCAGATAAACAAACAAATATATAACTCACCGGGGATTATGCTCCCCCTAGTCTTGGTTTTTTTGTCCATCAGTGTCCATTTCTATCAACAAATATTATGAGATCTTCAACAACTAGTTAGTGTCAGCTGAAATAAGTTGTGGCTTCCCGGACGCCAAACTAGAATTTAGATATACGTATATTTTTTACATAACGTGATATGCAACAGTTACCGTACTTGTAAAATTTCTACATACTTTACTTTTTATTTGGATAATACAATTGTTTCTCGATTTTTCTTTTTCTACATACATCTGTTTTTTGCTGAAACCTATCTTTAATTTTATTAAACTCCATCATAAATTTATCAAATGATTCTTCATCCAAAGATTTACCAAATCTACAAATCGCATCCAAAGCAATCTAAAAATTTAAACTTATAATGAGGTGGTTATGTAACTAAATACTTTACATAGATACCTCACGTCTATTTTCAAAATTTATTGGTTTATTAGAATTTTGATTCCTGCAGTTTTCATCTAGGAAATGAGTTAAATCGTCTTGATATCGGATCTGGCTTGTCGTGGGTTCATCAATATATAACACATTACTTTCTTCGGAACACGGAGAACTGCTTGAAAGACCTAAAACAGACTCGCTTCTCTCCTCAAACAGAACTACAGCATGTATATGTTTACACATTGTACATTTTACTGCATATTCTGGGCATTCACATAGATATCTGTGTATACAAATTTTACATTGGCTACAATAAGAAGTTCTACAATCTTCATCACATATTTCATTATATGAGACTAAATAAAATTTATTACTTACCGTACATGATTGTACCTTGAATGTTCCAAATTCTGAGTATTGTACATTATCCTTCATCTGTTCGGCTTTTTTGTGTGCTTCTACGGTTATTTTGTGTTGGTAATTATTCGCATTAGGTCTTTCTGTGTTTATAATTCGCTTCCACATTTTCTCATCTACAAGTTCATCTAACAAATCCAGTAATTTTTCAACACTAAAACGATAATTTATAGCACTTCTTTTTTAAATTTGAATTTACTCTACCGGAGATTTCTCTGCCCATTCATTTTATTATACTTCAATAACTTATTTAAACTTTCAATGGCCATATTCGTATTTATACCAGCATTTATCCTATGACAATGAGCCCACATCATGATTCTTTCTTCGCTTTGAAAATAGTAACTAGAAACAAAAAACAATTTGCTCATGTGGTTTGTGTTTTTAGATTGTAAACAAACTTTTGCAAATATTTTAAAAATTCATTTTCTCCTTCTTCTTCCAAGTGCTTAAAATAATTTTGCTTCAACTCCAGAAATTTTTTTATATCAACTTCCTTTAAAATATTTCTCATTTTCATCTTCATTTCTTGTCTATTTTCGGGTTTCTTTAATTTTGATCTTCCTTGGATATTCCAGTTTTTTATAATATGCCACGTGCAAAGTAATCTTCTGGGCTTTCGTTCTGTCTCCATAACCTTGGTCCAAGCATTGTAATATTTTATGTCATCGTCACTCATTATATATTCAGCCTC